GAACCAAATTGCGTTTTATGTACAAAATTAATTTATTTTATACTTGGGATAAATTAATATTTTCGCTTGTTATTAATATAATTGCATTAGCATCTATGCGCTTGTATACTATTTTTTGAAGAAAAACAAAATAAAAGCAGCTATTAAGTTAAGAATACTAAGTACAGTGGGATGTGACATAAAACCGGAATTGCTCTTGTAAAACTAATTTTGTATTTAGACACTTGAGCGTTCAAATTTATATTCCTCCAGTAATAAATTTCCTTGGCGGATTGCAATTATTTTCCGGGTTATACGTATGAAGGAGTTGCTAATTTCGCCGGGAGTGTCATTAAATGGCGCTTTTTCTTCCGTCCGAGATTAAATTTCGCATAAAAATACCCGCTAATGTTTCTTTCTATCGCCCTTTTTTCTGGCTAAATTTGAAAGGGTTCATTTCGAAATGTAAACTGTATTTTAATTAAATTAAAAAGCTTAGTCATAATGTTCATTGGGTCTGGTTTGCTTTGTAAATGCGACCCGTTCGGGTCTTTTTATTCGCGCAATTTATACGTATTGCTCTATAGAGAAATTTCCATTTTCATTTTCAATTCAATTTTCCGTAAACACGAGAAAATATTCTATAATATCCAGCTATTCTGAATCAGTTTAGACATGTTTCGCTCATTGTAGTTTATTCGGTTTTTAGCTAAATTGAAATTGATGTAATGTAGGACGTTTTAGAGATACCTACATAATACAAATAATATTAATAAAAGCAAGTTCGCAATTTTATTCATAGCGACTGTTCTTGACAAGGGAAAGGAAATTTTCAACATTCCCCTCTGGAAAAAAAACAAAAGTCTTTGTTGTGTTGACATGACTGGAACATTAAAGTGTTTAACAGGATCATTTGTAAATAAAACCAGACAGGCTAGAAGTAGTTTAAATTTATCATTTCATTCATTAATAACTTGATAATGCATTAAAACTCGAGTATTATTATCACCAATGAAATATTGATTATATTGTATGAATATTCTCTATTATAATAACTGATATACATTTATTACAATAAACAAATAAATGTTCGACTAAGGGATATTATATTGTGGAAATATTAAATAGATTATATTTGGAAAAATTAAATATGACTTATTCAATATTTCATGTTGTGACATCATATTCTCTTTAAATTAAATATACTACAAAACAGAATTATTTTCTCTTTGACAATTTAATGGAAGAATTATTGAAGAAATTTTGAGTATTTTTATAAATCTATCTATTAATAGTGTTGAAAAAATAACGGTTTACTTCCAAAATAAATATTTTTTCAAAATACATATTACAACACATGTAGGTATGTACATAACCTATGAAGAACGAAATTCGTTTTAACTTGGAGATGAATTAAATAAATAAAATTATTTCAAGAATTGTCTGGTTACTATCAAAAATTGAGCGCATCTTATTACGTTGCACATTTTAAATATTTTTATACCCTTAATGAATATAAAGGAATTTATAACGAACAGAATTCTCAAATATTAATAAACCGTTCAGCGTTTCTAGTGAAAAAGATAATAAAAATGCATCAAAACACTTTGAATAGGCGACTGCAAAAGCGATTTCAATATAAAATTACGGTTATAATGAAACACAAAAGAATAAGCCGGCTTGGGGATGTAAAGCCGCTGGAGCAATACAAAGGTTATTAAAGCGAGTTACAAAAAATTCCCGCACCAAAATATCTTCGTAAAAATGTAAATTGTTAGCATAAAAGCGTAATGAAAATACCTCAAATTAATATCTTTGTTGGTAAAATTAGGGAACTCGGCCGTTATAAATGGATTTATGTAATGATTTTATGGACTGTTTAGAAAATTGGGAAAAAGTAATTTAAACGAGGAATTAAAAAAATGTGCACCCAAAGCTCGGAGATTAACTTCGAATTAACTCGCTATGAAGTGAGTACAGCGATTTATACTCGGTTGTATGAATAGAAGTTCATTGTATTTATTATGATTTATGCTACTCATTTGACAAAGGGATGGTATTCAAAGTAATTTTTTACATTTTTTTTATATTGTTGGAAATATTTTGGCATATTTATTCATATGTAGATATGTCTTTTTATTGTTAAATAATTTTTAGATATTTTTTTAGTACTGTATGATTTTTTTAAACTTAAACGATTATTTCAGGAATTTGATGAATATATTAGAGATTTAATTTTTTTCAAATTTTTTGGTTTCCGATAATTATTTAAATTCATGCTTTTCAAAAATTTTATAGGCCATTTTCAGTTTTTTCAGTATTTCAAGAAATTTCTGAAACTATTTTTAATGATTTTTTTAAGTTATTTTAAGAGTTCATTTTATTTTAGGACAATTTTAGCAATTTTCTGGTGAGAAAATTTTCTTTACGAAAAACATCTATAACCAAAAATAATGAATAGACCCAAAAAAATATATTTTTAAAATATTTAAAAATTGCAAGAACTAAAAAACCTGTAAATCTCCAAAATATGCAATCTGGAAAACATTTAATACCCATTAAAAATCTCTTTTAAAAGGGGGTACTCAAAATTAATCCTTCAAGAAATCTATTTAGAACCTACAAAAATCTACAAAAAAATCTATAGAAAACTAATAAAATCCTCATATTATAGCGAAAAGTCCAAGCAAACTCCCGATCGCATGATTTGAAACATGCATGATCGAAAGTCAACAGGTGTATCCCCACATATTCCCAAACCACATCCGATTCCCGACCACAAACCCATTCCATTTACATCACACACATACAAACCCGACCAAAATTTACATCGCGCGATACCAACAATCCCACAACATCGAAACAACACTCAAAAACCTACCTTAGATTCGAGAGCCGAATCGAATCGACGGCGGAACCCCACGGGCGAGAGCGTGCTCAATTCCCCATCGGCGAGGCCGTCCTCATAATCGCCGCGGAGCCGTCACACTCGCTGGAAAAACGTCGGTTATTCGGAAAAATCAATCAGTGGAATGTTTATTAGAATGGATGTCGTCGAGCGAGCGGCATTCCCTCTCGGCGCGACTCGTTCGACTGATAAATTGGATATTGGATACGCCGTTGTCGGAGCGCGAGTGCCCGAGCTCGAGCGGCCGGCGAGAGGACGGAGATGGAAATGGAGATGGACGCGTCGCGATGGAAACGTCTCGCGTCTCTACGCCGGGCGCACGCACAGGCAGAGGCGTCGCGGCGGCCGGCCGATAGAGGAGCGAATCGTCGATGTTAATGCGAGCCGAAACGAAACCGCCGTGGACGCGGGGGATACGGTTTTTATAGTGTTATAGCGGTGTATTTTTTTTGCTGTTGTCGGGATACGTATGTGTCCGGCATTGATTGGGATCAGGTAGTTTTATGCGGCGGGAGAGCAGTCACGTTTCGATGGGAGATAGTTACTGCGGATTTGGGATGTACCTAATGATGCGCGTTTTTGCGTTGATTAGAGAGAAGAGGGTTGTATTTTAATGCTCTATTTTAGAAAATGGCGTGACTTTGCAACTTAACTTGCACGTGTGGTATCGAAAAGCATGCGAAAAGTTCACCCAAAATTGTTAAACATTCAAAATAACATGCAATTAATTTTATTATGGATTAACAGACTCTTAAAATCACCAAAAAATACTTTAAAAACCCATTTTTTAAAGATATTAAAAACTGCAAAATTATATAACCAAAATTATGCAAAATCGAGCAAATTTAAAAACCTAATAGTTATTAGTTAATCATATAAATTCTATTCAAATTATTAGAACTTACCTCAAAAATAATAAATTTAATATAGACACAATTTATATTTTTTGTACATTTTTTGGAAGAAAATCGGTCTGTATTGCCTGTCATTTCTAAACCAAATTAACCGAACATATCTGCATAAAGAGGACTTCATGTTATTCATTCTCGAAATTGTTTTTTCCATCTATAATCTATTTAAATCCCTCCATCAAAAATATTCCCTTCTAGTGTGCCTGTTCAGCATAAAAATGAATCCGTGCATACGAGAGAAAAAAAGGTAAAATCCCCCGAAGTTAGGGGGATCCGAACGCCGAAAAAACAGCAAGAGCACGTCTGACCTCCGCTCGGAGCTGTTTCGAATGATTCTAATCTTGTTCGATCAAAAGTTGCCTTCAAACCGGGCCTACCTTCTTTATTGCTTATTTCCAGAAGATAAGTAAAAAAAACATATTGAATTGTTCCATCAGTCACTGTATTCCCGGTAAATTGAACCCATGATTTGTTTGAAGCCAAGAATTTAGTTTACTTTCGAATAGTATAAGAGTAAAGTAGAGTAAAGTAGTGTAAAGTAGAGTAAAGTAGAGTAAAGTAGAGTAAAGTAGAGTAAAGTAGAGTAAAGTAGAGTAAAGTAGAGTAAAGTAGAGCAAAGTAGAGTAAAGTAGAGTAAAGTAGAGTAAAGTAGAGTAAAGTAGAGCAAAGTAGAGTAAAGTAGAGTAAAGTAGAGTAAAGTAGAGTAAAGTAGAGTAAAGTAGAGTAAAGTAGAGTAAAGTAGAGTAGAGTAAAGTAGAGTAGAGTAAAGTAGAGTAAAGTAGAGTAAAGTAGAGTAAAGTAGAGTAGAGTAAAGTAGAATAAAGTAGAGTAAAGAAGAGTGAAATAGAGTAAAGGAGAGTTGAATCGATTAATGTAAATTACTTTCAATCACGACCATTTTTTTAATAAATTTTCCACGTACGTGTGTATTGATTGAATTTGTTATTTTTTTAATTGGAATATACGAACGTTCGATAATTGAATAGTTGATGATGGAACGTTAATTATTCAAAAAATCATTTGCATAAACCTAACTGTAGTTTAATAGATTCACAGCAATGTTAACAAAGGTAAAACATCGATTATAATTCGTTGAGCTGCATAAATATGAAAGTATAGAATCCATTATTAGAACTGTTTGTTCAAGTAATATCAAAAAGGAGAAACGGTAAATTAACCATAAAACCACGAATTAGAAGACGCTTTACTCGAGTTTCCAAATATTACACGTAATTAGGTAAGTATCTCCGGAAAATACTGTTTGAACATGTAATTTGTACATCATTAAACGACAAACAGTATAGAAATTAAATACATTTAATAAATAAGTAGATTACCTAAAGTAAAATTCCATCGTCGGGGACGGGGATCAGAGAGCCGTCACCTTCCACAATACCAGCTCTTTGGCCCTCTGGTACTGGAAATACTGCGGAAACGTCAAAGGGACCGGCTCGCACTTGACGTTCGTCAATTTTTCCAAACATTCCAGATAATAATCGTAGCAGGGAGCGACCGTGTCGCAGTCGGCTACAGTGAAAACGTATCGCTTTTCCAACGCCACGTAGACGCTGCTCTGTGCTCGAGTCGTTGATAATAACCTTTGTATTGTACGGATGAAAGCTTCCGTAAGGCTGTCGTCGTACACGGCTGAAAATGTTCGAAAAAAGAAAGAAATGAAATTGCGCTCGCTTCTAACGCAGCGGGCTTTATTATATATAAAAGAGCGCGATCGTTGATAGAACATTGTAAGACACCCCTAGTGGAATGCTTCTTTCGAGCGCCGGCTAACAAATGCAGTAAATTTTAGCGATGAAATTTGAAATTGTGTACGGTACATCCAGTCTTCGAAATCATTACGAATAAACCTCGTAAAATCTAGTCCATAAATTCCCCTTCGAAATAAGTACTTCACAGTTGAGCTTTCCACACGCCGAACTTTACGGTATAATTCATGGGGGATTACCCTGAAGCTGGTGGTGTACGTTTCGACAAAGCTTTCGGAATTTACTGCACTGTAAAAGCTGTCCCTTTGTCGGCGATCTAATAAAAGCTAAACTGGAATTGTCCGGTTAGTATCCAAGATATCGACGCTTTGCGATAGTATTGACAATAAGGATAAGACCGGTTTGTGGAGAAGATTCTGTTTCCCACTTTCACAATGGATATTAGAAAAATTGTAAGATATTTTTAAGTACATTGTTTTTATTGAAAAGCTGGGGGAAAATATATACAGTGTGTTTCATTTGGAAAAGGCAATATCATAACTCATAGAGGTCACTCATATGATAACAAAAAACCAATATAGTACAGGTCTTGGGCCCTTTATAACAAAGTTATAAGGTATTTTTTGAATTTGACTATGTCATTAGTTAATCATAACATTTAAATCACTCAGGACAATTTATCAATGCCCTATATTATAAAGGGCGCAAGACCTGTACTATAAGGGTTCTTCAGTATCACATGTGTGACCTCTACACCAGGGTTAAATATTACCCTTTCCCAAAGGAACACACTGTATAGAGTTAAAATATTGCCCTTTCCCAACGGACCCTCTAAAATTTTAATGACATTTGAAACACAATAAGTACCCATACCGGTCACCTAGCACTAGAATGATAAATACCTAATTTAATTGTCCATCGAATCGAAATCGATATAGGAAAAAAAACCCGCCGTTCTGTTTGTTTTTTCACTTACTGTCTGCCGCTATAATAACGCCGACGTTCGGCAGGTGTTTCACGATTTCCTCGGGGAGGCGATCCGACGTGAAATCCAATTCGAGCACTTCGATGGGATTCTTCACGTGATTCTCGTTCCTGTGCACGTTGCATTCGATCAGCCGCAGTATGTCGCCTCTATTTACATCTGGAATTAAACGAAACGGATGTATAACAAACGCGTTTCTGTGTCGGACGCTCTCATTGGAAACGAAACGGAGCTCGTTTCTGCGTTTAATGGACCACCAGTGTACCCGCATGTAGTGGTTGGTAATGCAGTGCTCATTAAGAGCAGGCCGGCGGTGGAATCTGACCAGTCATGTTGGGCGTTTTCGGTTATTTTATCGACTAAAAAAACGGAGTAAAAAATTCGAACTCGTGCAGCGCTGGGGAAAAATTTTGACGAACAGTTCTCAATTATAACCGGCCGTGGTAATCGAAAAATATACAACGTATCGCGAATAATTTGCTATAGTAGATTTCACGTTGAGATATCAGAATATGTAGATATTAAGCATTTCGGGGCCTATTATACAGAGACTTATTTTTAGTCCATCTAGTAAATTATTATGTTGAAATTTGTGTACTTTTCTTATGATTTATATTTTTTTAAATTAGCCAGGTTTCTAAACAAAATTTAAGCTTAAATATATTACTATATTTTCACTATACAAAGGCTTAGATTATTAAATAATTCAATATTTGAATACTACAAAAAAAACTTCTATTATCTTTATTAAAGCTTTTCTTTATTATTAGTTACACATTTAGGTCCTATATGTAATAAAATTTATTATTCTACAACTTCCTACCTACAACAAATTTGCAAAATGCATTGGCCTATTTTGCTAACGCTGACTTCTCAATGTGAGACCGGGTGCAGTGTTCCTGTTTTTCCGTGTGACGGCTCGCGTTGAATTTGGATTGTTTTTTTTCCAGTAAAATTTCCGGGACGTTTTTAATTTGGAATACGATACGGCCGATTAATTTGCAAGCGAAGTTTTAAACTTTGCGAATTTAGAGTTAAATAACTGGTGGATAGTCTGCCGAATGGAATGCTTTGTTTTTCTCCGAACGTAAAAAATAGATATATCTTTTAGAGCCATTCGTTAGAGGGAAATTTTTTAACTCGTTTAAATGTTCTCGCCGAATGTTGTGCTTTATTGCCGCTTTTATTATTTCTTTGTTAATAAACAACTGCTTAAAAGAGTTTCAGAAAATTGCAAATAAGTACTTTGCAAATTACACTAAGGAAATTTAAAACATTGGCCTATAATTGTGTAACTAATTTAATAGGAACAAAAAATGCCTAGTTTCAGAATGAATTTACGTTCAAAATTTTCCGTTATTTACCTACCTTATTAAAGTAATGAATAATTTTAATTAACTCCGAGAGACACCAATTTTATTAGAAACGTAAATCATAAGTACCAACCTATTTACTAAGTAAAATGGGAAATTCTGTTTATGTTACCCTTATTCCTGCCACATCGTTCAATTAACGATATTGCTAATACAAACAGGTAGGCATGGCGTTATAGCAGTTCAAATCCTCTTGTACTTTATTATGTAATTACGTAAAACGTTTATATACAGAAAGGTTATTATCTACATTGTACTTCAAATGTATTTTGATGTACACGTACAAAATAAATGGTATAAATAAAATGGTTAGTTAGGGAAGTAATCGCCAAAATTTAAACAGCGCATCCGCCAAAATTTGAACTTATCAACTGTATTCTTACAGAATCTGCTGTTTTTATAACACAAAATCCATTCCTTTCGTACGATGTAGTGAAACAACGTAAAACTGTTAGCTGTTAACGTAACGGAACATTAGTTCCTTTCATAAGTTCTTTCGGAACGACTTTTTATCTAGAAAAAAAACTTCACAACAACGGTCCATTTCTTTTGCGATGGTTTCGTAAACGATCAGGGAAAAATTTATGATATGATTGTATTTTATACATATTTGGCACTTGCTCGAAAATCGGGAACTATCCATAAATCAAATCCGTTTTTCCAACGGCGCATATTCGAGGCGATAAAAAAAACGATTCCAATCGTACAGAAACGTCTAATAAAATAGAAATCGACACGTATAGACAATTCCTTTGAAAATAAATATCGGTTGTTTGAAATGAATAAATTCCGAATTTTTTACTTTTTAAACGTCACATAACACCGAAAAAAATTAAACTTTTTTTAGAAATTTAAAGACGCATTTTTCTTAAGAAAAATATTATTAAAGAAAGCGTATGTTGCGCATTGACAAAATAACTTACCTGTACAAATAACGGGGAAAAACATAGAAGCAACAATACTGGTAAATCCTACTCCTGATCCTAATTCCAAAACGTACGATCCCTTCGGTATTGTTTCGTGATAATGCATCAACCAATCGGCCAAAAGAAAAGCCCCTCGCCATACTTGCAATCCCACCATGCCTAAAACGGTGCTCTTTTTGTGCTCTAAAACGAGATTTAGTAAATTACCTATAACGTGACAACACCGCTCTATAATCAAACCAAACATATTCACACACAATTGAAAATTTTTACACAATTTGATCTAGCAACAAATTTAAGACATCTTCCATTAGTGTCATCATATAAAAAAGAAAAGTATGATAAACAAAAAACTTTGTAAATGCAAACAAATTTGCACTTACCCATGCATAATGAAATTTATTTTGATGGATATATTATATTATTGCCAGGATAATTTAATAAGGGGTAACGGCATTTCGAGGTGGAAGAGGGATCCATTTTGGTGACGTATGAAAAGTCGCAAACGTCAGTCTGGCGCGAAAATTTAAATTGTATAGTTCATGTAAACGATAAAAGACCAATATCTTTCTCTTCGTTTATAAATAACAGTCAAATAACACACAACGCACATATAAAAGCAATTATAAATGTTCAAAACACAACCTTAGGAACCATTTTTGAATTCAAATTTATTAAAAAGGTTAGCCAACAGTTCTAGTGTGACACTTTTGTCACTGTTTGTAGTGTTTGTTGCCAACCTAATTTGACTTCTGCGTTTACGGTTTGTAGAATAATATTATTCTACAAACCGTGTTCTGCGTTCCCCTTACCCACGGTCCTATATTTCTAAGGTCTGGAATCATGGGTCGAAAAAGTGTCCCGTTATTTGAGGATAAAACAGGGTTCCTAAAACGGCCGCTAGGAGGCGATGTTGTAAAGGACCACGTTTTTTTGCGTATGAATTATATAGAATTAGCATTAAGAAAGGTTTTATTCAAACTAAAAATAGATACAAAATATAAAAATATACTTAAATCAGCAATGATTTTGTTGTAAACATCATGCCTCACGTATCTTCGGTTAATGTATTTCTCCATTTTCTCCTCGAAATGTCAAAAAATAATTTTTGAAGTTTTGACAGCTTGAACTGTCGTCTCACTACCGCGATTTATATGTAGCGCGACGCTGATTGGCTGAGATAAGTTGGTCCTCCGATCATTCGCCACGGTGCGGCGAAAAAGTGAAGCTTAAAAAGTCCTCAAATAACGGGACACATTCTCTAATGCATAAGCATAGGAAGATGCCAGACCTTAGAAATATAGGACCGTGCCCTTACCTAAGTCACCCTCTTCTCTAAAGTCCGACCTAATGCCGCTACCCCCTTATTAGGTTATCCTGATTATTGCTGCAAATTGACAACGACATTTGACGTATCTACATCAAAATAACGTAACGCTATATTTAACGTAAGTATATAACACATTAATTTGCGTAGAATTCCTTAACGTGCGTAAATAATAGGTGTTATAGCCGGGGAAAGTATTTACCTATTTCGATAAAGTCCGTCGGCGAGGGCGGAGTTCTCGGATTCCTTCGAAGAACATTCAAATCTCCGTCTGCATCGATCGCTAAGCCGCACCGAGGCCGGTAGAAATTGAATTTGGAAACAACGTCTGGAAATAAAACGGAAAAAAAAGGAAAATATTTTCGTGAGAAAGCGGCATTGTTGATACGTCGGGACGAGGGAAATTGGCAGTTGGCTCGCGTTCTTCAGTATTATTTGCGCAATTTTTATTAGGCGAAAAAGTACCGCAACGGCTATTGGAAATTGAATTTCGTATACTCGAAAGTACACTTATGCCGATGTAAAAGTAATATTGGGCGAATTATAAAAATTCAAACAAACACATATGAAACAATTTTCAATAGATAAAATAAATAAAATGGCAGAGGAGTGATAATAAGAATACTCACTATTTTCACTTAGAATTGGTTTTTTTGTAACTACAACATAGTCGTTTTCTTCGAATATTTCTGAAGACACTTGAAAATCCTTGTCGTCCATTTTGTAACTGCAAAATAAAGTAAAACATAATTACTTTACAGCTAAATGTAATCAATCAGTCAGAAAATGACTCTACTTTTGATTTATATCACTTTGATTCAATTATCCCTATCTTTGAAATACAAACCTAATTTAAATCCAATAATAAAATTTATTTTATCGAAAACTTATTATTAGCACTTCAATCCCTAATAAAAATAATTCATCAAAAATATTTCCCGGCGCTCGCATCCTAATTTAATCCTTGACGTGAAGATTTATTCGCTCCTCGGCTTACGAAGGCGCAATAAGCAGATCATTTTCCGCGGACCGAATGCACGGATCGACAAACAGCGGGATTAGAGCGAATTTATTTCCGATAAACTGCATGTCGATGAAAATTCTCCCATTTTTCTTCCGATGAAAAACCTTGAACTGGATATACGCAGAATACGTATAGCGCCGATAAATATTGGATTCCTACGTGTATGCCGTATCAACAGCGCAAAGGGATGCGTCGTTGTTTTGTACAAAGGAATTTATCTTGAAACATTAATATCAGTTTACTTGTCTTTGTTGATATACAGAAGACGGTTGATTTAATTCTACGTAGAAAAAGTTAATCGCTTATAGGACTAAATCCACATAAAATTTTGCCAAGTCTATAATAAAATTCCACTAGATTTAGCGCAAAATTAACCGATAAATCTCGCTTGCAACGTGGAGTTCTAATAATTATATTCCTTCGGTATTTTTTCCCATTAATTATTTTCGTATACACGCCTCTGAAGATGGGTCGTCTGCGGACGCGTGCCTGCTGTTTCTTCAGCCTTTTATCCCGTTCTAAATGGAACAGCTGGTCCTTTACATTACCATGCTCTCATATATTCATCGAAAGGTGAACCTTCGAGACCCGAATTTTGGCAGTCGCAAAATTTAATGGCAAAGAGTTATTTCAATTCCTCACAGTGGACCACTCGTTTCGGAAACTAACCCCTCGTGAATTGTAAAAAGACCGAATGACAATTTCGAAATATCGAACTCATTAAATGCGTTTTTTACAGTCCTGTCTAGTATAAGAGATATTGCGTTTTAGTGGTTCATACTACCCTTAAAAAGGGCTACATACACCACCTGTTGGCCGACCACCCTCACAAAACACCAATTAAAAGCATCTACCTGTTGGACCTTGCATTGCAGACGGGGCGAGTGTGTGTGTGTGTGTGCGATGAAGAAAAGAGCGTCCGCATCTTCGGCCTTTTATTTTGAATTTCTAAAAAGCTGCGTTATTATAACAGCATGTGTTACCTATAATTTGAAATGCAACAGCTGGAGGATGCTTGCAATCGTACAGCAGATCAACAACCCCAGTGGCGTTCTTTCTGCATCGACTTTATGCGGTGTGAATGTAATAATAATTTCGAAATATGTAGTTAAGTAAATAAATAAATTAGAACATGTTTGGATTATAATATTATTGAAAAATGTTATGAATTTGATTAGGAATTGCTTGGAATATTGGGTTAGGAAATTTTAACAAATAAAGAGATAATTTGTTACAAAAAATATATGGTATCATATTAATTTATAAATAAATGGTTGTTTCTAAAATACAAAATAATATACAAAATAATTTAAAAATGTTTGCTTAAGTATCAATTAAATGTCATCAAAAATAAATTCACAAAAATCCCTAAAATGATTTTTTATTAAAATAAAGTAAGGAATGCTTAGAAAGAGCTTTAGAAACCACGAAAATGGTGAAAAAAGCTTGATAAAATCAATGTATTGTATAAATTAATGATTCTAAAATGATTATTGTAGCGAAAAATAAAACTACCTACATAAAAAAAGTAATATTTTCGGATTCCAACTTTCTTACTCTAATTAACCATTGTTATTTTAATAATCTTTCTTTGTTTTACTCATAAAATTGACCATATTGCACACAAATTTGCAACCGTATATGCAAATTATTTAATGATATATGTGGCAGCTAAGTAGTTTCAAATAAATAACTGTATTAATTTATCATTTACTAAACTTTTACAATAATTTCTTCATTTTATATTCATTTCTACACAGCACATTTCCCTTGTCTCACAACCTAAAAGTCGTGCTGTATTCAAGTAAACCTCGACAGAAACGCCACGCGTGCGGAATTTCCGATGAAATTTCCCTCGTAGTCGGGAAAATTGTCGTTTTTCGCGAAACCGTCGTCGGCCGAACGACATTAGAATGCGAAAACGTCCAGGCGTAATCGTCCCGGCCGGACGGGCCCCGAACGCGGGGCGAACCTCGAAGGGCGGACGCGCTTCCGTTTTCCTTTCGGTCGAACTTTCCACCGCCGGATATATTTCGACTCGCGTTTTCTACGTGCCAATGCAACTACGAATTACGCCGAACGGTTGCCCTTTTTTCCGTTGCGCAACTGGTAATTAGATGCGCTAGCGAATTCGTTAAATGCGGTTTGAATATGTGGGTGCTTTTAACGCTTTTTTTATCCTTTGTTAACAACTTTTTTGAAGTAATAAAAACCTCTCCATTATAGCTACAAATTTGCAACTTAGATGTTTTCATTTAAATAATTTTCAAACAATAATAAATTGATTTTGGAGACAGTATATAAGAAATACCCTTATTATCTTCTATACACCTTGTATCACCTGGGATGTGGGATTTACTATTATCCCGAACCATGCACCTTGTGTGCAAATTCTATACAGGGCACGCTCGTAATCGATTCGAGTTTTAAGTACAACGCACACGCATTCATATTCATATTACATCTACCTTTCTTTTCGAAAGACTGCACGTGCGACAGATGTGCGTTCATATGATGAAAAAAATCGGTACAAAACGGCGCACCTGCTGGATTTCGACGCACCGAAATGTTTAGACTTCGTCGCGAAAAAGAGGAAAATACTTCGCATTTAGATATATTGTTTTTCGTATACGTTCTACATCTGCCGAAAATGCGGTATACAAGGAGTCCCGCGAAATTAGACGAGGAACAAAATATTCGAAAATGCATTAAAACTTAAATTGCATTAAAACGCTCTAAATTATAATCTTCTGCTGAATTTTAAATGTAGGTATTTTGTGACATAGAACCTTTCTTAATCCACCCTATAATAACTCGTTGCCACAATTTCCTCGAGAGCAGAGAATAGGTGGTAGATGTAGGCCGAAGTGTAAACCCTCGAGTCCCAAACTTCCCTAACACTAGGGGATGCTCCTCCAAAAAAAAACAGTGTCTTACAACATCTCTAAGCGTAGAATTTTCCCCAAAAAATTGCGTTGATATTTTAAACATGGTTTTATTCGAAGGGATGGTTCGAACTCTTGTAGTTGAGTGCGGATGATGCTACATGGTGAATCCCAAGACAAGACATGAGGCTATGTCTGGTAAAAATTTCACGTCTTCAGTTTAGCGATACCCAATTTCACAGGGTTTTGTAAAAGTGAGTCGCTATTAAATTGAGAACTATTTTTTATAGAATATCTAATATAGGGCGTTTCAATAAGACCGCAAGATTTGAATTGCCTGCCATGTTTGACAGTCATAATGACACGTGATTATAACATGACAGATCGAAAGTTGCCAGTTGGGAGTTAGTAAATATGAAGCATTGGATCTGGATATGGATCTGAATATGGAACATAATCGCGTCCTAATTGTTAAACATTACTCCCGGTCGGGTCATTTTTTGGTTTGGTGACCAGAATTTGCCGCCACGTTTTTGTGATTTAGCACCTTTGGACTTCTGCCTGTGGGGTTACTTGTAGTCACACGTTTATGCCAATGTGCCCTCGACCACCGAAGCGTTGAAAGCCGAAATTAGACGCTGTATCAATAAAATTCCGCCACATGTTTACAATAATGCCATTGAAACTTTTATCAAAAGAGTACGCTTGTGCCAGCAAAGCCGTGCGGCCATTTACAAGATATTTTGTTTCATATACAGTGTTAGAAATTTAATTTCGCATAATAGGGAAATCAATGTTAAATTCTTAGCCGGCTAAAATCCAGTCTACCAGTATACATTTCAATAGAACGTCGCGATGAATTCTAATAAATTTAATTGTTCTACTGGATCGCACGCCGCGATTTGTAGAGGTACAAAGTTATTTGTGTTAGGTATGAGGTACAAAATTATTTAGAAACTACAATTAATAGGTTTTTTGGGGATATTTCAAAAAAAATGTGTGTATCGGTAGGTACAGTTTTGAAAGAGCAACAAATCTTGTTAAAATAAGGAAAAATAAGGAAAAAATAATTCAATTTTCTGCTAAAATTACACCTCAGCTCAGTAATATGAGATGACATCTGTATGACAGGTTTGCCTATAGTTTAGCAGAAAGCGGTGGACTATTTTTTAGAGTTCTTTTATTTTCTGTTTTAAAATAATCTTTAAGTTTATTTTTGGAGTTTTCTTTTTATTATTTTCTTAGAATTTACTTTCTTTTTCAAGCCATTGTGGCAAAAAGACATATCTAACATACATAATTCTATTTTATTATTAGTGATATTTTTTCAATAAATTATCGTTTAAAAATTTTCATTTCTTTTTAATCGACTCGACGTTCACCCATCCGAACCCGTTTTGATACTGTCGAAGTGTCGAAACAGTCGAAATTATTTGATTTTTAATCTAACCAAGCCAAAGCGCGGTGTGAAGTCCAGTAGAACAATTAAATTTATTAGAATTTATCGCGACGTTCTATTGAAATGTACACTGGGTAGACTGGATTTCAGCCGGCTAAGAATTTAACATTGATTTCCCTATTATGCGCGAATAATTTTCTAACAGTGTATAATTCCTAAATGTGCACATGATAAATTAATAAATATTTCCATATGTTGCTACAGATAACATTGTTTTATTGAACCTTAAAATCTTGCGGTCTTATTGAAACACCCTTTATAAGTATATGTTTGGTCTACCACGGAAAAACGGTACACTCTTTTGTAATGGAGTTTTTTTTTATATCTTCTACAATAACAGATATATGTATTATGCTTTTCCATACTAATGGACCACCCTGTACGTATAACCTCGTGTTTGGCCGTACTCACGTGAAGACAACACGTGTCGTTTACTGCCGGAGAAGATGCGTTGCGAAGATGTATCGCTATAGAAAATAACCAATGCACGTCATAGCTGTATAAGCTCTAGAAGTGCCGTTTTCGACAACAATTCCTCACGTTCCGTATTCCCGTCGATTTTGGGCGTAGAAATACGCATTTTCGAATTCTCGGTAGTAACCCTCTCGTGAAGTTCTACACGTAGGAAGCGGCAATTAAGGAGACAAAAATAAAAAATTAGAGCGATAGTGTTCGAACAAAAATACTCCCTCTTATAAACGGGAGAGCTTTTCCGCGTTCAAACGGTTATATAATTAGAGTTTCGATATGTGCCCTGACATAAAACCAATAATGGTGACAGATGGGCTCCGAAACGCCGTTCGGCCATCACCTACAGTTTTATTTGTGCACAATTCGTTAAAATCTGGAAGAATTATTAACCTAATCGATTCGCACTCTATTCCACTTTATTATTGCTAATTCCAGATAAGTTTATTACAATTAAATGTTTCGTCAATAAATTATAGACGGCTATGTAAATGTTACATTGTTGTCAGATGTTATCGTAAATAGTAGAGACTCACAATATTGAAAATATCGATAATTCAAATTCTACGCCGCTTTTTATTGTGTAATTGTCAATTTTCAGGCGGCTGCTCGGGTATATTTATTGTATAGGAACGTATACGAGTTGTATGTATAAACGAACTGGTATAAAAAAGTGCCAGTTCCTCCACGGATTTTATAGTCGATTTGCCGTAAAAACAAAAAACACAGGATATTTGGATTGCGACGTATGTAATAAAAAAGTTTCAATCAAAGGCATCCTGTGTCGCGTTTCCCCTAACCGAAGATAATTACACGAAATAATGTTTTATGCCCCATAAACCGGGGACGGGCGTTTAGGTCGAGTTCTCTATAGGGAATAAAGTACCAAGCAGAAATAGCGAACATATTATAGATTGTCCAAGAGCGTGTTGAAATATGCCATAAAATTTTTTGAGTTTTTATTGAATTGTCTATTTTTGTTGCTTGCACAATCAATATTTACCATCTTTTGAGTAATGAAATATTCAGCAGCTATTGAATTACGTAAAACTAACATTACGCTATTTTGACTATATTTCCAAAATCATTTTAATAAGTATGAAATTATTTTAATCGAAGTAAATTATAAAAAAAATCAAAAGAACTTTCAACTGCCAATATTCTAAAATTTAAAGTTACGAGTTACAGTTTTAATCGATTATCGAAACATTTTTAATCGAAATTATCTCTCTTCCGCGCGATAAATCGTGATCGAATTCTTATGAAGAAAACTTTACCTGTTGCACAATCACCCAGATAGTAATTACCCGAGTAAATACATCTCAACAGAATCGATAACGGTGAAAAAATATCGTCTCGTCGTTTTTCGATAAGCATATACGTAGCCGGCCTCATCGTTTTATGTAAGTTAGTTCGAAATTGGGAAATAAAACCACCCAACAGCTGCTGGACAGGTGAGACCAATCTATGTATAAGACACTTAATATCATTAATATAATGAGCGGGTATCGAGGGGTTGGGTATATAGCGTTCCGCAGGGCCGTACCCAGCCCTGCAAATTCCATTATTATTCTATGATATATCGAAATAGCTATTTTACGATTCATCAATCGGTTAATTAGATCAGGAAGCCAATAATAACGGCATTATTCGAGCGAAAAATTCGCCCGTCCTCGCTGCCAAAATGCCCCTTATTGAAAATCTGTTGTCTCCTCTGATGGAAACCTATTGAAATTCCGGAAATAATATAGCCTCCGTTTGTGCTATTCTTCGAAACTCTAATAACGGAAATTTGGGGAAAATGCGCCAGATGAACAACGTTACAAAATTTTTAGTCTATGAGCTAACTTTCCAAAACAGAAGGTAAAAAATGAAACTTTTTATTCCCAGAAATAATTTGGTCGTGTAGGTCAAAACCTATTAGAACCTAGGTGGACCAATTCACCTATACCTATGTGTGTGATCAATACTCTACTCAAAAGGTAGATAGTGAACTATTTATCGAAAAGTGAGCCATTTGTATCTTCGAGAGAAGCATTTTCAGCGTAAATACAGTCGAAGAAAGTCGGTTTGTTATTCGACCGCATCCAAAAAGCATGACCCCCTGAATGCTTTTCTGCTCGCCCGAGTAGAAACGCTCTTCGGGAGCGCACCTGCCCCAAACGACGCATGCTTACCGGTCGCCCGGTTTCTATAAAAGTACCTGCACCCCCGTGCGGTACCACACGTACTCGCGAGCTCCGCTGCGACGAGGTACCGAGCGATATATAGCGATGGATAACCGGTGGCTGCGCGTTCTCTTAGTGACTTTCTTGTATGTCGAGTGCGGCACTAGTGACCTGGAGACGGACTTTCGCGTCCTGAGCAAGCAGGTGACGGCGCTGTTCGAGAAACGCGCCGAAGACGTGAGGAGTATCGAGGAGCATGTCCGGAGAGCCGTTTTGGATATGCCGGAAATGGCGAATTTGCGCGACGAAATCAAGAAAATTAGGTAAGAGGAGCGGTTTTTCTAGCGTGAACCGAGCGCTTGTATATGCGAGGCAATTTCGATTTCGGGGTGAATTTTAAAGTATCGAATTTCGTTAGAGTGTAATATTAAGTTACGCGAAGCCCGGGCGATTAATTATGTACGAAGTCAATGATTAATTGGATGTATAATCGCATGTTAAGTGCATTGGAAAAACGGAACTATTAGCAGTTAAATGTTAATTAATTGTTATATTTAATTTTTTTGTCTAAAATGTCATCTAATTGTAATTGTATCAAATTTAAACTGTAAATAGGGGTCACTAAAGTGTTCCAAAATATTGGTCTTTCATAACCGAATTTAAAAGTATTTTATAAAAAGTTGTACAAAAAATAGAAAAATAAGTGTATCAATTCGTTTTCAAATTTTCAGAAACTGGAAAATATAGAGTTTATGCACTCTCTTCTCTTCTTTTAGCAAATTATTTTACCAAAATTGTATCCAGCAATTACCCATTAATTTAAAGCCTAAAAATAACTCATAAAACAAGGTTTCAACTCCGTTAATTAGGTTTTAATTGTAAACAACAAATTGTGATTCGTACCAGCTCGACACACCTACATCTACAAAATTTAGATTCGTTGGATTTTTTCATCCAAAGTGGAATAGAAATTACATTAAAATGTTTGCTTCCCCGACACTAAAAAAAACTGTAAAACCATTTCATCCTCTCACCAACCCGTTCCTTTGAAGAACAAAATAAACTGAAAATTCCAAATTAAAACTCGAGAAAAGTACTCCGCAAATACGACAAAACAATTTAATTATACCCACGTTAATTCCAACCAGTTTTATTATAGTTCCAACGACCACTCGAACGAAAACTGCTCCAACATCAAGATTAAAAACGTCGCGGATATTTTTTTAACAAAACCCGCAGCGCAATATTCCCCTAACAAATACATTCATCACTCGTCTGCCATCCTCACTCTATTTGACACGCTCCTTTCGCCGTTCCAGATTGATCCAGAAAGCGAGTCCCGTCCAGACGGGCCCGAAACTCACCGACAAAAACGACGTGATGACAGTGAAGTGGCTGTTCAACGCCGTCGAGGAGCTGAAGACCGAAGTGGCCGAGGTCCAGGACGCCCTCAATTCCTCGAGGGCCCTGCAGGACGCCGAACGCACCGAGGCGCAGCTGGCGCTGATGAGGAGCGACGTTTCCAATCTCTACGTCGAATTGGAGAATGCCCGGATAAGGAATGCTAAATACGAAGCCGATATCCAGGTGCTGAAGGACGAGCTGAAGGGCGAACGAGCCGGCGCCAGGACTACGGCGGAGATGTGCGGAAAACTCAAAAATCAGGTAAGAATCTTGTAAAAAGTTTCTTGTAGAAGGTTTTTTGTAAAAAGAAACGGAAATTTATGTAAAAGCGGCAACGTTGTGATGGTATTGCACTGTATCTGGATACAAGTACTATCCAGAGTATTCGACAACGATAAAAGATGAATTTTCATCCAGAAACCACTTTGTACTCATCATTAGGAAACACTCTATACACAGCTTCCAGAAGAATTTCCCAAATACACGCCAATTACATCAGATTTCACTCAAATTTTACCTCTCTCTCTCTACACAGGTATCTAATTCGAATCTAAAAATATCCGAAATATTCTACCTGTCATTATTTATTCTACATTGTACATAAGCATTTCTTTTAAACGCGCCTTCCGAACTCTCCTCTTGTGTAACACAGTCTTTTTTGCCCGAATTACCGTTCTTTTTACAAAGCCGTTGCGGCAATTTCCCCAAATAGGCCGCCGGCAACAAAGGACACACATTCAGAAGAAATCCATTGATAACTATACAAGAATTTTTTGATTACGAGGGGATGTTATTGGGGCGGTCTCGACGACAAGGTCCCGGTCTCCGAGCAGTCTTTTTAATATGTCTACGCAAGTTTTATTGTTACACACGAAATACTAATAAAACGAATCCATACATCAAATTTAAGGTATATCTACCGATATGTTGGGAAAAAAAAACTAAACCTACCGCGAGACACGATGATATAAAAAACGCACGCAGCATCTCCTTGAAGAATGCAGAAAGTTCGCCGCCGTTTAATTCGGAGAAAAAGAGGATTATGTAATAAATAAGATCGTTTTAAGTGCTCGGACCGGAACGCGATCGTTAATTATTACGAAAAAGTGGAACAGTTTCAATTGTAAAACTTTCCAAAGCTCATAAAGCAGAAGCGAAAAAAAGAAACATCCAAAACGACCGGTATATACATTCAAGACGTCTCCTTGACAAATAGGTAGGCACTCACTGCATTCATTGAAAGATGAAGGATTACAATCACCACTAAAATTTATCACATAAAACCGAACATGAGATTTTATAGAAGCGCCCTGCTGAAATAAAAGCACACGATTGCGCAATTTTCTAATATACCTATACAGCAGCGCATCGTACTCTACCATCTAAAGCTATTTCTATCGCATTGTAAGTATCTCATAAAACACATTAAAGGCGTTGCAATATCAGAAATTTCCCGACTATTTCCGGCGTGCGATAAAAAAATTTAACGCCCACACAAGAAAAGCCGTTCGAGTGGCCTCGCGTATGAAACCTCCTTCTGCCGGCGATGGTTTAATTAACCGGGAAATAAATTACGTACTCGAGGTAAAGTGGTGTGAAACGCCCTTCGAGTGACGTGCAAACAACGTTCGGGAAGCGGAAAAATGGCGAAGAGCGCTCTCACTATTCACCGTCGCGAAATTCATTTATCCAACGAGGACGACGTCGACTATTAAATTGTTAAAACCGCCTTAACCGGCTGATAAATTTGCGGATTAATGAATTGTTGTACCAAAAAAAATGTTTAATACCTACAGAGAAATGTGTAGAAAGTAATAAGAAAATTTGAAGTGGAATAAGCTTCATAAAAATGGGTCTACAATTGTTCTACTTGAGTAGTTGATTTTTGAGAGGATTTTACAAGTGCATTTGAGAAAATTCTGAATATAGTATTCAATAAAACTTATAAAGAAAGTTCTAGAGAGCTCTGGATTTTTCTGTATAGTTTATTTAGGACAATTCCAAATAGTTCTGAAAGTGTTTTGGACAGTCTTAAGATCTTCCTGAACTGTTACAAATGCTCCTGGTCAGTTTTACAATAGCTCTAAATGATTCTGGACAGTTCTAAATGTCCCTTCAAGTATACGTTCAATTACAATACCATCTCTATTTCTCTCGAGCGATATTACGACTTGCTCGTACTCGTGTTATTCCTATATCCATATGACCAAAGTACCAATGTGTTTAAGTGAAAAATATTTTTTCTCACAAGAGGCAAATTTAGCTATTTAAAATATGCAATACAAGTAGGTATTCCGTCTGACATACTCGCAACGATGACTCGCGTATAAATTTCAATAAAGAGGACTGCAAATACCTGCATATCGCCTGCACATTGCATATTATTCTATAATTAAAAGTACTGAAAAAACGGCCGTTAAAGGATGCAGGTATGCGGGTTGGTGATCGGCATTTAAAAGCCGAGAGATTATTGGTCCAGAAGGGCAGGTGATGCGCGGTCGCCTCCGTTGTAGCCGGACACGGTGGAAAGAACATCGAAAGCCGCACACCTGCCTGTCCTCGCTGTCGTTGATTACTCGCTCTCGGGGAGAGACGAATATTAATTAACGAAAGTTACATTCGGCGGCCATCGGGCGTGCTGGCGACAGCGAATTTTACCCTCGTTTATTTGCGTATTTATACTATTCATCAAAGAAACGGTATACTGAATGACCGGCAATTTATGCGAAAATTTGATTTTACCTACATCGTAAATCTAATTAAGCACTTGTTTGTGTGTAAACTGTATATAAAATCCAATAACACTGGCAACTTTCTTGTTACAGTTAAAAGAGGCTCAGCTGGAATGGAATCAAAACTGGAGGATTCTGAACGAAAAATCTCCACTACTGGAAAATGAAATATCTCCCTATCAACCTCATCCATCCAGGCACCAGAGGATCCTGCGACAGCACGTCGTGCGGCTGGAAAAGAGCACGAAAACCCTACACAAAGAAAACTACTCGCTCAAATCCCAGCTGCTCAAACTTCAGGACGACATGAAAGAGCTGCAAAAGCGCCTGAACTGGAAAGACGAACTGGAAACTCTACGAAAGGAAAAACACGGTGACAACGTAAACGTAAACGCCAGCTTAAACAAACTGATGGAAATTCAAAGCGCGCAAAATGCGAACATAACGAACTTGACGCGGCAAATGTCGAATTTCGATAAACTCCACCTATCCATGCTGGAGCTGCTGGAGAACGTCGAAACGATCGAAAACAAAGTCGATAAAACCTTGCCGGAATTCAGGAAAGAGATATCCAAGTTGGAGATACAAGTGGCCGAGAGCAAGTCGGCGATATCGATGTTCAAAGAGGATCAGAAAAACAGCATCGACTCGATGAAGGCGATCGGATTCACCGTATCCACCATGCAAGATAAAACCGGCGAGGATCACGAGAAACTTATTCGAATCGATGAAATGGTTAAGAACTTGCTAAAGTCTACTGCCATTCAAACGTCCAAACTTCACGATCATATTTTGAAGGTAAGATAAAACTTTTATTTCCTCCACTAGTCCCAGAAAAATAGCACATTCGAAAGCAATGAGTCTAAAAAACCGTAAAATTTCAAAAAGATCTAAAATATGGAAAATTCATTACCGATAGAAATTTTATGAAACAATTAATTTTCTTCACTTCATTATGAAACACTCTTTAGAAAGTGGAACTCATATCTTCATAAAAATCTATCAAATATACACTATTACCAAATGCTGCTCCTAAACTAGAATATTTTATAGAAATTAACTACTCATTTCCCTTCTTCAAACCTTTCAAAATAAAGACCTAGGAATTCATAAACGTTGCCTTATTTGCAGGAAGAATCAAGTTCGATCAACGTAAACGCCACCAAAGCCACCATCCACCTGGTGCAAGAACTGAAATCCTTCGAAAGCGAATACAAAAGCATCGTCAACAAGCTCCCCCGGGACTGCGGCAGCGTCGACGGCCCCGCCGGCCTCTACCTCATCTCGCCCGGCGACAGCGAGCCCATACTGGCCCGCTGCCAGGACGGCTGGACCACCGTCCAGCAGCGCCGCGACGGCTCCGTCGACTTCAACCGCAACTGGAACGAGTACTCCAACGGCTTCGGCTCCGCCACCGGCGAGCACTGGCTGGGCAACGCCAATCTGCACCGCCTCACCGCCGCCAATTGCTCCCGGCTGCAGATCAACATGCGCGACATCTACGGCGAACGCTGGCAGGCCAACTACGACGACTTCAGGGTGGCCGATTACGCGTCGGGCTTCCGGCTGTTCATCGACCGGTACCACGGCAACGCCAGCGACGCCTTCGCCTACCAGAACCTCATGGAGTTCTCGACGGTGGACAACGACCGGGACATATCTAACACGCACTGCGCGAGCAACTACGAGGGCGGCTGGTGGTTCTCGCATTGCCAGCACGCCAATTTGAACGGACGGTACAACCTGGGGTTGACGTGGTTCGACAGCTCCAGGAACGAATGGATCGCGGTGGCCGATAGCGAGATGCGCATCAAACGGAGGGATGTTTGTTGATGGATCAATCTAATGCCCAAAGATCAATTCTTGATAATAGCGGCTAGCGTCTGGTGGTGACGTCACGAGATGAATTATTGAATGCACTATATGATTGAAAATGAAAGGTCGTGATGTCATCGCTAGGCTAACGTGATTGCATTATATTACCATGAGGTAATCCGGATACCAAAAGGAATTGCAACGATTGGCCTTTGAATTTATGCACTTAATTTTACCGAGAAAATGATGGAAAATTCACTTTATTGTAAAGGGATCTAATACTCTTTAAATTATTTTTTAAGGTCTAATATTAGTGCATATTTCTCACGTGGCAAATTTTATTGTTATGAAAAAATATGCACTAATACTGTATACAAAGATATCCAAATAAAAAGAAATTTTCATCATTTCTAGCCAGTACGAGGACCAAAGAAACTAACTAGTGTTTAATATTAAAATCGTATTGTAAATAACGTTAAGTTATCGCCATACTAGACATGTATAAATTTGTAAATATTATTCTTATTTATTGCGACTAATTAGGTTATAGAATAAAAAAACCAATGACTATGTAGTTATTTTGTAGCAAAAATTTATTTTCAATAAAATCATACATTCGAACTGGTGTGTTTAAATTTAAATCAAATTTAACTGGTAGGGAAACAACGCATTAATAATTTAACAGACAGAAAAGTAATCAATTTTCATGTTAATATTTACAAGAACATTAATTCTCAAATTTTATAAAGGTTGACGATTCATTTATTTACAGTGCTTTTATTCAAATTACACAGCCAAATAGGTGTTTTAAAAATTTAAATATTGAAAAAAACTAATATTAGTTACAAATAGAATTAAGAAAAAGAAGGAACTTTAAGATCACGATAAGTGTTAGTTTGTATAGCAATTGATCTATGTATAAGAGAAGCGTATAGAAAATATAAAATGTCCGATAAAAATATGACAATAAATAAAATCCATATCTAATAAATAAAAAAACTCATTTTCCGATAGCCGGCTGAAATTTAGAATTTATGGCACGGCTTATGTCGAAATTGCCGATTAAACACTTACAATTAATTACCTACCAAAAATATGCTTACTTCAAAGACATACAAAACCTTGGCTTTTAAAGGAATACAATTTAATTGACACACTTTTAACACTGTTTATTGCTAACGTATGCGATCATGGGCTGAAACAATGATACATAAAAATAGTAATTAGGCAAACAGAACGTTTCAGCAAATATTTTTATATTTCCAATTTAAACCTCTAAATAATACTTGTAGTATTGTTTAGCTTGATCGCAAGAAAATCATCTGAATTAATATCTTTATCCCTTTAAAATCATCTTAATTTATCTTCGTAATATTTACATAAGATAAGTTTTTTTTAATAACTATTTGCCTTACTGATAAGTTAAAAAATTTGATAATTGCCTTAAAATTATTCCACTCGAATTTAGAATTATTTTTAGTAAGTTTTTAAAACTTAATTAATTTTTAGATAACTTAATACAACACAGGAAAGCTACAAGCAAATATTCACTGGCCCATAAAGAATTAGGATCACATTTTACAAAATATGTTAAGTTATTTTGTATAAATGAAACATGTTATATTAAACTGGTAACATTGAAGAATTCAAACAACTCAATAAATTTAAATTGAATTGCATACTGTAAATTTCTCCTAAAATTATCGATTCATACACGCAAATTACAGTGCCCAAGATTTTAATAATCGCACAACCAGAATCGGATGATATTGTACAAAACTTAAAAAATATGTACATATTTTACAGGTATGCTCTCATTCATGTCAATCCCCATAGGCTATACAATTTCAGTCTTGCTATCCGATACAGCTACAGGTGCATAAGAAACGGATTCCTTTCTTCTGAACGTAACGTAAGTGTACACAATACTCCCCAACACGCTTATGTTTATGCCGACGAAATTCTCCCACGAAAATATATAATCGCCCCCTATTACCATGCCCAAGTACGTTACACAAATATTCTTCAACGTTCCGATAATAGTAGTCGTTAAGGCCGAATTGTAATATGTACATAACACTACACTATACGATAAAATAAAGCCCATTACACACGACAGCAAAAACTGCGTGGTAAACAACAAGTTATCCCATGATTTGTAATTATAGGCCGCGTGGATATCTCCTGAATAATAGGCGAATAGTGTAGCGGGAATTATCATAAACAACGAGTTATAGTACATCAATCCGTATTTCCCCAATTCTTTGGAATCCAATTTCTTCTTCATGTAGACTCCGTTCGTAGCGGTGAAGAAGTTATTAAGGAATATAAACAGGTAGCCTCTTACTGTAAAAGCGAGATCATTCGTGGCGGCTACTATGGCACCCAGGATCATCGTATATACACTAAATTGTACACTAAACGTAGGCTTGATTCCCAATATATACAGCTCGAGAACCATCGTCATCAGTATCGAGAATCTTCTTAAAGCTGTGAACATCGGAAGGCTCAACTCTTTGGTACCGCCGAGCCCGAAGAACATGTTTCCAATGTAAATCAGAGGCAGAGGGAATATTTTACCAAACGTGTTGAATTCCAAGCTAGGAAAGGTAACCAAACGAATTTTCTTAGCCACGAACAGTACAAATATCGTCGCCAGCATTTGCCCAATGCCCAGCACTTGAAACGACGGAAATCCATACGTTGTTAGTACTATTTTATTTACAACTGTTATCATAAAAGAGGCAATCCCGTAAAATAGCGCTGAGGATATTTTTCGCCAGAATAAAGTGTGCTCGTTGAGTTCCTCTTGCGTGCGATGCATGATTTTGTTTACTTACACGACAGCACTGAACACTAGAAATTTTAACATCGCTGCTTTGTGGCTGAATTTTGACTGAAATTCTTATTTGAAATCAGATAATGATATCATTCTAACCGCCTTGGCCCACACAGTCACACACAAGCAAGGACAGTATACGATAAACAAACACATGTTATTGTTAGCTGTCAGTAACGTCACCTCAATGTCAAGTCAAGAATTTTTGCTTCAATTTGCAATTTTGTATGCTTGGTGTAATTTTTATGGATTATTTAACGTTGTAGATATGTTTAAATTTGTTTGTACTTACATATTTGCTCGTTCAGGGAGGAAAATTCACTTTTTTACACTAATGCACTAGTTTGGATTGGTTAACAAAATTAAACGTCACTGTCAACTGTCAAAAGTATCAACTTCGCTTTATTCTTTTTTGGACTTTTGCCTAATAGTTATTTATATCTTACATTTTCCACTAAACGGTTGGTATCCACTCATATCGATTTGAATTTGTATTGAAATTTTGAATTATAAACCAAAAAATTATTTAGCAGTTTGGAAATTATTTATTTCAAGTAGGTAAAATAATTTTATATACATATATATCTATATAAAAATTAAATATGATATGCAAAAATAAATATTGTTATTCAACTACATATTACATATACTTTCAATTCCACCTCTTAAAACTAGGCGAGAAACTGTTTAATAATGCAAATAATATAGAACTTAGTAACAACTCGAAGTAATGTACAATATATGAAACGTCTAACGGAAAAATATGCTTAAATAAATAAGTTATAAAAAAAGATTTGTTTGGTATTCATGATTTTATATGATCAAGCTAAATAAAAACAATACAAACTTCCGAAAACCAACAATTTGATGTGTCGAATGATATGTACAGGCTTAAAACTATTTACCGGGAGATATAGAAGTGATGTAAGAAATAATGTGTCATAAATAATGGTACAAAAATCAAACATGGATCAGCTATAAACAAACCTAATTTCTCAATAAAAATTAAACGATTATGATAATAAAATGAATTAAAAATACAAGCTAGATGTTAACTGTACAAAAGATGGCTCAGACTTAATGAATCAGTAATTTTCGTATAAATTTTGTCATTTCTAATACTCTATCATCTACCGTAATACCCTGTGCAAATACTTGAGCAACAGTCACGTTGTTTCTTTCCTTAAATCATGAAAAATAACCAGAAAATTGTATCACTGAAAGAACATTAATAAATTTCAAATATTGGGAATAAAAAAATATCAATTTCTTTTACATTACGGTAAATGCATACAAAATCAGTAACTTTAAAAAGGCACAAAGTTAACGTTCAAGTAACCTAATTTATTAATTTTTTAAAATACTAAAATATTATATTTATAGTAAAGAAGCTCACAACAAGAGTTCTTAAATTTGAAGGATATGAATTATGAATACAGGCAAAGTTTACATGTTCAATATTTATTTAAAATATGAATTTTGAAATAGTAATTATACCATCTATTTACTTATCCATGTTAATTGAAAGGATAGAAATGTTAATTCGTAGAAAAGATTTTAAGTTTAGTACATTTTTTATGAATACTCTCAAAATACTAGAGGCAATAGAGGAATTCATATTAAGAACAAACAAAATTACTGAATTTCGGTGAAAAGTTTACGATCATGATAATATCTTTAATGCACAAAAACTTTAAACAGTATACAAAAGACCTAGCGTTACTTATTCAAAAGTTAAAATATCACTGACGCGCTTTTTCATCGTTGAAAATTAATGATTTTTTCTAAAATACTTGGTTAGAAACAACACCCAGTCGTTAACAAGGAAAAAATTATTTACATTAAAAATTAACCTCTTCGTCTACAACTAATTATTGAACGATTAAACAAGTGTTAAAACTAAATAAGGTATTTCAAACATAAATTTCATTATTCAAAGATATTTTAGGGACTGTAAAAATTATTCGTTCCTAAATAGTATATGCAAATAAAAATTCAACAAATTTAAAAAGTAATTGTATAAAGTTTAATGCAACAACCTCGCAATGATTTTAGAGTTACTACAAACTTAATAGAGCCGCCTAACAGATTGTGGATTAAATATTGGCACATTCTATTTCGACGTTCTCGTTACTATATCGTTATTAAAAAAATGGTTAAAACTAACGAATAGTATAAAATATTTTCGTAATTATCCGTACACAAATTAATACTACTGTCAGCACCAGTCGGCCATGTAAGTAAACTCTCTGAACAAATGTTGATCTTGGTGAGAAAGCGGCCTCGGTTCCTTCGGCGGAGTCAATTGAGGTCTTTCCGACGTGAATTCCTCATCGAAATTACTCACGTCTTCCATTGAATTCTACAATTAACAATTAATAACATAAATGTTGAATTATTAAACATAATGTGCAATATAAATCTTACCACAGTGGGTACAAAAGGCGGCTGGATTCTACGGTGTAACAATTCCTCCCATTGAATGTGTCTGAAAAACGCTTGTTTCTTCACGTCTTCAGCATCCCTTTCGCTAGAACCTAACCTTCTATCAGGACTCTTGCGTAACAACTAAAAATAAAACGCCAGTGAATAAATAGAATCCACCAATAGATGCTTAATGTGATTAATGATTTCTATTTAGCTTACTCTTCTCATAATAGCTATGGATTCCAAAGATAGAAACCTAGGATAGCGCACTTCATCATTGACAATAGAATCAAAAACTTCCTCTTCATCGTCTCCAGGGAAAGGCGACTAATTTATAAAAAAAACGAACCATTAATATTGATTAATTTCTAAAAATTAGGCAAACTTACTTCACCAACCAACATCTCGAATATAAGCACACCGAGCCCCCACCAATCGACCGCCCTAGTATACGAAGTCTCCGTCAAGACTTCAGGCGCTAAAAATTCGGGCGTACCGCAGAAAGTGCCCGTGCGATCGCCGAAGCCCATGCCCTCCTTGCATAACCCGAAATCGGCTATTTTCACGTAGCCCTCGGTGTCCAACAGCAAATTGTCCAACTTCAAGTCGCGATAGATGATCTTGTTCTCGTGCAGGTATTGCAAACCCAAAACGACGCAGGCCGCGTAAAACACCGTCCTCGGTTCGCTGAAGGCGTCGGCGTGAATGTGCATCATCAGATCGCCGCCCGCCGCGTACTCCATCACGAAGCAAACGTGCGCGTCCGTTTGGAAGCACGCGAACAAATTGACCAGGAACGGGTGTCTGATCGAATTGGCCACTTCGAATATGCGCTTCTCGGACAGCAGCGAATCCACCTCGTCCCTCGCTATGATGTCGCCCTTTTTCAGCGCCTTTATGGCGAAATATTCGCCGGTGTTCTTGTATTGGGACAGGATCACTTTGCCGAAGTGGCCTCTACCTAGGACGCTTATTAATCTGCGAAATATACACCGATCAGTTGATTACGATGAGTTCGATATAATAAAGATAATACCGGAAGTTATCGACGGTCAAACCGGTGGTTTGAGAATGTCTCTTAGACTCGTAAGCGCTATCTCTGTAATTCAGTTCTCTAGCCGGCGGACGTCTGATTACATTTGCTGCATCGTAGGAAGGCTAAAAGTATTTACAGAATTAATTGCCTTTACTAACTCATTAATTCAAAAAGTAACGTAAAACTATAACTGATTTACAAGTTATTTTACACAACTTTTTGAATAAAATGTAATAAAGCAGTCAAATTATTCATGCAAACGCTCCATGCACTACATTGTAAGATTAGTATACAATTAGTTTAATTCGTAAAAGGAAATAAATACCATTAAACGATTTTAAGTAGAAATAAATAATAGAGAAATCTACTGTGAAGGTTAGTTAATAAGAAATTGCATGCAATGGGAAATTATAATATTAAACGGGCGTGTGAAAAGTAATGCAAACACCAGCCTTAGTGGTCACCACTTTCAAATTCTTTATGAATTATTTCAATCAGATACATCATATGAAATCTAATCGGAAAGCAATCGAGTAGAATTTGTCGAAGTGGTCCAATTTAGGCGAAGAAGAAAAAAATTAAAACGGATGCAATGTCGCAACGAAAGTACCTCGTCGTCTGGGAATTCGATAACGGGCTGTGGGCTAGGCGGTACCAACTGTTCAGGAGAAAGTATAGGCGTAGAAGGTGCAGGAGACGAAGGAATCAGAAGAGGTACCGGACGACACGTCTCCTGTTCCTCCAGAAAGTCAAATTCCTTCAGCGCCGCGACGCTCTGCAACGCAAACAATTTCGTTTCATAGGCATACAGGTGCTCGTCGTGCTACCTTCTAACCCCGATATACGAGATCGACGTGAACTCCAAGTGGCCATTTACAAAGTATAAAGGTGACCTAAATTTCACGGCCGTAAAATAGGCGGTACTTACTTCTGGATCGAGCCTCGGCGGAACCGGCGGCGGCGTCAAAGACATTCGTTTTTTGGCGATCGGCGGCGGCACGGACGGAGAAGGCGGAGAGACCGGCTCCTGCCGGGCGTGGGCCAGGTCGATTTGCAGCCCTAGCGGTCTCGCGCCGCCCAAACCGGCGACCTGAGGATCGGGCGTTTCTCCTGGCGTTTCTGGTTTGTCTTCTACCACGAGATCATCCTGTATAAAAGATGTACCAACATGTTTTAATTTTTTTACAAACTTTTGTTACAAAAATAAACTTACGGTAACGTTTTCGGTGGAATTTAATACGAGATTTTGTCGACTGGGCATTCGAGAAGATTGCTTCATCCATCTACCCCAGGTGACGATGTTTATGTTCATTTGCTTCGCTCTGGGCAGACCTTGTTTGAAAATACGCTTTTGCCTTTGAAGCTTCGGTCTCTTGGATATCATTGGATTCAAAAACTTTATCTGAAAGTGCATTAACGATCGTAAGTATCCGTGCGTCTGAATTCCCCACCAAAATAATAATCCCTTTGTGGGCTGTACTTTACCCTTACCCCATGTAGAAAATCCCCACCGAAAAATAACAATACCCAAATGAGTACTTGAAAGCTTGTATAGAGATATTAAATTGATTCCTAGAAATTGTGAAATTTATAATTACATTAAATCGTTAATACTTTTGCGTTTGCTGAAAGTTTCTTATTTGGATATTTATTCTACAAATCCGCAGAGTAGGGCGGGGAATTAATGCGTGGGATTAGTGAGTGCATCATACAGGTAACAGAATTTTTGGTTTGGAATTTCGTTACCGCATTAAAACTCGAAGTAAATTATTACGTCAAAAAATTAATACCTCCGCAAATAATAATCCTTGTGGCTCCAAATGTAGCGCCATGCCGTGTCTTTCATTGTCTATAAAATCTTCTAATTTTAAAAACTTAACAGCGCACAACGACCTCCAGTCTTTCCAATATATATCAATTTCTAGTTCTCTGGATTTATCCAATTCAATAGAAAACCTAAAAATCGCAACAATGTAAAATTTGAATGATTATCACGACCATCAAAACTACCTTTGATCCCAAGCCTGCTGAGAACACGGTCTCCAACTCGTCTGTCCCACGGTGGTGTTATCTAATTTCAGTACCGCCATTATCTCGTCGCTCACCTCCTCTTTAATGCTGTAGCTCTTCGATTTTTTGAAAAACCTCAAATCCATCGGCGAGGAACTGCTGTCGGATTCCTTCTTCGGTCGACCCGGAACGTCTTCGAGGAGATCTTGACAACCCATCAGTCTTACTTCAAGGGTACCCGTCACAGCTGCGCATCTATACAATTCGTCAATTAAAAGAAGCCTTAATTTAAAAGATTTTTTTAATTAAATGTACCTATTGAGCATCGAAGAGGACACCAATTTGTTGCCTGTATTCGAATTGACTCTAAACGGTTGAAGGCTCGTATAATGCACAGTCATCGGACTAAACGATTGAGCATTAGCCAATTCTTCTTTCAAATGTTGAGCCGCTGGAGAATCCTCGGGCAGTTCGGCTTTCCTCAATTCTAATGATTTCTTCAGTAGATCCAATTTCATGCTGCTTGCCCGCAAACTCTCTTGAGCCTATCGCAATATTCCATAAATTACAAATATTACATAAATAGTCGTTTGTAATATAAAATACAAAATTATACGGCGCCAAAAGAAAGATTTTCTATCTATGGAAAGTATTGAAGAGTTTAATTAATTTAGAGAAGAGTATAATTTAGGTAAATTAAACAATGTATCATCTATTATAATTTCTGTTATGCATTAATAATAGAGCTGTTTTTTTTATTTTAACCAACTCATACAGTTAAATGGTACGAATAGATTAACCAATTTATACCATTTTAATTCGATAACTCACCATCTTTTTTTGTTAATAACACCTACAAATCACAGTTATCTTGAAGCGCTTAAATTACGTACAAAACCACACTCTATTATTCTTTAGTTTTTTTCAAACCCGCCCAGTTGGCAAACAACGGAGGAGACAACGGGGTGTCTCCCAGCGAACACGTACGATTCCTGTATCCCGCGTTGTCGAAGTGGCTGCGACAATGGTCGCAGGCGCAGCTGGGGTTTTTGGCCGGCCCCACGTGGTGGCCGGGCTTCTTGAACACCGTGATCACGGGACCGAAACGCTTAGCGATGTACCGCGGCTGCGAGTATCTACCGGGAACGATGGTGAACGGCGATCGCAACGCGGGATTCTCCTTCAACCGTTCCTTGATCAAAACGGTGCTGGGCGATCGACAGACGGGGCTCGAGGCGTCGTCGCGCAGTTGGGCGGTCAGCACGTGCGACGTTTTCACATCGGCTATCATAACTGGCTTGGGTGAGATTACTTTAGGAGTAGACATCGATTTGGTCAAGTTGTTTCGATTCAAAACGGTCCAACCCTTCTCCGAGCCCTCGCTACCTTCGGTGTCCGAATCCTTCGACACGTTCATCATGCTCAGTCTTTTATCCACCGCCTCTTGGAGCTTATCCTGCTCCTCCAACGTCCTATCTTGCAACAGCTTGTGCTTCCACATTCGCTCCATTCGTTTGATGCGCAATTTATCCTCGGAATCGGCGTAATCGAAGCTATCGCTGGGCGCTAGATTGGCGCTGTTTGATGTGTTATTGCCGGCGACTTCTTCTTCGATCCGACGAGGCACGAAGTACAAACTGTCGTTTTGCGGAATGCTAGAGCGACTGTGCAACAGGCTGTCGATATCGGAGAACGTGTCCTTCCACGAGGTGTTACAAGCGGACGATTCGTAATCGGGCACCGTGCAAGAGGATATCGAAAACGGCGTTACGGAGCTCTGCATGCTGGAAATCGAGCGGCCTATCGTCGTGTAGGAGCTCACTTTGGAAGGGTAACCGGTGCTAAAACCATCCTCGTTGTCCGAATCCTCTTTCACGATCTCGGTACTTGTACTTTTCATTTTGGCTAAATGGTACGGCAAAATCTTATCGTCGGCCTTCTTGTGGGTCACGCACATTTTTTTCGATTCGAACACGGTCTGAGGCGTCGAAGCGGATTTGCTTCGCGAATCGGAATCCGACGAGGAGCTGTCGGTTTCTATTTCGGTGCCGGTACAATAAACGTCGATGTGAATCGTACGAGGTTTCTTCGACGAATCTTCGCTGCCTGATCCAGTTTTGGTGCTCGCTTTCGACGCTGAAGGTTTGAAACTCGAAGAATGGGGAGCTTCCTATAAAAGCAATGATTATATTGCAGATTTAAATTAGGGTCCTATTATCAATTGACAAGTCAAGGTCAGAGTTAACCAACAACAGTAAAATTTGGCAAAATATTACATATGACCAAAACACTCTAGCTATCTTCTATGGCTCGTATTCAGCGCCTCTGTTTACTTTAGAATAACTCTAAAGTCGCGTCTTTAACTTGACAGATTTACATTGTTGTTGTGGAGTAACTAGGGACTCGAGAGGCGACTTTAGTGTCACACTTAAGTTAAACAGAGGCGCTGAATACGGGCCTATGTATATAAAATGAAACATAAGTGATTGTTTTTCGAAAGCGTAGTGTTTTGGTATTTAAATATGTATATCTGTAGTTTATGTTATACTAGGATCTTCTGACCTCTTCAAAAGATCTTGTATATTCCATTGTTATTGTAGATTAATCTACACTTAACTGTCGATTTGTAATACTACCTAATTCGTCAATTAATTACCTGGGTCTGAGAATCGTCTATTTTAACAGACACAGGGGACGTGGAGCTCCTCAACGAAGATTGCCTGCTGCGGTTATAAGCGACAACCCGACTTCTTTTCAATTTAGTACCAGTGGTCTTCAGCATGGGCGAAGTGCACTTATTCACCATTTCGTAGGTTTGAACGGAGGCGTCTTTGACGTTTCGATGGTAAACGGTGCAACTTTCGCTGGCGATGTCCTCGCAAGTTTCCCTCAACGGTGATATCCGCCGGAAATCGTCGTATTGGACGTGATGACACCACGGATCGCCGCACCCGTAGTAATTTTCCGCGCCCGGTTTCCTTTCGTAACACATCGACGGCGTTTGGCATCGCAGGCTCTGCGTTCTGCCGCACGACGCCGTGATATTACACTTCCGTTGGCTGTTGTTCTGGCTGCACGTGCTCAAATCGCTGCCGTACGCGGAGTCCTGGGTGGGCACGCTCAAGTGGGACTGTCCTTTTTTAACGCCGAACGAACCCTCGCTGTCCGAGGCGACGATTTGGTGGTCCTTCGCCGTCCAATAGTACAGCATTCGAATGCCCTTTTCGTCTTGTACGGTATTTAATCGCGGCGGATTCGAGGGATTCCTCATCCCCGGATGATTGATCGTGAATTCGGCGTGCACCGTCCATTGCTGCTTGTTGTCCATGTTAACGGTATTAGTCATTCATAGTCTCACAATAGACACTCCGGTTCACTAACATTAGAAAGTAATTTTTAACCACTGGGGATTGCGTCACTGAAGCAACAGGCTGAGATATTTTTAGAGATATTAGGAATGGCAAATGGATATTTTTTAAATAATCCCATAATAGCGAATAATGGGGATTAAAACTATGCGCGATTTGTTGCAAATCATTCAATTTAGTAGAGAGAATAAAACGGTAAACAATAGCAGCAACGATTTTGAGTTAAGATTAGACGAAGAAGTAATTTTAGCTCGATAAACTTTCGACGGTTTCGATAGCAGGAATAACGAAACACGGTGTTCCGCTGCGTCGGTAATACTGAAAAGATTTTTTGGCAAGTGTGCGTACTATTTATATAACATAATTTTGTTTCTAACTACCTACATTATTGTCACACAAATAGCCGCGATGCGTCTTAGTCTTTGTAGTATATCCGCAGGTGTACAGTTTCTGCATTGATGAATAAATTGGTAACTGACCAATTTTCAACTATTGAACTCTTTTTACATAATAGTTTCGGATATAATAATGTTCCACCTTGCTTAAATACGGGATTGGGATTAAGCTAATTTATTATTTCTAAATTTAATCAAATTTTTATAGAATAATACAGAGTTTACATTAGAAAAATATTGGCAGAAGTTTAGCATTACTCACCAAGGTTACCTGTATATTTTGAGTTGGAAATAAAAGTATTTTGAAAACATTTAATTCGATTAGCAAGAATTTGGATAAAACCGGCATTATCTTCAATCTACAATTAGTATCATTATCTTAAATAATACCATTCTTTCGGCAAATTATTACAAAAATAAACAAAGTTTTAAAATTTTTCGGAAACAGCAGAGTTATTTAAAGAATTATTATTATTACAAACAACTAAGCGTCTAAGTATGTAAAAATATTTTCAACGGTTTTTTTCAATATCGAATCTTTGAATCAGCATTTTGACGCCGCATATTTTTAATGCATTCAAGCTAAACGAGCGACTTACCTCTAAAAGAGCTTTCTTCTCATTCTTGTCCTTATTGTTATTCTGCAATAGCTTAATAACATTTTTGGCACCTTCAACAACAGCTGCTTCCACTCTAAGTCTATGTTTCAAATCTTCTAACCTATCATCGAGCAGGGGCTGCAATTCGCCTTGAGAAACGTCCCCGTTTTCAGTTAAATCTTGTACAGATCCGCGCGATTTCGAATCGGCGTCATGTTTTAACTACAAACGAAACAAAAACAAACAAATGACACTAATGCAATCCAAAAAAGAACCGTCTTACCTTGGTTATTTTCATTTTAAGATATTCTATTTTCTTCTTCGAGTCTTGGTACATCTGTTGGGCTTCCCACAATAATTTTTTATCTCTGCCAGTGATGCTTTGGATCATATTCTCTGCCCCCTGCTTTACTTTCAATTCTATATTCAATTGCTTCTCTAGGCTTTCTATTTTACTATAAAAGTTCGAATTGCACTTGTCCATACTGTGGTTCGACAATGACGAATAATTGAGGGAATCTGCAAATTTTGAAAATTCATTAATTAATACTAAATCAGCGATATCTCTTTCTGATTTTTGGTTTAAGTATCATTTTGGGGGACTTCAAGTTGCGTACGATAATATTTAACAAGATATACAAACTGTCAAAAGTGACATTAGTGACATTAATCGGAAATCGATTTTATGGTATAGAGATGTGGTTCTAAACGTTACTAAATAAGCGTTATTTGTTGATTTATAGTTACAAGTAGGTGTTTGACAGAACTACTATTCTGAGAACAATATTAGATAAAGTACCTCCGTTGGAGGGCGCCAATGACGGCGTGCTCTGTCCCTGGGACAGGATAATCTGCGACTCCAATTCGCTGAGTTCATTTTTCAATTCGGTCAATTTGAAATTTGAGTTTTTGACGATCGTGGAAACGTGGCTGAGCGATTTGCGATCGGTCGATACGCCTCTCAATTTCTCCGCCCCTTCCTTGATTTTCAACTCCTTCCTGATCTCGCGCTTGATGATGTCTTTTAGTTCTTCTAGCTTGCCAGGGAGCTGCGACTCGACCAGGTTGTCGGTCGGTATGCCGTATTTGTGGGACAGCTCGTATATGACGGGATGTCTGATGTAATCTCCCTAGAAAGAACAAAAAAATTTAATTAGCATCGATTATTATCAACAGTTTTCAAACGCGAGTACTATAATAGGTAAGGCGATTTACCAAACGATCCGTTCGCACCATAATTAAAACGTTTCTTCGGGGTACTGTTATGCTTTCGACGAATAAAAATTAATTGTAAACGTAATTAACAAAACATGTACGCTATAAAATCATTATATGTAATTAGCGTGCTGTTTATTTCTTATTTTCACAGTTGATTTCGATTCAATGCAGGCAGATAAAATTAACTGACGAATTCGAACGGTTGGCTTGCCAACAATCCAGAGCAAATATGAATTGGTCCAGGATGTTGATAGAATAAATTTTTTGATATAAATATTTATGTGCGATCTCGAGTTTTTGTTTCTAACGTATGTTCTCTTATTAAGTACTCAATTTATCTGCATTAGGACAAATTTATGAATGATTGATTGCTGATGTAAACGATAAAAATCTTTCATAGTAGTATTGGTTAATTAGCTAATCAATTACTACTAATTAAGTAATAGTAATAACAACAATAATCTTCCTCAGTATATGTGCCTGCCTTTTCCTTATACTAGTAGATTCAAAACACAATTTTGAAGAAAAATATAAAATAAATAAAAAAAATGTATCTTACAACATGGGTGAAAACATCAAATGTATTATTATATGTGCACATACAAAATTAATTGTGAATACTAACTTCGTCGCTTTCGCTCTCACTGCTTATATGCCTTTGCCGACACTTCCACATTTTCCTAACAATTTGTTTGGCATTTAAATCTATTTCTAAGAACAATGGATACAACTACATTTGATAATTCTGTACTGAATGGGAAATGTGAAAATGATAAAAGTATGTATAATGTTAGATTATTAATACCTGATAATGATATTTGCAGAAGATAAAAGAGATAGGGTTTCCGAGTGTTCAGACAATTCAAATATATGTAAAAAATTCATTAAAGCGATTATTAATCAGTCCTAATCAATTCCTAATTTTTCATGGGATTACCGGTGTATTAACAACAGGTAAACGTTTATGTGCCCACTAAGGTGATTTATGGATTATTTTATTTATTTAAAGTTCAGTAAAACTATCAATGTATTAAACAAAAACCGTAAAAATTATATAATAGTAGGTACTATAAAAATAAAATTATCTTTTGTATACATAATAACTATAAATGATTGTATCAAATTATACAAATTAAAAATAAGGAAATTTACATAAAAAAATTAACAGGAAAAATGTTCTACTCAAACTATACAACACTTATAAAAACAATTTCTTCATTAAACAATAGGATCGTTAACTAATTTAATCCAGTTTATACAAACAACAATGCCATGTTAGGACGATTGCAATGCTATTTTATTTAAATTGCTTCTTTATTAAGAAATCAGAACCTATTTAAAATCAGAGCAAAACGTTTATTGAAATAAACGAAAACAAAATTTGATGGGAGCATTAATTGGTTTTATGACTTACTGAACTCATTTTCTTCCTGCTATTTTAGTTTACATGTCAACACAAACTTGTTACATATTAACTGAAAAAACACTGCAATGATAAACAAAATTGATTTCACGCTGATAAGATTAGTTTTACAGTGTTCTTACAACAATTTCCTGATAAATCCATCTCTATGCTTGAACTTTCTTCTAAACATTTTTAAAAATGACTAAGAATCCAGAAAAATACAGTAAACAAACAAGTCTAGTTTAAAAATAAATGAACAATAAAAAAATGTATGCTTTTAATTTTTTTATACGAATTTACAAATACCATTTCAAAAATCATTAAAATCAACATCGCAATTCTTTACAGAGTATTTCTTCAACAAATACCTCGCCTGTCGCTGATTCAAGTACACATCATTGTACAGAACTTTATACAATTTATTTTTGTGACCCGTTATGAAAAAATGAGGCACCACATTTTTCTCCTCGATTCTTCGAATAATACCTTTTTTCACGCCATCGCATTTGAAACTAACCTCTTCGTCTATTAAAAAACTAAAATCGCTAATCACGTTTTCCACTTTGGCATCGCAGGTATTCTTATTTCGAAAGTAGTACACCCGATATCCTTCCTCGGAATTTACCGATTTGCCCAATTTCAATGCGGGCCACAAGCTGCCCCTTCCCTTCCGAGCGAATATCAACTGAAACGGTTTAACACTGTAAATATTATTTTTAAGTATTTATGCCGCTAGAGCGTTGAAATAACTCACAATAAACGAATCGGTAAATCATCTTCGGAGGATGAAAAAAAATCAGTTGTCATTATTCATAATAATTTTGCTTGTCGTACTGATTAATTCTTATCATTCTATAAATAAAATGCAATAGGCAATCTTAGAGTAGAGAAGGGTGCAATATTAAAAAATACAGGGGGATAACAATAGTATATCTACTACTTGATTGTAAGTATTTAAATAAAAAATACTGCAATCCAAACATGTTATTTGTGATTTGTATGATTCAATAATATTACAATACATTGGCATAACAATTCAGTGAATATGAATTATTACGCATACATAAAAAAAATCTAGGGTTTCATGATATCAGATTATTTTACTGTTTAATGAAATAACAAAATTGCTGTACAAAATTACAGTACTTTCTTGTACCAATTTCCTCGCCTGAAAGCTTACCATAACATGGGATTAATTATACTTTGTTCAATTAAAATTTACATACTAGAAATTTAACAAAATGCGAAACCAATATTAATTCCAAATAAGCGGCAACTCACGCTGTTATTTAAATGTTTATAATATACAAATTAATTGTCCGAACAATAACCATAAGTAAATTGAAATTTTTCATTTATAGCCTTTTCAGTTAAGTAATTAAATGAAAAATAGGGCATGTCCATTTTTGGTTTAAAATATCAATGACATTCTTATGGCTCACAGCATTGCAATTACCAGCCTGTTTTCTGTAATGAAATACCTCCACACGTAAATTAGGATGCCCTACTTTTAGCGATAAACGAATTAAATAATTTCGCTTGTTTTCGAAGTGTTTTAATGGTAATTTAAACGAGCAATTTAGCATTAATATAACCTGCAATAACAGAAGCGACTAGGTATTTTCGGTATAAGACTCTCGGAAATTACGATATTAAATGCACACGAACTGTTTGCTGATAAAATATACTAAATATAAACCACTACGAGCTAATAATACACCCTAATTTGTAGTATTTATTACCTGATAATAAGAATCAGCCATTTTGTATCCAAATTCACATCACTAATTTCACAAAAATTTCTTGTTCTGTTCTAATATTTATCACTATTTAACAATCACTAATGTTTACTTCCATATTTATTCAGACTTGCAATTACTCTTCACTAGTAACTGGTGGAAACTGAAAAGTTTTTCACTTATTTGGTTAATCACAAAAATACTGTATATTTACAAATTTGGCAGGAAAAGACATATTTTTTAATCGTGATCCGCAATCCGCAGAATCAAGATCACAAATCACAATTATCCGATTGGATCTCTGATAGGCGACCTAGCGACACGGCACGAGATACGAACAGTACGCGAACAAACCATGTAGATACGTTTCGTTGTTCAACAACTTTAATCGATTCAATTTTCTTTCAATAAAAAGTATTTGGTTTAAAATTAGTATAAGTTTGTTTTCTGTAAATAGAGTATTTGATTATTAGTTCCTTGAAAATAATTGCAAGTATTTGAAAAACAATTTTAGTTGGTGGATGTAATGAAATAGATCTACTAAAAAACGTACCTTTTATGACGTACATTGCTGCCAATTGAAAGGTGATTTCTGATTGGTTGAATGAAGCTATGCGTATGCGCGGTAGGTCTCTCCATCTGTCTGCAAAATTATCCGTTCACATTTGACGCCAGCTTCGCCATCTCTGTTTCGATCAAAAAGACGCGGCGATACGCCCTCACAGGACATTCTTGGAGTTAAGGGTAAGATTATTAAAATTCGTAAATTTCGCACGATTTAAGTATTTCTCGTTTTCGTAAGTAGCACAATCGATGGCTTGTTATGTAAATTCCCTAATTACGTGCATTAAGCGCTCGAAGTTGACGTATTTCTGTCATAAAGCCATTCTATTCGGGAGCATCATCAGCCTTCCTCCTCGACCAAATCATTGATGACAGCGCCAACGGTGCTAAATTCTAGAAATTTTTGTTAGTTGAAATGCCCCCTACAACTGCCGCGCTTAATTTGACGATTTGATAAATTTTCAAAATAATTATTACAACAATCAATCGCGATTATAACGAATCGTTTGTCCGCAACGATAAAATGGCGTCATTCCTAATAAAGGCTTGCATATTGCATAGAAGATAAGTCGGTCATTATCGCTTTCTATTTTTCTTCCAAACTCGAAATTTCAAATTATCACCACAATCATTTTATATTTACTATTTTTTAACAGATCTCCTGGCTCAGAAGATGAATACAACTTTCTCGGAAGATCCTACCATAAAATTGGAGGAAACCCCCGAAAACGTTACAGAAATTCAATCATATTTGGCAGGGTTTCAAAAGGAAATCGGCGAAACTACTATTCAACCCGGTTCAGGTACAATATATGCTTTTTAAATTAATTTCATTTACCAAATTTTAAATCGTTTGTACACTAAAAGAGCTACATGTTTATTGTTTACTTTATTCAGGTACAGAAAACGAAAATGAACAAGAAGAAGGCACTTACTTTGTGGACCAATCCGGTCATTATTACTTCCAAGCGAAAGGTTCAAATCAACCGGTAATGACGGTAATGCCATCCATTAGTTCATCAAACGAATCTGAGGATTTTATTATCAGTCAGGACAATGATGTCGATGAAGATGCAGAGAATACCGATGATGTAAGTTCTCTTTGTAGTTCCTTATATTGGGTATTTAACATAAGAAAGCATTAAGTTGCATTCCCGACGAGTTAGAGACTCCTCTAAAATGTTTATACTTTTTTACAGCCCCTCATTCAACAAGGTGAAAGCAATCAAATAGTAATTAACTCCGGAAATGCGTACCAAAGAGTTACAGTCGTACCTACGGACAACAACAGCGGTGAACTTAGTTACGTATTGATTGTTCAAGATCCTTCGGATGCGAAAGAGGGAGAACAAAGCGATGGTGATCAAGACATGGCGGGTAAATATAGAAATTGATCGAAATTTGAGCGATTCTAATGTATGTTGCGTTTTCAGTGTACGATTTCGATGAAGCCGAAGAAGCGGATATTTTAGACTCGGATGCGGAAGATGATAAAAGCAAAATAGTGAAAATATTACCGCGAAAATCGCAAGTCGTCGCGCAGGCTCACATGTGTAATTACTGCAACTATACAAGCCCTAAACGCTACCTCCTCTCCAGGCATATGAAATCGCATTCGGAAGAGCGACCGCACAAATGCAGCGTTTGCGAAAGGGGTTTCAAGACCCTCGCTTCGCTGCAAAATCACGTTAATACCCACACCGGCACGAAACCGCATTCCTGCAAATATTGCGACGCTGCTTTTACTACATCAGGTAAACCATTTCCCCAATCGAAGTAGCTACAATTCACTTACTTCTTTCAATTTGTAGGTGAATTGGTTCGTCATGTGCGATACCGTCACACTCACGAGAAACCCCACAAGTGCACGGAATGCGACTACGCCAGCGTGGAATTGTCCAAATTAAAGCGACACATTCGTTGCCACACGGGGGAAAGACCTTACCAATGCCCTCATTGCACCTACGCCAGTCCGGACACGTTTAAATTGAAGCGCCATCTTAGAATACACACCGGCGAGAAACCGTACGAATGCGACATCTGTTCAACGAGATTCACCCAATCGAATAGTTTGAAAGCGCACAAACTCACGCATAATAGTAAGTATTGATGTGTATAAAATATTGCCTCTTATAATGTACGATTTTCTTTTAACAGTTGGAGATAAACCCATTTTCCAATGCGACCTTTGTCCTACGACGTGCGGTCGTAAAACTGACCTGCGCATACACGTCCAGAAATTGCACACTTCCGATAAACCATTAAAATGTAAAAGATGTGGAAAATCCTTCCCGGATAGATACAGTTATAAAGTAAGTACTTTTAGAGAGATGTTTCTATAGTTGTGGAAATTGTGCACCTCTAAATAAATTGCCGGAACTTATAATGTTCTCGGTGTTAGACAAGTCTTGACGTGTTCATGCAACTATCCAGTGCAACATTGTTCAGTCTGATTCAGGAGTTCTACTAATATAGACCTGTTTTAATAGCACAGTTTTTGGTACCATTGAAGTAGCAAATTCACAATCGATTCACAGATAAACAGTACTTTTGGATTCTATAGACTCATCAAAAAGACGCTGAATAATTTCTGATGTTTTTACACTTTTTCTCCACAAAAATTTTTGCTGCATTTTCCAAGATTCAGGTCCTGAATCAAACTGAACAATGTTACACTGAATAGTTGCTTAAAAAAATATCAAGATTTGTCTTTCACCAATAACATTGGCCCGTACTCAGCGCCTCTGTTTAACTTTAGAGTGACTCTAAAGTCGCGTCTTTAACTTGACAGATTTACATTGTTGTTCTGGAGTTACTTGGGACTCGAGACGCGACTTTAGAGTCACTCTAAAATTAAACAGAAGCGCTGAATACAGGCCATTGCCTATAATTTCTACGTGACTTAATTAGGGTACATTTCCCAGACGTTTTGAAACATCTATCGTATAATAGTTGTGTAATTTTTTATGTAATTTTTAGCTGCACAACAAATCCCACGAAGGCGAGAAATGCTACAAATGTGATCTGTGCCCTTACGCGTCGATATCGGCGCGACACCTCGAATCCCACATGCTTATACACACCGACCAGAAACCGTACCAGTGCGATCAATGCGATCAATCGTTTCGACAGAAGCAGCTGCTTAAAAGACACCAAAACCTCTACCACAATCCGAATTACATTCCGCCGCCGCCGCGGGAGAAAACCCACGAATGTCCGGAGTGTTCGCGAGCGTTTAGGCATAAAGGTAACTTAATCAGGCACATGGCGTTGCACGATCCCGACCCGTCCATACAGAGGAAACAGTTGGAATTGAAATTAGGAAGACAGAAGAAGATTCAAATGATCAACGGGCAACAGGTTGGTTCAGTTTCGTGGCGTAGAGTAATAAATGTTGTAATACGAATTTATTTTAGGTCGAAATGCATGGTATGGGTTCTGATGAGGAAGAAGAAATCGACCTAATGGCGGTAGAAGGATCTGATGGACAACAATATGTCGTTTTGGAGGTTATTCAATTAGCAGACGGTGAAGAACAAACAATGGTTGTTGGTGAAGGTGCTAGCGAGTTATTAAGCGAGAGTATTTTACCTGATCATGGTACGTAATTTGATTATGTATTTTATATAAGTAATTGCATGTATGTATATGAGGAGACATTTGGTCCTCTTTGTATATTGTAGAAAGTTTCTGTGGCCCATAATAAGAAATGTTAAATCTGTTGTAGATTTAAATGAAGAAGACGTGATTAAGGCGTTGCAATCTGCTCGTCGGGCTGTTGCCAAACACGATATAGATGATCAGGAAGAGCAGCAGGAAGAAGAAAAGAAAGTTGCAGCGACTGATATGCAAAATTGCTTCGGCTTTGATGTAAGTGCAGCAATTGCCAAATAACATTAAACTTAAATATTAATTTTGCTTGTTTTATTAGGATGAGGAAGATGAAGAAGAAGATGAAGATGATGATGAAGCAATAGACAAGAAAAGCATTACACTCTTGGATGATATAAATTAAGGGTTATTAAATGTAACTATTTATAAAGTAATCTTGAATTTTAGTTGCTAGCATTAGGTGTTCAGTAATTAGTATCATTTTCTGATTAGGCACATATTTTGTTATAATTTGTTATTATATTATATTATTATTATAATTTGTTTAGTTATAATACTAATATAAATTTTTGTATATAATACACTCGATGCATTTTTATCTTAGTTCATTATACTGAAGTGTAAATAGAAGGCAAGAATTTAGAATAATAAATTACTCTATTATAGATTCGTTGAGGATGTTTGTCACAATAAAAACCAGTTTGAAATCGCTGTTGCAATTTTTTTCGTAAATTTTGACTCGGGAAATAGGAGAGTTAACTATTTCCAGAAAGGATTTCTCTAAAAAGAAATAATTTTATTTTCACCGCGTTTACCTTATTTTACCAAACCTAAAACTAGATATGAATCAACATTTTACACTTTTTCTTAGCTCTTCTTCTACTTCCCAAAATTTCTCTCTATTCCGAAGTAATTGCAACGTTTTATCGCTAAGTTCCTCTTGACCTTCCAATTCACCGCCCAATTCCTTGGGAAGGCACTGTTTCGGGATAATTTCAGCGAGCTCATCCAACGACAATCCGGGTTGGAACACTTGAATCTATATAATTTTTAAAATAATTATGATATTTATGGATTTTGCGCACTTATGAATTTATTACTTTTTTGCCTTGACCAGCCTTGACGTAATGTGGCTTAAAACTATTATCCACAAGAAAACGCGATTTATATGCTCCCTGTATCGCTCTCCTAACGACAACCAACCTCATCAGCTGTTTCAACACTTATCAGAGAAAGTCGACTGGATCCAGATCAACTATCCATCATCTGAAATTATCATTCTTGGCGATTTCAATGCTCATAATTCCGGTTGGCTAACACACTCCAACAAAACGGACGAGGCCGGAAGACAAGCCGAAGCCTTTGCAATCAGCTGCAATCTATCTCAATTGATAGATTGTCCAACAAGAGTTCCCAGTAACCCTAATGATTTCAGAAACACGCTAGATTTGTACCTAACCTCAGAGCCTGACAGCTATGACATCACGGCACATAGTCCACTTGGCAACTCAGACCACATCTTATTATCCGCATCATGTCCCTTAATTGTGGAGACTGTCGACCAACCCAGAGCTCGTCGTCTAGTTTGGCACTACAACAAAGCCAAGTGGGATGAGCTGAGGGACTTTTTCGCAGCGTTTCCTTGGAGCGCTACCTGCTTTGCGAACAAAGACGTTAATCAGTGTGCTGAAGCTGTCTCTGAGGTAATCCTTCTAGGTATGGAACTCTATATTCCACATAATCGCAAAAAACCACCATCCACAACACCCTGGTTTAACAAAGAATGCGAGCAAGCGTCCGTTAACAAAAATAGAGCGTTCAGAGAGTGGTGCTCAAATCCGTCGGAAGAAACGCGACAAACATATATGCAACTTAGAAATAAGTGCAATTTGATTATCCAACAAGCAAAACAAGCATTTAACAATAAGGTAACAAATAAGCTTTTAGAATGTCCTAGTGGTTCGCGTCCATTCTGGTCACTAGCTAAGGCTATCAACAACAATTTTTGCCATACCACCTTCCCACCACTTGTTAAAGATGATGGCACATTGGCGACCAGCTCCAAAGAGAAGGCAGACCTCTTCGCGGCACTATTCGCAAAGAATTCAACGCTAGATGCAGGTCAAAAGGTACCTCCTAATATTCCTAAGTTTCAGGTTTCAATGCCCGAACTGAAATTTCAAACACGTAACATCCGCCGCATTCTGAAACAACTAAACTGCAAAAAGTCAATGGGACCTGACGGGATACCTGCAATTGTATTAAAGCACTGTGCACCCGAACTCGCACCTTTGCTCTGTCGGCTTTTTAAGCTGTGCTATGAGCAGAGGACATTTCCATCTGTATGGAAGGTTGCAAGAGTTCAACCAATACCAAAAAAAGGGAAAAAGTGCCTTCCGCAAAATTACCGCCCGATAGCCCTTCTACCCATATTATCCAAAGTAATGGAATCTGCCATTAACTTGCAGGTGGTTAAATATCTAGAACAGAATGGTCTCATAAGTGACAACCAGTACGGCTTCCGACACAGTCGCTCAACAGGTGACCTGCTCACCTATGTTACACACATTTGGACAAGTGTTATCGAGAACCACGGAGAATCAATAGCGGTCGCTTTAGATATATCTAAGGCCTTCGACCGGGTTTGGCACAAAGCACTGCTATCTAAGCTGGCATCCTACGGTCTGCCCCAAAAACTATGCGGACTTATAGAGAGCTTTCTGCATAGGAGACAAATTCAAGTTGTGGTTGACGGTGCAACTTCAGATCCTTACTCTTTGAACGCTGGTGTACCTCAAGGATCGATTTTATCACCAACTCTATTCTTAATTCACATAAATGATCTTTTAAATTCAACCAAAAACAAAATTCTCAGCTTCGCAGATGATAGCACTCTCATAGCATCCACTACAAACAAGAGACCTGTCAGTGCATCTAAATCAAGTCGCCAAAGGCTCTTGCAAGCTGAGTCCATCAACAACGACCTTCAAATTATTTTGAAGTGGGGATCCGATAATCTGGTTGAATTCAACGCCTCCAAGACCCAGGCAACCATGTTTACAAGAAAGACGTCCTCCGTCATACCCCAACTAGCATTGAATAACCAAACAATTAAAACAACTAATAAATTACATCTTTTAGGGGTCAGCATTAATTCAAATGCAACCTGGCATGAACATGTTTCCACCATAGCTAAATCAGCCGCCCAGAAGCTTAGTTACTTATTTCGTGCCAGAAAAATGTTCACACCAAAGCAGCTTCTGTTACTCTATAAGGCTCAAGTTCGTCCAGCATTGGAATATTGCTCTCATGCTTGGAGTTCTGCTCCTAAGCACTCCTTGCACCTACTAGACTCCATTCAAAAAAGAGCAGTGCACCTAGTTGATGACCCCTCATTAACCTCTAACCTTCATACACTAGACCATCGTAGAAGGGTTAGCGACTTAAGTCTCTTTTACAGATATTACCACGGAAGGTGTTCTGCAGCCATTGCTTCCATTATTCCACCTGGTGCTCACTTTGGACGTTCTACAAGGCTAGCGGAGAGCACACACCAGTTTGCCGTACACATTTCAACAGCTAGGACCTCTATGTATCAGAAATCTTTTCTGTACAGAACCGCGACACTATGGAACACACTACCATCAGAAGTGTTCCCAGTTGGTTACGACCTTCAGAGGTTTAAGACCAACATTAACAATTACCTACTAAAAACGCCTCGGGGCGCCTGAACAGGCGTTATAAGCTTCGTCTTTTCCCGAGTCGTGTGCATAAAAAAAAAAAAAAAAAAAAAAAAAAAAAAAAATTCGTTGAGGATGTTTGTCACAATAAAAACCAGTTTGAAATCGCTGTTGCATTTTTTTTCGTAAATTTTGACTCGGGAAATAGGAGAGTTAACTATTTCCAGAAAGGATTTCTCTAAAAAGAAATAATTTTATTTTCACCGCGTTTACCTTATTTTACCAAACCTAAAACTAGATATGAATCAACATTTTACACTTTTTCTTAGCTCTTCTTCTACTTCCCAAAATTTCTCTCTATTCCGAAGTAATTGCAACGTTTTATCGCTAAGTTCCTCTTGACCTTCCAATTCACCGCCCAATTCCTTGGGAAGGCACTGTTTCGGGATAATTTCAGCGAGCTCATCCAACGACAATCCGGGTTGGAACACTTGAATCTATATAATTTTTAAAATAATTATGATATTTATGGATTTTGCGCACTTATGAATTTATTACTTTTTTCATAACTTCCTGGTTCAGGAACATTTTGATAATGCCCAGTAGTTTTTCCAAAAAGTAGTTAGAGTTTAGCAAATACATGGCTTTAAATTTCATCGGCAGGCCCTCGCTGAGGTAGATGAAGTACTTATTTATAGGATCCGGTCTTAACTTCGTGAGGTGCATAGCAGTAAACTAAAAATTATATAATGATGATTACACTAATTTAGTATTTAATAAAATACTAATACTTACACCTTCCATGTCAACCAAGAAAATAATTCCATCTGGGGGGTTCCCATACTGATGAGTGTCCATCAGCATAAAAGACAGTTTCATGCTCGGTAACATTTCGAAATTACTGGTGTTAACATCTCGTAGAGAAATATAAACAACGGCATCGTTATTAACTGTTCTAACGGGTATAGTAACGAACCTCCTGAAACGTACCTGTGCATATTAACGAATAAAAATCAATTCCAATCAAATTTACATCGTCTTGAACGCTTTCTGCAACTCGGCCCTCTCCAGGCTCCTGTTATCGAATATATCCGGACATTCCCTTCGAATTTTATAGTACACTTTGATCGTTTTCTTCGCGAGTTCGATGTCATTGTCGCAGGATAACAGAAACAAAACGATCAATTCGTCCTGAATTGTCACGGGCACGAATTTCTCCGTGTTAGTGAAAAGCCACTTCTTCAATTCCGTTACGGAAGCTTGCGTGGTTTTTCCCTCTTTAATAATTTCGCTGGCGGTGAAATTAAAGTCCAGACTCATTTTCTCTAATCTGCAACTATGATTTATGAGTTATTTTTTGGTTTATATACGAATTTATAGAATTGTGATACTAAAAATTAATGAGATACGAATGCAGAAGATAAATTAGAATGTGCAATTCTCTTATAATCACAGCTATAAATACATACATACTGTTGCATAATGTACTGTGACTGATTAAAACAATAAATAAAATATTTTTGCATTATTTAATCATAAGTGTTTCATTTGAACTTTGAAATTCACGTGCGAGTATCGTTTTGTTACCACAGTATACGAGTAACATCTCTTATAAATAAATACCAATTTTTTTTGTAATAAAATATAAAGTAACTTACCTAAGTGGAAGAAATAGAATAATTAAACGAGGTTTTCGTCTATTTAATATTGTCAGAACTTCTAGCAGCGAGCAGTTGAAGTGGAGCTGAGAGGAGCCTTGAAACAAAACTTTGCATGTTACAAAATTTCCAATTATCTGCATTAAAAATCACTTACCTACTAATTTTAGTTTATTTTTTTGTTAACTGGATATTAACGAAGTCCCGAAAAGGCGGGGATCAAATCTTTCTTTAGCTTATCAATGAAAACAAAACAGTACAATCAAACTAACGTATAATAAAGTTATATTAAGTATTTTTTGTATGTACAACAAATATATTTTTTTAGTTGTTTAAAGTTGAAATTGCGGGGCAATTAAGGAAGGTCAACAGGACCAATTATTATGTTCGAATTAATGAATAAATCGGTCGTTTACGAGCATGTATGATCATTAATTAAATGAACTTTATTTTGTACAACCGTAGAATTATTTTTTTAATCAAAAACGCGCATTGGAAAATTTAATTTCATCTTATTCACAACTTAAGCCTTCTGATGTCTTCAACTTTAAAATCTGTCCTGAAATTCAAGATAAAAACATTGCAATAAGAGTTTTAAATACAGGTTGTTTTGCATAAGAACCAACAAATATAAACCCAAAACACCCCCATAAAGTCCCGCAAAATATGCTCATTTAAAGCCTCCTAAATACATTGAGAACTGGATATTTTTTGTTTGTTCTTATGCATAATCACCCCCTCAAATAGAGATAGAGAACATTCACATTAATTCACCAAATTACCTTAAAGCAATGACTCCTCGAAGTTCAGTAGGCGTCAGTCTCCAAGTCAAAGCCCCATCGTGGCTACCCCAATAATCGTATATTTCGCTGACTTGCTCCAAATTTAAGACAGTCGCGATTTGAGTGAGCCTGGCAAACTTGTCCCGCACAGACCAGGAGGTCGTAGCAGTAATGTATCCAGCTAACGATCTGACTTCTTTATCCAGTACAAGCCCGCCCAACTGCAACAATCGAGCTTAGAATAAGTACCAGTTATGGGCGATTAGAACTCACTCTATTGAAGGTGCTTTTCATAATCACTTTTTCCAGTCTTTGAGTGACTTCGGCCGTCAAAACTTGCGTAAGTAAATCGTAGTTAGACGAAGTTAAGACGTCCTTGAAGGACGATAATAGAGTTTCCAAGTTCATAATTAAGGTTTGAACGAAGGATTCGCCGGCTTCGTATGCAGATAATTCATCCTAAAAAGAAGGCTTAATATTTGAGCCGTTTATGTTTGAGGTACTTACATCTGTGAGATGGTGGTTCATGTTCAAAAACTGATCCACCCAGGGGTTAATTCTGGGCTTAATGGCCGACGATCGCAGCTGCTGGATTCCATAGTCTATTATATCTTTTAAGTTTATGGTAACGGAAGATAAACCGGACAGGCAACTTTCCAGTTTGCCTCTATCGTTGTCGTTCAAATTCGGCAGAGCTTGCTCTATTTCTTTCAAAACGTTATCACATAGAGCCTCCACATACTCTGTGCTGTTATCGGAATTGTTAAGAGCAACCTAATGTGAATAATGGTTGATGAATATTGCAGCTTTGATATGTATTACACTTACAATAAATGCCATTCTAGACTGTTCTGTATCACTAGACTGTAATCTTCCTTGTTGAATGGAACTTTGCAATACATTGTAAGCTTGAGTGAGGTCTAAATATCCAGAAGGGTAGCCCTGTCTTAATCTACCTCGTAATACTTCGCTGAAATCGCTTTCTAATACTCTACAAGCGTTGTTGATAATCACGCAAATGCCATCTAACGATCCCGTTGATATAGACCTCCTACAATTCATTCGAATAAACCACCAGTTTTTAATCTATGCGAATGAATTCTACCTGATGCATTTCCTTATTATGAAAAATGTGTCATCGACCATACTGGATATCTGCTGGCCCGTTTCCAAACTGTCCATAGCCACAGCCTTCGCTACGGATTCCTCCATGTAATACTGCTCCAGCCGCAGATAGTGAGATAACAATTCGTGCTTGCATTGGCTCAAATCGCTGTTTTTTATTAACTGTTCGAGGGACTTGACAATTTTATTCCTGTCTTCCTGATTCGGGACTCCCACTTCAGCGTCCAACTACAAAAGAAATCGTTATAATTTACGATGGGATTAATTTTTGTGATATATACCATTATTTTTCTATGAATGAACCTTATGTACAATTCTATTCGAAAGTGCATCAGCGTAATTTCGACGATCAGTATATCCAAATCCTTCGGTTCAATTCTATCGATTTTGTTGAAACTCGAGCTGCTGCTCAGCCTCGATAGTTCGTTGATCATTTGGATTTTCTTATTGATCTGCCTTGTTTTGCCCCATTCCAGCAGCACTCTTTTGGTTTGCACGTCGCATTCCTTTTGCAATATCGAAATGGCCGCCAGCAGGCGTCCAGGGCCGTAGTAAGTTTCTATCAGAGGCTGCTGCTTGTCGGTCACTCGAGCCAGACCTTCGTAGAGCAGAGTAAGAGTGTCCGCGTAGACCACGGTATGCCTCTTATCAGAAGCGGGAGTGTTAAGGGCGGATTTTAAATTTTTTTCAGCCGTTACAGCCACTTTGCTCCGCAAGTAGCTGCAGAACTCTTTGATGCCCTCTTCGTGCAAGCCTAACAGCGGGAATATTTTGAAAAATCTCTCGATCGAGACCAAGTCTTCGGCGTTTACGGCTTCGGTGAACTTATGTGTGACTATGGCTCTCAATTGGCTGGCGGCGTCTTGTAGGGTGCGAACGGATTTCAGCATGCTCGAGGTGCTGTCCATGTCGTTGGCTGTTCGCTTCAAGAGGGATTGGTCCATGGAGAGGAACCGATGAACGTGCGCAGCGCCTTTTTCGTAATCGGAGTCTAAGATTGCCGTTTGTACGCCTTGAGAGCAAATCTCGAGGTCTATTAAGTCACTCACTCGTGCTTGGCATTCGTCTACTCTGTTCTGAAATGCGATATACAACAATAATTTTATATATTTTTGAAATGTGTTTTTATGGGTAACTTACTCTAGCATTATCTAATGATCGTATGTTGCCGCTAATCTTCTCGGATGATTCGGATATGTTGTTAATGGTGTTAACTAAGTCCTGCGCTTCGTGTTTTATTACTTTTAAAGTAGGAATTAATTTTGCGAAACCTTTAATTTTATCTTCGAGGAATACTTTGTGGTTTAACATGTTGTTTAATTCATCGACTAGGGCGTCCTGAAAAGGAATATAACAGAAGTGAAACTAGTACAGTATTAAATATAAATTCGTACTTCTTCCTTTTCCAGTTTCTTCAATTCTTGTTGATAGCTCTTCTGCAGCTCGGCATATTTTGATTCAGTCATCTTTATATTTTTGGTAATTCAAATTCGTTCAAATTATTAATTAACATTGAACATTAAAATACATTATTTTTATTTGCTTACGTTTTGAACTGTCATTATTTTCTAACCTTTAATTCTAAACAGTGTCCTCCATAGAGAAAGAAAGATTTATATTTGAGAAGAAAGACTTATATTTTGTCTATGGTGTCCTCTTTTTTATAAAATTTATAAATAAAGTTTTCATGACAGTTAGTGGCCTCTTGCTATTATTCTCATCAGTTCCATATTCCTTTAGGACAGGACTAGGACTAAAAGACAAAAGGAATACAGGTGGTTTTATCACTTTTATCATACCTATATATATAAAAATATAGGTATCGGTATACTGACTGCTAATATCGTGTAGAAAGCGATTCGATGAAAATAGTGCAGATATACAGGTATGTATAGGTCTGCACTATTTTAGTCTAAGAAGGCTTCTGCGCTTGCCTGGTCATGTGGTATTAAGCCGTGTTAACGATTGGCTATCGTTATCGTTTCTTCAAAGTTGGGTTAAGGTAAATATCATGTTTATGTTTTTAATGTTTACATTTACTTGTTTTTGCTTTAGGCACTTTGATTGTTTATTGTTTTGAGGGTGTTTTTCTTATTGATTTTTAGTGTTTCTTATTTCATTTGCGTTACTTTTTTCGTTAGACATTATGCCAAAGAGGTGCTATGTTTGTGATAAAAAGAATCCAGAAGTCTGTTTGCACTCGTAAGTACAAAACGATTATTATACAGGGTGTCCCAATGAAAAGTAGCCCCTTTAATGAGCTAATATTTTTTAAACGCCTAATGATAAAAACATTTTGCTATAACTTTTTGTTACAGTGAGACAAAAATTTTCTATCGCCTGCAGAGATATTTCATAAAAACCCTTTTTTACATTCACAATAACTTAATTTTATGAAATAGGACATATTCTTTTGTAGAATAACATTGAATAAATTTTTGAAAAGTAGAAGAGTGTGTCTTTTAAAATACCTCTGTATACAGTATGTACGAACTGATCCGCTGCAAGCATATAATGAGAATAATGAGATAGCTAATTGAACTTTTGCTATGTAAGGAATAAAGAGAACATACGAAATAGTCACGCCCGCTATCCCCGCTATTCGCTAGTGGACGAAGCGAAGCGAATTGACGAATTCTAATATCGGCCGGCAACCGATAAACAAGTTTCTGTTCTTTACTATCTTATAGTATTGATTGAGATTCTAATTCTAACGCTTGCAGCGGAAGAATTCGTACACTCTGTATACGGGATGTACCATTTAAATTAATTTGGTTACTGTGAATTTAAAAGAGGAGGTTTTGATAAAACACCCTGTATTGTTAATGCATAATTTCTGTATCACTGTAACAAAATTTATAATAAAATAAAACATATTTGAGAAAACCGAATGTTTTTATGATTTTTTTATTTTTAGGCGTTTGAAAATTATAAGCTCATTAAAGGGCCTACTTTTTATTGGGACACCCTGTATTAAAAAGTAATATGTATTGTCTATTTTAATTTATTCATTTTAAGTTTTAATTTTTAAATGTTTTTAATTTAAAAAATTGATAGGTTTCCTAAGAACGAGAAACTTTGTCTCATATGGAAAGAAACTTGTGGCCTGAGGATTGATGATAATATTGCTAATCTTAGCGTTTGTTCAAATCACTTTATCAGTGATGACTATTTTGAGCCTTGTGCTAAACAAATTACAGGACGACGGGGACGACTAATACTAAAACCTGATAGATATCCAACTGTAAAATGCCCAAAAAAAATTGTTGAAAAACCTCTTGAAGTTCCTGCTCAAGAACTTATTGAAGAACCTGTTGAAGAACCTGTTCAAGAATTTTTTAAAGAACCTGTTGAAGAACCTGTTCAAGAATTTATTGAAGAACCTGTTGAAGAACCTGTTCAAGAATTTATTGAAGAACCTGTTGAAGAAATTGTTCTAGAATTTATTGAGGAACCTATTGATCGGGTACAAAATCCTTTAAACGTGGAACCATGCACATCTATAAGTGGTATGGAATTGCTTAATTATCCAATGTGTTATTTGTATTTAATTATTTAACACACACATTTAATTTGTATTTTAATTTTTTAGTTGATGAACCTTGTACTTCCCTCCAAAAGCGGAAATATTTAGAGCCTAGGTATTTTGGAGAAGTGACTAGTCCTGACCTGGCTACTCCTAAAAGAGCAAAAAGGGTTATGTTGTTGGCAAAAACACAAATAAATATTTTAAGAAAAAGGGAAGCCATTCTTAAATCAAGAAATCGAAGGCTCTGTAAAAAAGTTACATCACTGAAATCACTTATCAAACATCTTAGACAGGAGAATGTTTTGTCTGAAATACGCCAGAGATGTAATCATGGTAAATAATTAGATTTATTTTATTTTTTTAATCTTACAATTAATCAAAGTTTTAAAATTAAGTGTTATTTACAAACTGTTTACCAGACTTCTTATTGTGAAAATTATATTCGTTAATTTTGATAGCTACAATTTTAAGAAGACAGTTGACTCAAAATACTTGCAAGTGAAAAATTACTTTTTTCTTTAAAAAGAACAAAAAGAGATTATATAATTATTTTATTACAGCAAACTTTACCAGAATCAATAAAGGATACGACAGGAAGAAAATTAAAGATAAATAAAAATATAAATTGCAAATGTTGTTTTATTTCATATCCAAAATCTATCATTTTTGGCCAATTCTTCTTGGCAAAAAATTCTTTTCAATTTAATTTGTAAGTTTGAAAAATCTTTTATGCAAAAGAAGAATTTTAAAAAAATGGATCAATTTTTGTAATAGCATAAGTTTATTAAAAAATTACAAAAAACAAAATAATTCAATAATTTTATTATGTTCAATTTTTTTTATTAAAATAATGAGCCAAATCATGTATAATTCAAAAAAAATTAAATTAATATAATATTTCAAAGTAATTTATTTGCTTAAGAATATTTAAATAATGATTCAATGGATTTAATTTTTATTAAATCGAATATTGAATTGAATTTTATTGAATTGAATAGTTGTCTATCACGCCGAGTTGACAGACGTCAACGGAGCGACGTTGACATACGTCAACGGAGTGACATGTCTCTCTCTCTCTCTCTAACACATTGACTTCTATATATATATATATATCTCTCTCTAACACACTGTTTTTCCTATGACCATGCTAGAACCGGCTTTGTATATCTACTACGCAACTATCCTTTTGCTGGGATAGGGAGTGAGCAGTATACATATGTATCTTTATAATACAGAGGTACTAACGGGTTTTAAGAACTTAGAAACTTATGCTGAAATCATTTATTTTCTTGAATCTTAACATTAGAATATCTAAAATTTAATACTAATTAAATTGGAAGAAAAACATCAAGATATTACTATAATTAATATACAAAGATCGGATCAGCGGAGATCCTAAAAACTGGTTAAATTTTCAACAGTCGGAGATTCCGACGTTTCGAAAATTTAACGTTACCTATACAATAAAAAATACCTTGTTTAATCACCAGCTGTATTCCCGATAAAATTTTCCAACGAATTAATTTTCCGGAGCTCGTATGTCTAACAAGTAGGTCCATAGTCTGGTCCCTGGAAAACAATTTTATAAACTCTCATCATTTAATTCGCTTCTCTTAAAATTAATCTCCAGAAAACCCATTCATTTGTACCATAGAATATATTATAGAGATCATTAGTAAAGATTTATTAACAAATAAATTATACTCAATATAAAGTATGTCCAAAAAGGGAGGTTTTCATTTTCATTAATGTTGGCTTATTGGACAAATTTTATTATTAATTAGGTATACTACTTATAGAATTTATTAAAGGATCGGCGGAAAAAGATATTAATTCGCACTTTTTGGTAACTATTTTATCTTCTTTTCATTAGTATTTTTATCTATATGATATATATGAAGTTATATATTATCTAGATAGTGAATTATCTCGAATTCATTCAAGGTACATTGATCCATTTGAACTCTTTTTTAATACCTTTAACCATCAATCTCTTCAACAGAATAATAATGAAATTATTTAAATTATCACATATTCAAAAAAATACCTATAGTAAATTTGCAAATCACGTAGAGTAATATCAAGACTTATATAACAAATAAAAAGCTCCTCTACAGAAAATGAATTTTAGTTTATTTTTCCTGCATATTACCTGCTGTATAATAGATAGGGTAAGAGCTTTAATAACTATGTAATAAATTGTTGTATATGTAATGTTTAAGTAATTTTCGAAATTTGCAACTAATTGTTTTATTACTCTTCGAGATTGCGAATGAACTACATAGGCAAATATCGTTGCATTGTTTTAATCTTTTTATAGGTATATTAAAGCAGGTTAAGTACTTAACAAAATTTATGTGCAGCTTATTTAGTGCGTTCTCGTTTAAATGCTTATTTCAAAACTAAAAGGGCTTTCTTTCGGATTTTTTTAACCAAGTGTATGTACATTTGGCGTGGGTAAAAGTTTTTAAACGAACCAAAGTTATACTTAGGCGTATTTTACATAGATTTTTCGAAAGGAACAAACAAATAAAATTATATACAAGACGACCTACGTACCTTTATAAATACACGAACAAAAAAATATCAGATTATTTTCAACTACACGCTATTATTGTTATATCAATTGTTATATTCAATTTTTTATATAATTTTAAATGTTTAACAATAATACATAATTAGGTATATACTTCGACTTATTCTTTATTTTAGAAGAATGTGGGTATAGGGAATTTAGAATTATATTTAATACTTTTTTCCATTACATAATTATATAAATCTCAAATTTTACCTACAATTAGTAAATGTAAATATTACAACAAATAAAAATCTGCTCAATGAGATTCAACGGGAGAAAATAATAATTAATTCATAGGAGCTTAACAATAATAGAAAGCTATGTGCTGGATTTGCCTTTTATTCAACGAAAATTAAAAATCTCTTTAAATCTCATCGCTCAAATTTAAACATGTTGCATAGGTAATAACACAAATTAGGAGGATTTTTGAATTGAGTCGAACATTAACAAATATTTTATATCAAGAGTATCTATTAATATCAAACTCTATTAAAAGTACTTTAAAATTGCAGTCAATGATAAATAACATAAGTAAACAGAACAATTAAATGTTTAATATGCTTATAATAATAAAAATTTTGGCTATGCTAGAACTGGGTTAAAGGAATATTGACATAAAATAAAAATATTTGAAACTGAACAAAATAAATAAATATTTGATATATTTTGATATGATTTGATAAACACTTGATAAATGAGAAACATTTTATATTTAAATTTATCTCTTCATAGAAAACTAACTCGAGATCTTCAGTGCTGCTATTAAAATAGAAATTTGTAAACCTATATAAATATATTAACGAAAATAACGATATATATTTCAACTCTATGCACTATTTGAAAATGATATGATAAAATCCACAGATATATTATTACTATAATATGTATAAATGTTCAATTTTTTAGAATTTTTTTGTTGTATGTATAATGTAAATTGTAAATAAATCGTTGTCCGAATAATTGAATAGTTAAAAAGTAAATAAATAAAAAACAAGATAATAAGATTAGATAATTCATCTAAAATAATTCATCGAAAGGCACTTAACATCAATTTAAAAAGTGCATGAAAATATTCAATAGGAAAGTATATCTACTCAGAATTAGAAGAATTGTAAGAAAATCTAAACGAAAATATTTTTCATGTGTTTTTAACATCAAAAAGTTATTACATTATAAGCCATTTTCTTTTTTAAAGTAGATAAGTGCAAAATATCTTGACGCTTTTGAAAGAATATTTTTTCTTGCTTGAATTTCGATTCTGGATCTGACCAACACACGATAATGATTCAAATTTTGCACAGATTTACTCTCTCCAACTATTCGGACAATCCAATTTCATTAAACTATCTAAACGCATTTAAAACATCAGTCCCACAAACGTCCGAAATATACTTAATACACATTATTTTTCAACAACCTTTTTCATATAATACAACAACGTAGACAATAAACAACATTATATTAGGATACTCCTTAACATTTACCCGTTACACATCTTACTAGTCATCCCATTTCGCGTAGGCCAATGGATCGCTCACGAAGAGGCTGGAAGCCGCCGATTGCGGCGCGCCCTCCTGGTTCTGGGGCTCCCCGGCGCCCGCCGGTTTGGGGCTGGGACTGCCACTAGCGCTCGGATGCGCCGGCTTCGATTTGCTTATTACAGATTTCGTGTTGTTCGTGGCCACGTTGTAGCGCTGCTCGACTTGGTATTGGGGAAGCGCGGGCGCCGGTTGGGCCCAAGCCGGACCGTGGTCCCAGGCTTTGTTCGGGTCCCATTCGTACACCGGTTGCGATTGACTGGAAGAATAATGAAACATTGCTCAAAATTAAGTTTGAAGCAGTTTGGTCCTAAGCATCAACTTCTTAGGTTCATTATTATGAGGACTTTTTGCTAAGGTTATAATACTCAGCAACAGAATAAGAGTTCAATGAGACCCAATGAGTCCAATGAGATAGTGAAACATTTTATGAATACCCACATTTAGACCAGTTTTTGAGCCCCAAAGTGTCAGCATCGTAGGTCCTTGGTTATAAGAATCTATGATTAAGTTTATCAAACTAAGGAACAATGAGACCTTTTCATACGATATGTACCAAGTCCAAGACCTTCAGATCAAACTTAGAATCTTTAGTATGTGTAACACCACTTTGTGATACCAAAATTGAGAGTAATTTGCACCTACAGATTTCTCCACAATTACATATTTATCAGAGACCTACCTGTAAATATTGTGGTCTCCGCTGTATGGGGATGTGCTGTTGAACTTGGGTTTCTCGTGATCGGTTACGGTTAACTCTATGTGATCGTTATCCGACGGGTCTTCCATGGTGCTATTTTTAATACCGTAGTAGAAGTACATGATGAAGCCCAGTGTCATCCACGTGGTGAATCTGACGAGCGTCAGAATGGAAAGTTTCATGATTAAGTAGATGTTCACGGTGATCGCGACTGCCGGTATGAATGGAAGACCTGGTGTCATAAACATCAACGTATTTCTGGAAAACGATTGAGTAATTTGTAGTTTTGCTGACGGTGATGTCGTTGCCGGTGTACCTGTTCTGCGGCTTCCTGGAAATGACCAAGCAGATGGCGACGATGGCAAGGAAGAAGAACCAGAGGAAGAACGCGGTGGCGCTGTTCATGTTATCCATGCCGCAGACGACGATTAGATCGAAGATTATGATGAGCACGTACAAATAACCTACCAATTTCATGACGAATAGACCCGACTCTTCCGTCGCCGGGCCGGTATCTACCCAAGGGAAAATGGCCGGACACAAGTATGTGGCAGCCTGCGAGATTAATTATAAACATCAGTATAAGTTTGTTGTGATTAAAATAGACGTACTTGTAACCTTCTTCCTATGTATCCTAAGCTGGGCCCTACCGTAGATCCCACCATTCCACCGGTGCTGGTAGCACTTCCACCACCATGCACAGTACCTATTGATTTATTAATTACTTTCATTAATAGAATAAAAATATAAAGAATCTCACTTAAAGAGGACTAATCAATTTTGGCCGAAGTCTCAATACATCTCATGATTAAATATGATTATGTGACAGTATTAAGAATTCCTTTGGGTCTTTTATTTACTAGTTTATCCCTTCAAAGGAAGGTAAACATTTTATACCGGTTTATTGTAATCATACACTCACCATAAAATTTATTTTCAGTCCTGTCTGACACCAAAAACTGGTCGTCTCTTCCAGAAAAATCCTCGTCCGGTTCATCACCACCGAAAGTATCATCACTATCCGGAGAGCTATCAAATAATAGTTTCATCAGTATCAAAAATAGAACACGAGTGCACCGCTCGCATCATCAAATATTCAAGATTCGTGAATAATGGCCATTATTCTGCTAAAAATAGCCGAACGTGGGAAGTTGACCGCTCACCTTCGAGTAACCCTCCTGACCATCACCCTCTGGGTGGTTTGCGAAGGCAGCGGGGACGGCGACGGCGAGGGAATCGGCGGGCCCATGGAGGCGTCGATGGCCTGCTTCAAGTGCGCCGGATGCAGCTGGTTCCCGTAGAGCGCGCGTTCGCCCGGATTCTCCGCGAGCGCCTCCTTGGTGGGCGAGCCGCGGATGGGCGTCCGAAGGCTCTGCGGCAGGAGCTCCACCAGGTTGGTGGAGTGCGGCTGGTATCTCAGGATCAGCACGCACGTCGATACCAACGTGTACGCCAAGAGTGTACCTAGATTAATTGGAAAATACAGCGACTGGTGGATTTTATTGGTAATTGTGTAAGGCGTACCTATGGACATCATTTCAACAAGTATTTCCAGTCGAATGAAGAGAGCTGCCAGGGCTGCTGTGAAGCCGCTTATGAACGTTGCTATTACTGGTGTTCCCGTACTTGGCCACACTTGAGAAAACATCCTAAAATAGCAAATTAGAATAAACATTTTAACACATCTCTACAGATTTATTAATTATACGAGTTAAGAGGTATTAAATTGTAGTGCTGATTAAAATACCCTTTCTTAATGAGTTAAGTGTCCTTCTGGACATATTGGGTAGGCAACCCATCTACCAGAGGGTGCGAGAAGTAAGTGTACCCCTTAGATTATATCTTTAAAACATCTCCTTTTACCGTTCCTTCGGAATATCGAATACTCACGTTGTAACATTTGATGAACTTACCTAAATATTAAACCGTCTTGCGCCATGGCGTAAATAATCCTAGGCATCGGGAACATGGAACCGAACATACTGACAGTCAATCCTGCTAAGGCCCCTACGGCGACAATGTATTTGCATTTGTTAGCTCCGACTTGTCCGAACATCTCGACTAAGGCTGAGTCCTCGTTTACCTCTGTGTATGGAACTGAAACAAAGAGAATTTTAGCGGGTAACGAGCGATGATCCGAGCGTTGTTTCCGTACCGATTAAAGTGATCATCATGGAACTCGTTACGTAGGCTACTAAAATAATGGCTAAACTGGAGACGATCGCCAATGGAATGGATTTCTTAGGCGTGGCCGCCTCTTCGCCCGTGGTCGCTATGATATCGAAGCCGATGAACGCGTAAAAACAGGTTGCAGCTCCGGTGAAAACCTGAAAATTTGCGCATCAGACTGTTTTATTTCAAGAACACTTTAATATCGAGACGTTGAATTTTCCCGTTGTGTCAGGTGCACGAGTGGAGTTCTCGAGACAATTTATGTAGGTAAGTAACTTTTCTGTTTTGTCGAAACAAACTTTCGGTAACATTTCCGTGGAGACGAAGTTTAGGTTTGTTCTCCAGATGTCGATGCCGAGCCGAAGAAAATGCCTATACACGGTGTCCCGAAAAGAGGCGTCATAAATTATGCATTGTTTCCGGCTCCACATCAACCAGTTTATTGCATTAGAGAAGTTAGGGGGAGAATTAAAGTTTAATATTAAATGAGAGAATGTGTACGTAGTACGAATTGTGTGTTCAGTGTTTGAACTACTTTGATCAAAATTCGTTTGGTTAAATTATTTAAGTTGTGACCTGCCCTTATGGGTACTCACCCCCGACCAACCCATAGGCAAAAATCCCCTGTGCTTGGTCCAGTTGTCGGTGTTCACGTAAAACAAACCGGCCGTCATCACAAACACCCACACGGCCAGATTGATCACGTTTAAAATGTTGTTAAAAATAAGCGATTTCTTCACGCCCGCCGCCAGCAGGACCATCATCATCAGGGTGATCACGAAGGCGAGGAAGTCCGGATCTCTTCCTGAAAGAAACCGAAAAATTACACCTATTCATTAGGCTTCTATTCGGGGTTTGCGAGGCGAAGAAGGTGGCGCTCACCTAAGGCTTTTCCGATGCTTTCGTGGATAGCGGACGATATAGCCCCGTTGGCTAAGGCGTCGAAACAGGCACTCAATGCACAGGCGCAAGCACTTGTACCGATTAAATACTCCAAAATCATATTCCAACCGATTATGAAGGCTATAAATTCACCGACGGTGACGTACGAGTACATGTAAGCCGAGCCGGTCGTGTGGGGCACCCTCACGCCGAATTCCGCGTAACACGCACCTGCAACAATCAATTTTACCGTAAGGGCGAATCGTCATTAGGGTGAGTCAAAAGGAAGTTTCTCAAATTTTCAACACGTTGTAAGAACCTATAGACCTATAGGGTGAGACAAAATGAAGCTTGAAAAATTTCTAAAATCTTTAAAATTTCTCCTTAAAAATGTACATTTTTCTACTAAAAAAGCTTTATCAAAGCGAGAGCAAATTAATAATTACTAGTATGGTTATTGCCTACGGGGTGAGCAAAAAAGAAGTATAAGAACCTCACTAAAATCTTCAAAATTTCTTCTCAAAAATGTACATTTTCTTACTAAAAAAAGCCTCAAAAAAGCGAGAGCAAATTTATAGTTACTAATATGGTTATTACCTACAAGTAGACCCAAACAGAAGCTCTCTAAAACTCTCTAAAATTTTCAAAAAATTTCCTCAAAAATATACATTTTTCTACTAAAAATTACCTTCAACAAAGCGAGAGCAAATTAATAATTATCAATTCGGTTATTACCTACAAGATGACCCAACAAGAAGCTAAAAAAAACTCTCTAAAATATTCTAAAATGTACATTTTTCTACTAACAAATAACCTTCAGCAAAGCGAGAACAAATTAATAGTTATCAACATTGTTATTACCTACAAGTTGAGCCAAAAAGAAGCCTAAAAATCTTCAAAAATTTTAATTGAAAAAATTAAAAACTACCGCCAATTTCCAATATGACTATTGAATATTACAAACTGCAATTGCAATTTCCAAAAATCGATGCCCTGTAGAATGAATTCGGGCCAGAGGGAAATAATAATGACAATTACATCGGTCGGGCACGGATGGCTCTCGTTTAATGGCTTACGTTCCTCGATCATATTCCAGCTAAGTGATGTACGCCGAGTAATGGAACCAACTAATAAATTCTAATTGTCCCGTTTCGATAGAATGCATGCCGTAGGGCCGGTTCTCCGCTCGAAGGCCTGCAGTCGACGCAAAAATCGAAGCGAATTATCGAGGCCCTCGTTAGGACTCTCTGCTGCTGCTGGCGCAGCGCGAATTTTCATTAAAATCAGAATGGATAGAGCTAGAATATTACGATGCGCCTTCTAAATGAACTTCCCCCTAGTCGGCTATTTATATAGTTTTTATTGAATGTGGAGTTTCAAGCGAAACGCCTACGTATATAATCGATCGATAAATCATCAGTCAAAAGTTCATTTAAAGTAACTTCTTAGCTTATCGATTTTTATTAAATATAACTTGTGCTAAGATTTGCCGACGTTCCTCTAGCAGGGTAATTTATTCGGTATATAAATCCCAATTAGAGAAATCACCTGTTGGTCAAATTAGTAAAAGCCGTATATCAAGTTAAGCGGCCGGCTATCCCGTTATCCTGCTCCTTTCTCCTGGCGAATCCTTTGCCGAAACTCCGGCGAGCACTTCGCGGTATCGATTGAAAGACATTGAGAATTCGACGCTCCACGTCTGGTTTCGGGGCAAAGGATATACCGGGTCGGTCTGGGCCGATTTCGGTGGAATAAATTTGACGATTTTAGTTAAAAATATTTTCTAATTTCGTCGATTTTTAGGGTGATTTTACGAGTAAATTTTTTTGAATATTTTACTGAATTTGTCGATTTTTCCAGTTGAAAAATATTAAATGATCTTTTAAAAGTTCTAAAAAGTGTTCTAAATTGTTCTGAATGTGTTTTGAATGATTTTGGACAGTTGTAAATGGTTCTCAGATCGTCCTGAACTATTTTAAACTCTCCTAGTCGGTACTAAAACGGTTCTAAATTAGTTTAGACGGTTCTAAATGGTTCTAAGATCGTTCTAAAATAGTTCAATGATTTTGGACGATTCTAAATGATTTTGGTCGTTTTTAAATGATTTTGGACGCTTCTACACGGTTCGAGGATCGTTCTTTCTAGGAACTGTTTTTTCAAATGCTCATATAGTCAGTTCTAAAATGGTTCTAAATCATTTTAGACTGTTTTAAGTGATTCTAAGATCGTTCTTAACTGTTTCACACGCTCCTGGTCAGTTCTAAAATGGTTCTAAATGATTATGGACGATTCCAAATGGTTCTACGATCGTCTTGAATTCTTTCAAATGCTCCTAGATACTTCTAAAACGATTCTCATTGTTTTTTTGGACGGTTCTAAGATCAATCATAATACTTCCTCTCTCCCTTTATCCCTCTATTAACATGGTCAGGTAGACACTCTCCTTCTCTTACTTGTGTTTTTCCTATGCCATATCGCAGCGGGCCGACCCGGTACATAAAAGGGGGGTCCGTTCGTCTTCCGTGCGGCTTCGGCGTTATTTTATTGAAAAGGCTCGTTTTTAATTCAGATAAGGCATCATCTGAAATTCGGAGACCGGAGACGGGGTTTGTTCGTCGGAGACGCTCGATGGTGCTTCCGGATCGATGGCGAAATGGCTTCGGAAATAGCATCAGATGGAGTTGAATGACTATTTTTAGATTTTATCTGCATGTCGATTTATACTCGCATTTGTTTTGTTTTGAATCTGATATGTTTCCAGAGAAGGGATTGAATGTCCTGAATTTAAATTGTATTTTTCCCTTCATTCGCCACTATAATTACAAGATGAAGTTATTCAGAATTCAGTTATTCAGTTACCTATTCCAAGGAGAAGTTACGTGATTGAAATTGATAAATTTTGATGATACAAATAGTAATCTTATAATAAGTATAGAATTCTAATAATATAGGTAAGTATAGGTAAGTAATAAGTATAGGTAAGTAAGTATTATGGTAAAATAATGCTTTCCGAATCAATTTTAAATCCAAAAGAGTAAATGAAGTAATTAAAGAAGTCAGTAACCTAACCGGAAAATTTAATCAACATCCTCAAGGAGCCAATTTTGCTACCTAAGAGAGTCACTATCTTTCTAAAGGAGACAAACATACCCCTAAGGGAGTCATTTATCTTCCTCAACGAGTCATTTATCCTTTATTCAATATTTGAATAGGTACTTAAGAATCAATTTTTTAATTAAAAAAAACTGTTTCCTTATTCTTTTCTATCCCCATCTACCCCTTTTTATCCTGTCGTTTAATAATCAAGGGTGAAGAGCTAAGTGTGAAGAATCAAGTGTGAAGAGTGAAGTGTAAAGAATCAAATGTGAAGAGTCACGTATGAAAAGTCATACGTGAAGATTCGTTTAAAACACTACTGTATACTACTCGTTTATCTGTAGATTCATTAATCTATTTAGATGGATAATTTAAATCCTCTGGAATCAATGTCCTAATTAAACAAGTCCATGCACCCTTTCTATCCCTTCTGTCCATTCTCCCTTTTTTACCCAGACAGGGTCATTAAAAGAGTCAATACATCACTAAATCAGTGTAGCCAACACATTTCCATCCAGTGGATAAAAAACCTGTCTATGTGAAAAATTGTAGCAATAAACACGCTTGAGAGTGCCAATTGTCGTCCATTAAGCGATTTTCCTCAGCCTATTATTATTGCGGGTAAATGTCGTAAACTTCGTTTATGAAAAACAAAGCGATTCATTATACATAGACACATCCACTTAAATAATTTACGCGAGAGCCTCCCTAAACGTCGCTTATCGTAGTTTGCGCCCTTTGAAACGAAGCAACGCCGTTCGTGGAGCGTTCTCATCATTACCTCTCGCTTCGCTTATTTAATTTGCGAACGAGGAAAATCGTCGCTTTCGCCCGTACCTACATAAATACGGGAAACCAAATATTTAGTAAAGTGTACACCTAACCGTGTTTGCACGGAGCCCGCCGTCCGGCCGAATACTTGCCGGTTAATTATAAAAAAGCAAATTAGACGAAAGCCGTGCGAGCGCAAATCGAACGGCGATGCCTAGGTGGAATGGAAACGGAACCAAAAAAGAGTTCGGGGAAAAGTTTGCGAAAATGCCGCGATACGGTTTCGAGCCGACGGAGCGGAACGGGAAGTTCTGTTCTGTTGTTATTGATTTTCGCCAAGTGTTCGTAAATCGGCATTAAAGTTTCAGCGAATTTAAAGTTCGCGTTTTCGTTGTCGAGCACGGGAAATGCCGAAAACTGGAAACGTTTATGGACGGTGTTTAGGCAATAATGAGTCAATTGGGCCGATTCGTCGTCTCGGATGACTTTCCAATTTTTGTAGCCTCCAAAAATAGACTTGAAAAGTTTTTGAATTATAAATTCCAATCACGTTCTTCCAAAGAAAAATAATTAGCCGCTAATTACACGCAATTAAACTTTAGTAATTTTCCAACAATGTTTTTAATTATTAAAAGCTTTAGTATAATTAATTGTTTCACTAAAATTATTTACTGTGTAAATATAACGCAATAAAACGTTTGAACTTTTTAAGCGATTTTTATTTCTCTCATTCGCGAATTTTAATTTTCGCGATTTGAGCTTGCCATTTTCTTGCACTTTTTCTATCATTTCCGAGATGCGAAAAATTTCCCATGTACCCAACCATTTGAAACTGTCTAGAATGATTAAAAACTGTCTAAAATGATTGAGAACTGTCTAAAATTATTGGAATCTGCCTAGAATGATTTATATAACACTACCTACAAACTGATTAAGAATTGTCCACAATGATTTAGTAATGTCCAAAACGATTTAGAACTGTCTAGAATGATTTAGAACCGTCCAAAATGATTTACTGTCCAGAACCATTTAGATTGCTTCAGGACGAATCAGAATTGTCGAGAGCCATTTGGAACTCCAGGTTCGAATTTTGTAACTGCCTATTAGAAAAGCTAAGCTACAGGGATTGCAAAAAAGCACATTTCTTAGTTCCTAACGAAAGGGCATACTAATTCACTTTGCTATTGAACCTATTACACTGTTTTTCTTCGTTTATGGAACAAACACTTATTAACTTCGAATTAGTGCGTATTATAAAAAAATAATGTAGGTACATAATCGTGTTTAGCAATCTCAAATTGACAGTAATCAGTTATTTAAATCAATGTTATTATACAGATAAAAAAACTACATAGTGTAATGAAAAGCTTTAGAGTAATTAAGTATTTCCCTAAAAGCATTTAGTGTGTAAATAACGTAATAAAACGTTTGAACTTAAAGCGAGCTTTTTATTCTCTTTTCCTCGATTTTAATTTTCGCCAGCTGGTTCTGCAATTTTCTTGCACTTTTTCCATCGATTCCGAGATGCGAAAAATTTCCCATGTAACAGGAAATGACCTATTTCAGCAATCTGATACGACCACTCGCTGCAAAATTTCTCTTTCCTTATCTAAATTGCCGCTATAAATAATATCTACAGGAGCCTTCGGTTTTCCACTCGAAGAGTATCCAGACGGCACGAAATTTTGCAAACGAAGCGATTTTTCGCAGATACATTTACGTACTGAGGTGGTGCAGGAAAAATTCGGTCGCGAGATGAGTTATCGAGCGATGTTAAATCTTGTTTTATCAATTTGCCGCGCGGCGCTCGAAATGGCCCTTCTGAAATTAATCTGCATATAGATATTATATTTCGCCTCTTCTGAAATGCAAAGTGCATTTTACACGCGAACGGTTTCGCTTCAAACTCGCTTAAACTCCGCAGTTATGTAGAGAAAATATTTCCTCAGAGAGTAGAAAATACTTTAACGTTTTTATCGCAAGTTATTTTATAATAGAGGCGCATACTTGTAGAATATTGTGTACACAATTCTCTTGAACAAATTCTCTTAAAACTTAATTCCTAATAAATTAATTCGAAAATAAACCTTTTCATATTACCCGCCCGGCTACCTAGTTTCCAATTTATAAAAGCGAGCGCAACGTGTTCATTTAAAACATCCTACAATAATATTGTATTTGTAACTTGCAGCGTTTAATGAAACATAAATAGCAGTATTTTCCGAGCGGGTAATGGAACTCGATCGTTCATTGCGATAAACGTAGATAAATATTTTTACGAATATGCATAGCGTGACCGTCCGCCATTTATTTTAAGTTTCACCATTAAACATTCAAGCGATGCCGGTGTGCATCGTACCAAATAAATATAAAATTACATCGAAGTATCCCGTAATGGATTGAGAGTCGAAAACAAACCTTATTTTAGGACGATCCGAGTCAATTTGCCTATTACGTAGTTTGTTTTCTGTTACTGAAACTTCCTCAAACTTTATGTGTTAGGTATAATTTTAAGTGAAATATGGACAGACTGATGGCGCTTTGAATACAAATCATGCACAAAAGACCAATATTTAACCAATTACTAGACACTATTCTAGACCAATTTACTGTACCAGATATTATACAGGGTGTTTCAGAACTATGGGATAAATTTTGTATGGATTATTCAGTGCAACGAAAGAAGACAATTGGGATAAGAACCCATGTCGGGAAATGTCTCACTAAGGCGCTATTCTTTAATATCACTATTTGTAAAAATCTGTTTTATCGAGTTTTAATACATTTTATGTTAATTTGTTTGTCTAAAATAACATGAAACAGCAGTGGAAACGGAACAAGACCTGATTGCACGAATTACTGATGCGGCATTAGAAGTATGTAGTTGAAAACGACATTTTGAAAAATTCTTGTAGCAATTTTTTTAAGAACAAATTAAAATCAAATTTATTAATTCGATTAATATTAAGGGCATCGATTAAGGGGTTTTAAGCGTCATAGGGCTGTAGCGCCATAGGGAGGCATGGGTTCTTATACTCAAATGTCTTCTTTTATTGCACTGAATAATCCCTTCAAGTTTTATTCCATAGTTCTGAAACAACCTGTACCTAAAGACTAAATAATTTAGCAGGAAATACTGAAAAGTATAAAACATAAGTTGTTACCCGGCAACAGCAAAATTAAATTGCCTTTATGTTTTAATGAACGCCTAGTACATACAAGTCACACGAATGTCCCGTAATAGTATTATTGATAATGCATTAGTGTACTAATAATACAAGACTCTATAAGCCGTCCTTTGTAAATATTAGTAGTTCATTTTAGTTTATTTACCTGAAAAAATGCTCGCTATGGCTGCTATGATAAAACTTATGACTACTCCAGGACCGGCGACGTTTTTGGCCACCATTCCTGCGACTAAATACATTCCAGTTCCTACGCAGCTTCCCACTCCTAGCGACGTTAGGTCCAGAGTCGTCAGGCATTTCTGGAAAAGAACTGGGTATTAGAGATATTGTCCATGTGATCCATGTGATTTGGATATAGAGGTAAGAGCAAATATGTTTGCAGTATGGTCGATTCTATGAGTTGAAGAGAGATTATTAAAATAGCAGTGGTTATAATGAAAAAGTTGCAATTCCATAATATCAGTCTTTCTTTTTTCTTTACATGAGATTAAAGTTGTTTTTATTGCACCCATAGCTTATATTGCAAACAATTTTGCATCTACTTGTATGTAGTTTATGTGTAAAGGCGACTTGATATAGGGTCAATGGATTAATTATTGTATAATAACACTGTTCTTTCCAAATTACATCAATGCTAAAATATTGACAGATTTAATTTAATTTATAGCTGGTGATCAAGCTATATTCTGTGTCATGTTTTAGAGCCTTTAAGGATTCTGTGACGCGACTTTAGAGTCACTCTAAAGTAAAACAGAGGCGCTGAATACAGGCCATTATATCTAAAGTGGCCCAAATAGTTTACATTCTTCCTCTATCCTAAAGTAAAAATAATATTAAATAAGAACAACAATTGTGTTCTTGTAGAGCTTATAACGTTTTTATAACGTCAACAACAGGTTCAAATAAAATATTGTGACGTGTGTCGCTTGATTGACAGTTAGTTGACAGGTTGTCAACGACATTACCTCCGATTTGTAATAGTCGATTTTCCGATGAATAAATTACATAATTTTCGTTTCGTCGGTGAATTTCCGATGTTCGATTCCGCAGACGACGGAGGATCGAGTTTTATTAGCAGCAAGTAGCTTTTTCAATTTGTTGAGATATGTTTCGTGTGACTTACAAAAAGGGAGATTTTGACGCGGGTCGTGTTTAACGAAAATTATTTTATTATCGTAGATTCTAAACGCAATGCTTCGCTTCTGAATCAAGATATTTATCTCTCTCCTATCGATACCAGTAAGGCTTACTATGATCTTACCGATAATTACGCAGGTAATTCTTTTAAATTTTTATTTTTTAGAAATTACTTTTAGATAGAGATTTCTTTTTAGATGTTATTGTTGTAGATACATCTTTGTATATTTTTCAATCCGATTTAATATATGAATGTTTGTTCTGTGAACAAAATGTCTTTTTTCAGATAAAACTTGGTTTAATTTGAGATACATAGAAGGACATGATGTCCCCAAATCGGGTAAAATGGGTAAATGTCAAATTTCTCATCTAAAATTGGCCTACTTGATAGAGTTTTCTTTTCAGCGAACGAGTTGGCCGTTTTGAATGAAATTGATGTTAACAACATTGACACCGCCGAATTTATATTTTTAGGTAATTATCTATTACCTCTAAATATAGTTTAATAAAAATTGTTGTATAAAAAGAAATGCATATGGGTAAGTGCAAATGTGTTTGCAATATGGTCAATTCTACGAGTTGAACAAAGAAAGATTATTAAATTAACAGTGGTTAGAGTGAGAAAATTGTAATTCCACAATATTACTCTTTCCGTTTGATAAGTATGAGACTAATGGATGTTGTCTTAGTTGCACCCATGAACCATATTGCCCATATTGGCACAGAAATCATTCTAGTCTGTCAATGTCACTAACTTTGAAACACAAAACATCAAAATTGAATGTCAAAATGATATAAACTCTCTCACCTCAATTATTTTTGTTTAAATTATTTAATAAAATATAACTTAGTTCATTAATACGATTGATAAAATAAAGTTTGTATAGGTGTAATGTTTGTACAATACGTACACTTCTTTGAAATACATGATTAAATGTGTAAAAAGAAACAAAATGGCCGACATATCTGTTTGTAGTTCCTGTCAAACCGACAGTTGTTTAATACTTCCTCTCTTTATTAAGTAAACGATAATACACAAATTTTAATTTCATTATCATTGAAATAATTGACAAAATGTTTCGATGAAAAAATTTGTTTAATTTTAGATAGCTTTGAGAGGGACATCCAGAACGCCATTCCAGACATCAATTTAGAGGATATATTTTTAGGTAGGCGTATTGCAGCCAATATTGTTCGACTTTATTTGTAATCCCAAACAATTTAATGTTGACAGATCCACATATAATGAATGCGGGCGACAGAAAAGGGGAAAAGTCAAACAATTCAGACTTCGTTTTCGGATATTACTTGAACGAAAATCCAATGAAAGAAAGGAAAGCTAAATACTCCAGCAGAAATGGCAAAGAAAACAAATACAAGCGAAGGAAAAATATGTGAAAAACTTTTAAGTTTCGATGCTTTCCTTTGTTCAAACAGCTGCTATTCCGAAATTGTGTTTTAGTATTTGCTTTTGTCGATATTAATACTTAAGTTATCTATTGTTTGCACCTAAATAAAATAATGCTATGTTATGTTTTGTAAGGATGAACCGCTTTACAAGAATCTCTCAAATTATACAAATATCAACCTGGAATAATCTCATCATCGCATATTCACAAATATTACTCGTATAATCTGAGAGCATTTGGCAGAAATTGTTACAAACAATAACATAGTTATTGCTTGCATCGTTGTTTTAATGCGCTCATTTCCTTTGTAAGAATCTTCAGTCGGTTTGCTTGGTATAAAGAAAATATGTGGAATTTACTCGCTACAATTTCGGGAAACAAGCCGAATTAAGCTACTGTAATTTCGAGAGAATGCTCTAATTAATCTAACTTAGCCGCGGAATTACACCTGTACCGTAAAATGATGCTGCAAAGCGATGGAAGTTTTATACTTTAGCAACATTTCGTGGCCGGTTCGAGTTTCATTGCAGTTGCTTGATTTAATGGGCTCGTTCGAAACAGGAAAAAGTGAAGCCGTTAAAATTTCCAGCACTAGGAAATCGCATTTTCGTGCAATTGTATCTTGGGAACTGCATATTTAATAATTGCTTGCGGTCGTAGACAAAGTGCCCTGCTTAATTGGTGTTTAAAACCAGTTTAAATCCAAAAAAACAGTAATGATAAAATTTTAATTAATTTTCGTTAAACTGAGTGCGGTTATTTGGTCAACGTAAAATATGTAACGTAATTATAGAATTAGCTTTGGGCATATACGGTGGATTTAATCAACGAAATATTAAACCTCGATGAGCGAACGATAATTGATTGATTTAATAACGAAGGGCAACTCCAGTATCACGCCAACCTCAAATAATTGCTCTAAATAACTAATGAATTCCAATCATTCCGAAATTAGTTACCATTTTTTTACATTAACACTTAGTGGTAGCGTAAAAAATAGTGTACATTACTCGCAATCGATCCCATTAAAAAACCTCCACACCTACCCCGTCCCGTCTTTTCTTACAGCGCTCCCTCCAAATGCATCGTCGACATAAAATTATTAGATAAACAGAGTACAACGCTAATTGCTCGGACGGAGAGCTCATTTTTATACACCCTTCAGTGCCAGTTTTACCTCCAAGAAACTCCGCAAACATAATGAAATTATCCTTTCATCTCTTAACCTTCTGCCCTGTTACATCCTCCAGAACCATTTTCTGTAGTATCGCACTTTCTTTTGTGCCCACCAGCATAAGAAGGCAAGGCATTCTCCCGTCGATCGGCGCAAAGATAACGAAAATACACATCGAATTTTCATACAAAAACCATTCCAGTTCAACCGGAGAAGAAAAAAAGACCACCATTAAGTTAATACGGATTTCTCTGCAAAAGAAACCTCATCAAGGAGTATATACGCTACGAAAACAAATTCATCGCCGTTGTGAAGATAGTTACTGAAGTTGTAAATTTCAAATACACATTAAAATTAAGCTCCTGCAGTCCTGCAGGAGCTTTTCTGACGACCCAAACTGTCGAGAAATGACCGTTTAAAAGGCTTTTATAGCTTTATATGTCATCAACAACGTTCATTTCATCGCTGAAACGCTGCTTTAACATAACTATAAGTTAAAAGGAATTTGATATTACACTACTCACGTACGTAGAGTATAACTAAATTACTTATACAAGTTATTATATCTTGTGAGGAGATGATTTGTTCTAGAGCTTTAAAAGCTTTCATTCCAGACAAAGTAAGTACATAAATATAGAAAATCTGAAAATATTGTGGGTAAGATTATTTCTATAAATTTACTTTTAGCTGTAGAAATACTTATAGCTACAAGATATAGCTGAAGTTGTAGGAGAAATGCACTACAGAGGTAACATAATATAAAGCTCAGTTAATTCATTTAATCGATCGAATCTTCTACCTTTCTTTATTGCGAAACAGTTGTTCTCTACCAGCTAAATGAAATATTCGATACAAATTTAATTTTCTACCTCAGTCGTTTTTTTTGTGGAGTTAATATAATTACTTACGGTTAATTTATGCTTCTCGTCAGTTCTGCTGGGCTGGCGCTCTTGCAGATTTTCGACGTTTTTTGTGCGAATTAATTTGCTAAAAAGCACAAGGCCATCTCGACGTAATGCGTCACGATCCACCTCCCACATGCCCAGTTTCATCTGAAAGGAAAACACGCTGAAATGAGTACATATTCCAAAATCGATATGAAAAACCGCAGTTTTCGCGCTATCAACCATGTTTCATTAATTCTCCTTTAAATATTTTATGGCCAACAAGGCCCAAAAGTTACAGAGGCAATACAATTTGCTAAAAAGTATAGTGAACAACTCGGAAAATGTAGTAAATTGTGACTGTAATAATAAGTGGTTTGAAGAAAATGTAACCTTGTAGTAATTGAGCGTGCAAGAATCAAAGAGATTTGATAACAGCGCGCTTTTAAACTCCCGCAAACCCCGTTGAGTTCGTTAAATTGAATCAATTTGAGAAGGACAAGCTGGAGACTTTGACTTCGGTGCTTTATTGCCAGCAAAACAGCCATTCGACTAAGTGCGTGAAGTTTCTCCGGTAAATAAATTAATAAATAATTGCTTTGTTGCATCGAAAATTCAATAGTGAAAATCATTCGATAGAAAAATTCATTAGTAATTCAATGAGTTACCCAATAGTTTGAAAAGACCTTATTGCTAAATTTTAAATATACTTAGATTTTTTTATTACTTCTTGAGGTGAGAATAAAAAAGCTATTTTCGTAGAAAAAAAGTATAAAAGCATAATAAATAATTGACCTGTCTTTACTAACATGACAAATGTATATTAATATTAATAAAAATGTATACTTTATGTACTTAATTTGCATATCCGCTTTCCACATTCACGCATGACATGTACGATTTTCGTGAGGTTAAAAAACGATTTTCCGGTTGGAATAAAAAATACCAGCAATATACCTGTTTCGGAGACCAAAATCCGTCTCGTTTATCTTTTTTTACCGTCTCATTTTTCCCGAATTTAGGCCATTATATACCACCTCGTCAAGGCTGAAGTGCAGATTTATTTACCTTTTATCACTTGATATTTTTTATCTGGATAAAAGGCACGACAGGACGGTTTGTCGTTTCGTTTTTTTAACTCGAATTCGACGTTTTCTTATTGGTGAAACTAGTTTGAATCGACTTTATCCAGAATTTGATTACTGCCGAGATAAAAGAAGGGCCGGTGAATAAAAAAAGAAATTCGAGATGAAAGGTATTTTGGGCCATTAAAATTATATTTAACGATTTATGGTTGAATATCATTTTTATTCACTCCCGCCAGTTTGTATATGAATTCATTCATAACCTTCCCCCGCATTATTTGGAACACAAACCTATTAATTTATTTTATTCGTTACACAAACTCTCATTTTAATTCCCTATTCATAAATTTTTTTACCTGCATTACATAGTTAATCATAGCGATGGATACCTTTGTACGTATTTCATTTCGGTACGGGTTATTACAAAAATAGATTTATTATTCATAAACAAAAGTATCTCTAGTATAATAGTCTACAATTTGACCTATTAGTTATTAAATAAAACAAAAATGAGTTTTCCGAATTCCGATACATTAATGATTTATGACCGGTAGTTTCCATTCATAAAGAATTCCATTATTTTCGGACGAGAATCGAATGAGGGAATTCCAAAAATACATGTGTCACTGTAGAATTTACCGCTTGTTGATAATGGCTTAATTGAATCCGATTGAAGCTTTTGAAACTTCAAAGAATATTTCGATTATAAATAAACCAATTTGCGATTAACAACATCTATTCAATACAGGAATTAATTGAAAACGACAGCTTTCCCAAAAGGGAATAACTATGGGAATTGTCATATCTAACAAATCGATATTGATAATTAAAATTAGAATTTACTAATTAGAAGCTTACATTGGATTATTTTATTGGAAAATAGATTGCGTCCCACCTTTGGCCAACTTATTAGAATTTCCTTGAATATTTCAGAGCTTTAGAAAACTTATCAAGAGGAACGCAAATATTGCCTCGTGTCTTCACAAAAACTTTATTATATTAATTAATAAAGGTTTTAAAATTACAAAGCACCTTTTGAAGTATAATTTTGCAGGTAGTCCGTGCACCAGCAAGCCCTTATTAATTTCATCAAAACTTTTTGACCTGCATAAAAGAAAAACACGGGCAAGTCTGGATCTAAAATTAGAAATTTCGTACGATTACGTCCCCATTTAAACCACCCGTAACGTGGCTCAAGAACGATCCACTCGCGGCTATGAATATTCACATATCTAGAACGTGTTTACAAACGAGTACAAGGCGGCTTTATTAGCTGGCACTGTATTATTAGGGGCATGAAGGTTCTTGTTACCGCAAGCGGGTGTTTCCTTCCGTTCCGTCTGATTTATGATACGAGTTTTGTCTTCGCTGTTCCGCATTACCGATTGATAAGAGTCCGTTTTCAATATCAATTGGTGCAGGTAGGGGATTTTCTCATGAACGCTCTGCTCGAAGTTTAAGAAATTAATAATAAGTCGAGTTCTGAAATCAAATCGTTATCAATAGGGCCTGGAAAATATGCAAAATGCAATTAAAGTGCATACAGGCATATCTCCCAAAAATTCAAAATGATTCTATAGACAGTTCTTAACAATTCTGGAGCATTCTATATCATTTAGGTATATGGCTTTATATTTGGATTCTGGATCATTCTAAATGGTTATAGACAGTTCTAAAAGATTCTGAAGTGTTCTAAATGTTTCTGGTAGTTCTAAATGAATCTGGAGCGTTCTAAATGGTTTTAGACAGTTTTAAAAGATTCTGGAGCGTTCTAAATGGTTCTAGTCACTTCTAAATGATTCTGGATCGTTCTAAAGCGTTCTAAATGTTTCTAGGCAGTTCTAAATGATTCTGGAGCTTGCTAAATTCTGAAGCTTTCTAAATGGTTGTATAGGCAGTTCAAAATGATTCTGGATCGTCTAAATGTTTCTAGGCAGTTCGAAATGATTTTGGAGCTTGCTAAATGGTTCTGAAGCATTCTGAATGGATGTAGATAGTTATAAATAAATCTGGAGCGTTCTAAATGGTTTTAGACAGATCTAAAAGATCCAGGAGCGTTCTAAATGGTTCTAAATGATTCTGGAGCGTCCTAAATGGATTTGAAGAATTCTGAATGGATCTAGATAGTTATAAATAACTCTGGAGCGTTCTAAATGGTTATAGACAGTTATAAATGATTCTTGATCGCTCTAAATGATTCTAGATAATTTTAAATCATTCTTGATAGTTCTAAATGATTCTGGATCGTTCAACACGGTTCTGAAGCGTTCTAAATGATTCTAGAGCGTTCTATATAATTCTGTAGCAATAACCCTAAAATCGATTAGCATATTTGTTGAAAGCGAAATCGTGTACTTGTTCTACGATCCTTTATTGATACACACAAAATCGCGCTATTGAAGGAAAGAGTTTGCGGTCCCTATCGAAGGAGTGAAACGTTGTTCTATTCAAAATTCCGGACCCAACATTTAAACTCACGTGTGTCAACCCCCGAGGTGTGCAGGGGCACGTGTAGGTAGGTATACGAGAGTAGTTATTCATCGATTTTCTCCAAAATAATCCCTTCGGGCCGGTTTTGTTATCCAACGTTTTTTTTTCGGTTCGCCTCCTTTACACCGACCTACGGCGTTTTCCTATTATGTGCTCGACCCGACACGATCCAGTTGAATAACCTTAAATATTCCTAATCTCCCGCTACTCTTTCCCTTTATAATCTGCAAAGTAGACGAAACATTTTTCACCTAATTAGTAATTTATATACCTAAGCGATTAATCAATCAGTCCACGCATCAAATTCGCCAAAATCGTTCACCCCCTCCCAAAATATTTCGCTACCCGCTAACAGGCAGTCCCATTATAACCTGTTGAAAACTACTGCGAATCTAGATGGGTCCATCGAATTCGATTTTGGTAGTTACATGAGGGCCCTTGAAACCGAAAACCAGGATGTGTGGTGTAACGGAGCGTGGCGCGTCGCGACGCCGTCGTCGGGCGTCGGGATGCGCATCGCCATAGTCATCGGCATCGCATCGATTTGACCTCGGAGGGCGTCGTGCAACTGGTTACTGTTTCGAAAGCGAGTTGGGACGCCCGACAAGGAACCGTTACCAAGGGTACAAGTACAAGTTTGAATTACAAAAGTGGACATGGAAATGTCGGGGAATTTACCGAAATGGTGTATAATGCGTGTAATGATCGAAATGTTGTTCATATTTAGTTGTTAAATTTATGATGAAAGTTGTATTATAGAGGAAGTGCGCCATACATGGACCACCATAAGCATTTTTCTCAATAAAAAGTCGAATTTTAAATTTTAATCAGCTTTGTTTATATTAAACAATTTCTTAACCATTTAGTTAAGAAAAGCTCGTAATAAAATTCTCCAAAACAACAAAATCTTTGAAATAAATAACATTTTCTAAAGTACATTTTTATGAACTTCAGAAAGTGAACATAATATGGGACCACATCCAGATTTTTCCATTTCTCTAGTATAATTGACTAATTCATCTTCCAAGTCACTCGGTAATGTTGATTGTCTCCCAAGTTTTTGGGTGGTGATATTATTAAGTGATTTGTTTTGGGTGTATGTTTTGGAAGCATTCAAAAAGCCCATTTTCTTTTTTCGTGCATTTTTAATTGCCTCAGCCTTTGCGGTTTTTATCCCATGCTTGTCTGGTCTTCTCTATTGTTTTAGAAGCCATTCTAGAACATAAAAATTAATTTTTAGCCACTCCATATTTAAAACGTGCCACTGGTCCATATTGTGATACTTACTCATTTTGAGATTTTTTTTTAATTGGAATATTACAGAGTATTAAAGCTTAACAATTAATTGCAACATGACTCACCTTTCTCGTGGTCTTATCCACTTTCACATAAAATAGTATTTTTGGATTAAAAACTTTCAAAATTCGTTAGAAAATTAGATCGCGCGTTGCTGAAAACTAAAAAAGGCTGTCTTAAATATATGCCTGCATCCTGGATCACTGCAAAAGCTACAGATGGGTCAAGGAAGGAGTGATGGTTATTGTGTGATGATGAATGAGATACTTGCACTGAATTATTCTATTCCACGGCCCTTGACTAGTTCAAATTATTGACGACGAGTTTAGATACTACCAGGAATTCATGTCCACTGGATCTTCTTAAAAGATCATTTCTTAAATCATTTCTGCTAATTCGAATCAAAAGCAGCAAAAAAATGTTCATATAAGACAGAACAATACAGAGAAAGTTACGATTTGAAATGATACACCAGAATAGGGAAGATCGACTTTATGGCATAGAAAGTATGCAGAAGGAGCTTTCATCGATGTCATATAGCACTGTCAACGTTCGCATACCAACTTACGAAACGCCATGGCGCAGCAGCCGGAAGAGGAGGAAATATTCGGAACGGAAACGTTATGGAGGAGCATCGCAAATTACATGTACAGGCTGGAGAAGTACAACAAATCGTTGAAGTACTACGATTTGGCGGTGATCGAAACGCCCAATGATAAGGTAAATGATTCGAATAAGTCGTGTGATTAGTACGCGAGCGAAAAGTTTTGTAGAAAACACTGATCGACCGAGCAAGGGCCAGGGCACGGTGCAACAACTACCTCGGAGCTCTCGAAGACATTGCTAATGCTCTCAAAATCGATCCGTTGGATCTGATCGCCTTGGCGGAAAAAGCTCACACTACCTTCTTGAATACGCATTTCGAGGAAGCGTTGATCCAGAATCAGAGATTGCTTCCGCGTCGGAAGAAACCTGATTATTTTTTCTTAGGTACGTTTCTTAATCAATAAACCTGATCGAAGATATCACCTTAGAGTACCAACTACTGTAATATCTAGTTAAAATAATAACACAGCAAAGAAAAGAAATTTCTTTAGTAACTATAGAAGAGTTGAATTAGTTGTAAAGCGATAAAATGATTATATTTAGGTGCTTTGAAATGCATCGCGACGTTGGAACAATGCGTGGGCGACGTCGCTGGGACGCCTCTTCGCGATCATTTTCTGATCATCAGAAGATTGGCCTGGAAATGGAACATGGACTCCATCAAGGAAATTTCGTTCGTGCCCAGAGGCAAAGAGAAGCAAAAGAAAAAGAAGAAAGTGAAAAAACCAGATCGCAGACGAACGGTGAATTCCAACAAACTCGCATCGTATTCATTAAGCATGTTAATTGATTATTTAAGACCCTTATGCCGGAAGAACACCTTCGCGTGAGAGACCGCCTGTACAGCCAGAAATCCGAAACCTTCGTCATACCGCCGTTTAGGACCGAGGTGAAGTTCGCCCCGTTGCAGAATTACACCACGAACATAGCGAATTACATGGCCGAGAAGTACCTGGACCGGATGTACAGGGAAAAAGTCTTTTTAAAAACCATGGTAGACCATCGAGGTTTGACCATTCCCAATGCAGCGGGAAGCAAGCGATTGAAGCAAATCGCGATTGAAACATACGACGGGGTTGCGAAGAAACAAGAAGTCTTAAGAACCAGTCGACCATTTTATTTCCTCAAGTACCAAGAAGCCAAGATAACAGGTAAATGTAGCGATTAAAATACCGAAATCGGGTAAATTTTAAATTCCCACTGTTTCTGTTGGGCAAAGTTCGGATATAAACAAAATCCAATTAAACTCTAGGTAAATTGAAGAGCCGCCAAGAGACAGATTTGCTGCTCTATCAACAGAACGTGAAGAAGGAGACCGATAAGCAATTTTTGAAACTCGAAACGGCGTTCAAAGAGAAGCAATTACCTAGTATCATTGAGTTGTCGGAGAAATTGTATCGATTCTGCCAATTGAAACCTAAAAGGTTGTTGCCAGACAAAGACATGTACATTAAAAGGATTTTGGATATTGTCCGAAGAGGTTTCTACGATCTTTACAGGCTCAATCCAGATCAGGTGCGTAGGTATTTACTATAAATTTGTACATTTTTAATCAATTCTAGTAATGAGTCGTACGAATCAATGTTTGTAATATTAGAGAAAATTGGTTTAAAATTTATTCTTTTCGGTACATTCTAATAATAACTGGTATATTTTAGGCAAAATGGGACCAAGAGAAGAGAATTTTGGTGTGCCTGGATCAACCAATCAGCCGAGAACCGTCCAACGACTCGGTCATCAAGCAATTCACTTACAACGTCTTCGATTACTACGACATGGTTAAATTTTACGAAGATAGAATGCAGAGAGCGGAGTATACAGACGAAATTTGCTGGAGCTACCACGAATTAGCAAGGTACCACTCGCAATTATTCACACGCGCTATTACGTCATGTCAATTGCCCGATCGTAGGTACAGCATGCTATCCAAAAACTACGAAAACGCCAGAATCTACGCCAAGAAATGCCTGATAGACATAGCCGATTTGGAGGAAATGGAAGAGTGGTATTTGAACCTCACGATGATCGTTCTGCGGACGAACATGCGAGAGAAGAACAAATTCGATGCGATGGCGGAGGCGCGTAACGCAATGCAATTGGCCGAGAAACGGAAAGATCGGCAGCTTCGGGAATACATAAAAAGGATGACAACGGTCATAAGTGAAATTGAATTCGAAGAGGCCGAACAGTACAAGGTAGAGCGCCTTTACAATACCGAAATTATTCATGTTGATTTATTTTCGATTTTTTATAGGTGGAAGAGCGCCGCCAGAAGAAGATAATGCAATTGATGGCTAACGAGAAATTGAGAGTGGAGTTGAAAGGGTTGCTCCAACAGATGGGCCCGAGGAAAATGACTGGTAGCCGTGGCAGCAAAGACGCCACCGCCAGCACCACAAAATTGGGCAAAGATAAAGGCAAATCTATGGTAGATATCGACGCTCCGGAAGGAGCAGGTTTCATGCAATTAATCCAATTTCACATTTGAGCTAACCCAATAATAATAAAGCTCACCATTAGCACTCGTTCTGTTTTTATTTTTCGAGAATTTAAGCATTAATTTCCAAATATAGGTCTGATCAAACAATCCTGTTTGTATAGTATTAATATTCTACTCGTGATCAATAGTAGCGGGAATTTCCCCGTACGAAATTTTCCGACGTTACAATGAATGATCAGCCGCTATTTATCAATGAACCACCCCACTAAAACGCCAAACTTTTACCTTGAAGCTTCAAATTCGAATGTATCCGAAACGACTGCACTTCAGCTATTCAGCGGCACCAACAACAAAACAACCCTCGACCGCATTGGCACATTTTCACACAAATGGACGCCACTAAGTGCCCCTTTCGACCGACAGCCAGATATTGTAGCTTCTCGACGCCGCGCTCCGAGAACATCAAGTGCCAGAATTCGCTGCGCCAGGACCGCGCCAGAGCTCTGCGAAGGACCACCTTGGCACTACTGAAAGGCCGAAGTCGCGCCGCGAGTTCGGCGCTCGGCGCTCGGGAGTTGGGAGTTGCGGAACGGGGCCGAGAGCGCCGAATTTCGACGAAACGAAGAGTTGGGAGAACGGAAGTCGAAGTTGAGTATCGACCACGTTCCCGTCGCCGTCGCACCGTCGACGACACGGTTCCCGTGCCCGATGGTTTCGACGGCGAATGGAGGAACGGAGGAGGCCAAGCAGGATCTGGATCCTGTAGGGGAGACTGGAGACTCTCATGGTATACTGGGATTGTCCGCATTCAGTTTCTGATTCTTTCATATAAATGGGATGAAATGGGAGATATGATACATCGGTAATGTCGCATCTTATACAGGGTGTCTTATAGGTTGATACTTATTTTTAACTGCGTATATAGAGGTTGCTCCATTTTTGATCGCAACATAGGTTATGTAGACCATAGGTGCGATAAAGACAACTTCCATTAGATACTTATAAAGGAAAAGGAAAGAATGACATTTGTGTCATTGCAACTTTTCACTCTGACAACTGTTATTTTATTAATCTTTCTTTGTTCCACTCATAGAAATGACCATGTTGCAATCGGAAATGGACCAAACGATATAGATCTTTTAATTCTAAGCAACTTTTTCAAGTAATTTTTTTTAATATCCTGGAAAATAAAAAAGATGGAAATTTTTCAAATTTCTTTAAATTTCGAATATTTTCCAATACGTACCTGCCATTACTATACAGGTGTCAAAAAATAATAAATAATGACAAAAATATTAATTTTTTCGATTGTTGAATTGAAAATAGCTCATCTTTATACAAATAATGAATTGGTGGACATGCTGATTATTTATGGAGAGTGTTTCCAAAGCGTTTCCAATCAAAATGGCGACAATTTTGAGCAGTTCCTTTAATTTTTATTGAACAGGGCCGCATTAACTAACTTTTTAATAATCAATAATTGAAAAAAAACATGTTCTCTTATTTTCCAGAATATTAAAAAATTGTTTTGAAAGGGTTGGTTAGAATTAAAAGATCTATACGCAGTTAAAAAAAAAGTATCAACTAATGAGACACCCTGTATAGGGCGATCCAAAAAAGGTTTCGGCTCCAAAAGCATTGACTTGAGTGTCATTTGATTGGTTTTTTGACAAATCATTGATTTGTGTTCAGATACGTAAAAGACCAAAGATGTTTCGTGCAATTTAAAATTTTAACCGTTTAGGAAAGCTTAGAATGTTTTTTTCGTTGCATGTTTTGAGACAAGCTGGCCTACTCATTCTTAAAGCATCGCGCACAATGTAGCATTTTCACAGATCTTAAGAAAATCTACTACGTTCAACATACATTTTTAGAGATTTGTTGCATAGACAATGTTGCATCTTATACAAGGTAAGACATAACCTAGATGCAACCTAGATAACAGTATAGGTCATGATTACAAGGTTCATGATGGAGCATGTTTCCCTCTGTTCTGTTGCCATACGTTTTAGGTATAAATCCTCCCTGTATTACCATCTAGATTCTCTTTAGAATGAACCAATAATCCCGGTAATTAATCATTCCATTAATTATGAACATCAAGCAAAGTAGTTTCTTGACACCATTAGAGCAAATTTTACCCTACTATAATGTTATAACATCATCCTCATCTAATATTTTCCTCTTTTCCTCTTTTCCATTAAAAAGAGCAAAACCGTTTAAACTCGAATAAGCAGCCCACGCGTCGCGAGGCTCATTCCGCAAACGAAATTTCGAATTTTCCGCTGATTAAAGATATTAGATAGACTCCTCCGGATGCTGATGCTCGGAGCTCCGTTCCCTCCTACGCTCGACAGCGAAGCACCGGCCTGCCTACGTGCACTCGGCGTACAGCGTGTTCGGCTTTACCCTCAGGTTTCGGGTTATGGATCCGGCGAATCTGTGCGAAAATCGAAGGCGAGACGGGACGAGGAAACGCCGGGAAAAGGGTGAATGAGCCGAGGAAAAGCCAGAATGGCACGGCCACGACTCGCCTCGTGTATTAATGGATGTCGGCGCAATTATCCCTGATGGGGTTGTTTTCTTTATTCGATTCGACGAAAGCGGTGGAGTGGTGTGTTGGAACTTGGAACGGAGGAGTTTTTCTTTGTGTTCGCTAACAAGAATTTATTGTGTTTCGACTGATCGGTAATTAATTTTTTTTCGACTACCTTTGACGATTTGGATGCGGTGAACACTTTACCACGAAGAAGATTATTTAAATGTTTAATAGATTCTTTTTATTTTTTGTGGGTACTGTAAGGTGCCTCAATAAATAGTATTTAAGCATTTTTTAAGATATTAACTGGTTTTTGAAATATTTTCAACAACTTTGAATTACTATTTTCTGTGATTATAAATTTTTATTGATTTTTTCATTGTATTTTCGTGATTTTTCTCAATAATCAAAGATTTTGTTGATTTTAAATGCATTTTTAATCTATTATCAACGATTTCGGTTTTTTCTTTTATTTGAATTTTTATCAAATAATTCAAAACTATTTTTTTCCAAGATTTCAGATAGAGTAAGTGGCCCAAATATGGACCGATCTTATAATATGAACCACCGCCGATTTAAAAAGAACGTGTTTATTCTATATTCTAATTTTCTGAAGAAAAATAATCTCAAAATGAGTAACTATCACAATATGGACCAGTGGCATGTTTTAAATATGAAGTGGCTAAAAATTAATTTTTATGTTCTAAAATGGCTTCTAAAATAATAGAGAAGACCAGACAAGCATGGGATAAAAAATGCAATGACGGGGGCAATTAAAAATGCACGAGAGAAGTAAAAAAGTGCCTTTTGAATGCTTCCAAAACACACACCCAAAAGATATCACTTAATGATATCGCCACCCAAAAACTTGGGAGACAATCAACATTACCGAGTGAATTGGAAGATGAATTAGTCAATTATATTCTAGAAATGGAAAAAATCTGGATGTGGTCCATATTATGTTCACTTTCTGAAAGTTCATATAAATGATAATGTTATTTATTTCAAAGATTTTGTTTTTCTTGGATAAATTTATTATGAGTTTTTCTTAACTAAATGGTTAAGGAATTGTTTAATATAAATAAAGCTGATTAAAATTTAAAATTCGACTTTTTATTGAGAAAAGTGCTTATTGTGGTCCCCATATGGCGCACTTCCTGTGCCTACATTGTTAACGATTTTGAAAGGATTATTTCAGCAATTTCATCTATTCCTTTAGCGACATCGGCTACTACACTCTATACTACACATTATGAGTTTAATCCGTGAACCGGAGGAACATGCAACAGCAGGGGCCGCAGAAACGTAAGAAATTTATACGGCGAACGAGCGGCCGAGCGCCCCAGGTAAGCTGGTGATATAATTCTCGCATTCCTGAGGAGCCAATTTTTATAACGACAACGTGCGTTGAAATTTAAACCATAAACACGGTGCATACGGATTTTCCAGCGGTGCCAGAATTTAAAGCGTCCTTAAAAAAATCAGTCGCTATTAAATTTTTTAAGTGATGGAAACGCTCGGTACGTGGTCATTATTTTGAGAACGACTACATGCGGTATCGATTTTTAGAAACTCATTACAGGAAAGTAGAAAATAAATCCGATTTCATCAGTAAATTTAATAGACTGCAACACAAAATTTTTCATTAAAAAATAACGCAACGAAAATGGTAATAACATGTAATTAAGTTAACTATGTATTACATTTTACCTCTACCTATAGTACTAAATAATACATATAATTGGCGTTATAATCGTTATTTTTGAACCGTCATGAAAATGCACTTTTTCAATTGCATCGGGAATTAAAGCGCCGCGTATATTGACGAGGAATATACATTTACATTTAATCTGTAGGCGTCAATTTATTTAGTTTATGCAGTGCCCCTAATGCAATCACAAAATCAATCAGAATGAGCATGTTTTTTGTATCGTGTATCATTAACTGGAATTATAGGATATTTACATGAACTTTTCATCGATTTTCTTTGCCCGCCAATTCCTTATACTTTGTATATCAAAGCAAACACTAAAGTTGTACCTAAACGCTTCCTCATAAAAACCCCCATCGTTCGTGCGCGATTCCCCACGGAGTTCCTTTCCGAAAATCAAACCGTAAAACTTCAACTTCAATTTCGATGCCTCGAATAGAGCCCTGTATTCTCCGAACTGAAAGTGTGCCCTCCGCCTTCGGAAGAGTCGATAACGGCAGAGATGACGTCATTACTGCAGTCGCCGAACTATTTTGAATAATAGGCAGGGCGGATATTCGTGAATCACAATCGCATTTTCATGCACGGGTCACGGAAGCGCAAAGGTAATGCGACCAGCTCGAGTAATCTTGATCCTGCGCGAAAAACCGGGGAAAAAGACGGTTTATAAATGGCATTAAAACGCAATAAGCTCGAGCTCGACTTTTTTTAAATCGAACAAAAAATTTCAAAATCTGATTATGATTGATCGATTCTCAACAAGTTCCAAACTTTTATCCGTACTATTAAACTCATAAGTTGAATAACAATCGTGTGAGATCGATTTTTTAGCCTTTGTTGGTAACGAAATTGGCCGGAGATTTTCGTGAAAAAGCATCCCTCGGAAGCGACAGGGTGCGAGGTATTCGGAGTTTCCTTATAAATCATTTTTCGGGGTGGAAATTTGCCAGCTCACGTTCCTGATGCCCGCATCTGTTGAGCAAGGCACAGGTGGCATTCTGATCTCGTCGATCTCAGAAATATTCGGATAATCACAAAATTTAATAGCCATTCCTACTCACACACGTACGTTGAATTTGAATACTGATGATATATTCTTAAAGGAATTGTGAGATTCTAATCGGTATCATGATATCCCGTAAAATTAATTGGAAAATAATGATGAAATTGGACCCTTGAACGCAATATTTTATAAAACCACATCTTATGCCACCACAATAAGGTTGGCTAAGATACGCTAGTGTCTTGTTAGTGTTTGGAAATTTTAAAGTCAATTAAAACTAAGAATCCTGTGCATAAAAAGGTAAGCTTTATCTAGCTTGTTAATTTAATAACTTTTACGAGGATAAGAGCTACAATATGGCTTAGTATAATGGTTTTTTAACTACTGCTCGCTAATTAACTGATTAACCTGAAGGAGATTGTGTCGATTAATTTGGTATTTATAAAAAGTTTTCCAAGAAAAAAAATGGAATGGAAACTTTTGGTATTTTTATGCTAATATCCTTGCATTGTCTCTATACTATAGATATGATATGATAACGTATAAGTATTTAGCTCTTGAGTATATTTAATGGTTTTTCCTAGTAAGTGAAAGGAGATTAGTATGTATTCGAGATGGTAATTTCGATTGAGCGATAAACCTTTTAAAAAATATGAAATATTTTTCTAAGATTAAAAATAGATATCTACCTGCATTGAGTACTTATTTATTCTCATTATTATAGGAATTTTACTGGCATAAAATTTATAAATAATTTTCAAACAGTATGTAATTGCATTACAAATCCGTCGCGAAACCTTGAAAATATTTTTTCTTACATAATCTAGGTATTATATAACGCTCAATCAAAGATGTATAGGTATATCTATGATACTTCCGATTAATGTTTTTTTTAAACTATTTCGTCCGTGATTATTAACCGTTGCGAAGGGTAAATATAATTACACAAATTTTATTGTAAAGCACTTTTATTACAAAATGACTAACTACATTATTAAACACAACAAAATTTTATTCGCAACTGTAGCCATAGAGAAACATCGAGATTAGTCGCCGAAAGCGGCATTTAATTGAATTTTAAAATGCATTGAATGTAACGAGTTTAAAGCCAGAAATTCACGTTAACCCAATCGCCTTTTTGATACACGTTCTGTTAATTAAAAATACACAAGTTTCACTGGTCGAGTGATTTACTGTTTGGTTCGTATTTATTTTGCTATTTTTGAGAAAATATAACATTGCAGTAATCCACTGTATTGAAGAGAGTGCAGTAAACAGGCTTTGAGCTAGAGGGGCTTTTGGTTAGAGTGGATGATTTCATAACATAAAGATATCAAAAAAAATATCTACGTGAGGTTACTTAAAGGAGCTGTAAGTCCTCGAAAATGAAGCTTGGAAATGGTTTTTATTTTTTCTCCCTGAAGCCTTTCATGACAAAATCACTTAGGATTTTTTTGCTCCAGGTCCTAATTGAAGGGTGTCTCAAATCGGGGAGATTTTCTTGGGTAAATCCAAGCATTTACTAGCCCACTTTACGTAATAAAAAAAGTAAACCGAATCTATTAGCCATCGACCAGTATCAGAAAATTAAGAATCTTAGTAGTAGTTTAAGGCTACACGTTCGGCGTGTATTCAGGCGATATGGCAACTCGGCGACCTCATATTATTCCTGCGAGCGAAGCGGTTCCGTGTTAAGTCGAAGATGGCCTTTCTGCGGTGAAGCCGGTATTATTCAGTTATCTCGTGCTCACCTACTGTTTATGTTCCGGGCTCTTATCGCTGCGAACGCCGAATGGATCTCTCGCGCTCTCGGCAGGACTTTCTTCGTTGACAAAAAAAAATGTGATCTGTTTTTTTCGGATTTTAATTTTCACGTAACGATTACGTCGGATATACATACATATGCCCGCTTGGATTTAATGGGATAATAATTATCGCGCTGCAAGGGTAAGATTTTGTTTGTTGATAGTTCTTTTACTATATATCTCGAATTATTCTAGTGTTTTTTTATGTTGATATTTCTCTATTTTTATTGGGTACATATTATTAGGAATCGAAATGTAAGTCAACTAACGGACTTATTCGATCATTATAACTTTTCGAAATTTCTTATTACGAATTCTAAGCGATATTTGACAGGTAGGTAGGTATAAAAAATGCTAATTTAACGTTGCTACAAATCGTTTCGCAACGGATTGTTCGAATGCTGGGCCGTTTTCGTTTTCTTTCGAGCGTTCGGAGTACGCACGGGCCTTTAAGTTTTTATTCATACGCTGTGCTGTTACCGAATGTAATTAACGTATTAGGCAATCGAACACGCTTTTCGAACACGAAGCAATAAAATTGTTTCGATACGAAAATTTTAATTAGGCTCTGATAAATCAGTCTAATTTAAACCGAATTAAGTATGTTTAATTTGGTTTATTACGGATTTTATTGCCAATAATAACTAGGTAGATATTACCTGGAATAATAAGGATGTTTGAACAGAGCACTTTCTGATATTATTGATACTTTCAGTGAATATTTCAGTTCAGTACAATTTTAGCTACTCTAATAAAGTTTTTAGGATTAAATTAAAGCCCTATTATAAATTTACATCACTACATGTATACTCTGAAACTTGGACAACAATAAATTAAACAATGAAATAAAAGATTAACGAGCAGTCACAAATTCTTCTAGACACTATCTAAATTTAATTTAAACTTAATTAAAGTTGGCTAATACATAAAAGGCGTATTACATACGCCCTTCGCGCTCCCATTTTCCCGTCTCTTTTATGAAATGATAACGGTTGGAAATAAAATTCGCTCCCTTCGTGCAGATGTCCGCTGTACTAACGTTATATTAATGAGATTCGTAATCTAAAGGCGTACTCCATTCGAACTATCCACAATAATTTTATTATTCTTTTTAAACAATAAGGCTCTTATTGTTTCGCGTAAGTCCGATTACAGACCAGATAGGCCGTTATTCTACATAGCCGTATGCATACTAATGTCGCATTTAAATTGAATCAAAGGGCTCATTGGGTGGTTGTCTCTTTACGATTTAATATTTTATGTTATTTAACTGTGTTGCTGCTCTCGTTTCTATTATAAATTAAACGGTAAAGAGTTTATATTTTTTATTGTTTCTTGTGTAAAAAATACCTTTAAAACCACAGTAATTGTAGCATTAGTATTGCTTCATTCGATAAGTAGTACTTACATTATATTCAATAGTGTAAATTATGCTCATTATGCTGTTTACTCACTTATCAATTTATAATATTACCTATTATTTTTGCAGGATGTTTACTTCATTATCATCGGCTTATTATCCTTACTACTCCATATCTTGTATTAAAAACACATACCATCCATTATGCTCCTTGAAATCGATAAAATATTTATTGAAGTTACCAAATATTAGCATTAAAACGGGATTTACATCTATAAAGGATTTAAAGGCACACTACAATTTTATTATTTTAAGCAGTGGCGTCCGTACGGGTTTTGCTGTGAATAATTTTGGAGAAAAAATGCTACGCCACTGCATACTCTTGAAATAAAATAATTTTCGGAGTTCCCATTCAATTTGGAATAAATTTGATGTCTTGATATTTTTCCGTACGACTCACCGTTTCAAAAATAGAGAGAAAATTTTGTGCAAAAAAGTAGAGTGAAAAATTTGTGCGTAAAAGTAGAGAGAAAATTTTTTTGCATAAAAGTGGGGAGAAAATTTTGTACATAAAAGTAGAGTCAAAATTTATTTGCATACAAGTAGGGAGAAAATTTTGTGCATAAAAGTAGAGTGAAAATTTATTTGCATAAAAGTAGGGAGAAAATTTTGTGCATAAAAGTTGAGTGAAAATTTTTTTGCATAAAAGTAGGGAGAAAATTTTGTGCATAAAAGTAGAGTCAAAATTTATTTGCATAAAAGTAGGGAGAAAATTTTGTGCATAAAAGTAGAGTGAAAATTTATTTGCATAAAAGTAGGGAGAAAATTTTGTGCACAAAAGTAGAGTGAAATTTTTTTTGCATAAAAGTAGGGAGAAAATTTTGTGCATAAAAGTAGAGTGAACATTTTTTTGCGTAAAAGTGGAGAGAAAATTTTGTGCATAAAAGTAGAGAGAAAATTTTGTGCATAAAAGTAGAGAGAAAATTTTGTGCATAAAAGTAGAGTGAAAATTTTGTTCATATAAAAGTAGAGAGAAATGTTTTTTGCATAAATGTAGGAAGTAAATTTTGTGCAAAATTTTGTGTAAAAATTTAAATAAGCAATTTCATTCCTTCTTCGAATAGAACAACAACCACGACTAATTGGCATTGCTTGCAGACAAAAAGAAATAATACTATCTCCTATTTGCCTGTATAATTTTACAGTTACTAAATAAATTATGGCCAGTTAAGTACGTAATTTGTCACACACGTTACTCGTTAAATTATAACGGAGCGTTTGCAGAACTGCTCGAAAGAGCCGTCCGTCGTCGGTCGTTTGAAAAAAACCGGGGCGACCGCCTCACGAAATCGTTCTTCGGGCTCGATACCGGCACAGAAGTAACCTGCACGTGAAATTGGCACGGCTAACTAGCCGAACAGAAAGTTATTTAGGTAATTGATAGTTTTCAGAAGTACCGAGCCCAAAGACTTTTTTAAATAGGTTCGATGAAGAGTGTTTTTTCAAATTTTCGAAGAAAATAACAGTCAATGATGACAGTCAATAACAGTCATGATAGTCGTGGTCATTATTTAGTGCCACCTCGTCCTTTAAAGACATTGGGGACCATGGCATATTGGCCCATTTTACTCTATCAGTTGCTGTTCAAAAGGGTTCTACTGCTTGATATACTTGATGAATATTTAGAAATCGTTTAAACATGACATCGTTAGTAGTACCTATGCTCAACCTTAGGCACAGTCTAAATTTTTCATTACTTTTTTAGGCGTGATATTTCAGATACAATATCAAATACTGTGTCAAAATGTCTCTTTTAAATAGTTTAACGTAGGTACACCCACCCATTTTGGAGAAAAAAAATGCTGCGCCACTGCATAATCTTGAAATAAAAATTATTTTTGGAGTTCCCATTCTATTTGGAATTAATTTGATGTCTTGACATTTTTCCGTACGACTCACCGTTTCAAAAGTAGAGAGAAAATTTTGTGCATAAAAGTAGAGAGAATTTTTTTTTGCATAAAAGTAGAGAGAAAATTTTGTGCATAAAAGTAGAGAGAAAATTCTGTGTCAAAATGTCTCTTTTAAATAGTTTAACACAGGTACACCCACCCTAATTATAATATCTATAAAATATATGTTTTCCCAACATCAAAGCGCCGACCTGTCGCTTCTGTGTGGGCCGTAATTCTGTGTCACTGTGTATAAAAACAAGTGGGATTTGTAACTGTTCAAATCTCTGTATTATTGTTCTATTGTGTTATTATTAATAATATTCCTCGCATGGTGAGCGCCGCTTCCTTGAGACGTTTTGTTATTTTAATTCAATGAAATTGCCGGCGAAAAAAGTGCAACCGAAGAAACCGTACGCTCCGCGTTCGGTGTGCATTTCGCCGTTTTTCTTTTATGAAATCGTAAATGCAACGCTGGTTTCAGTTACAGTTAATTCGCTGGGTTTTTTCGTTCTATTCCAGGTCGTTTGTGGGATTCTAATATTTTTTTGTGGAGCTAATAATTCACCATGCAAACAGACAATGAACTTGGAAAAAACAGTTCTGATGCTTTCTTGAATATTTCTGAAAATTCATCTTACTACTTCATTAGTGGGGTAATGGAAAACGAACAATTTTTAGATAACAATTTCAAAAATTTAAGACTTTATCGACGAATACTACAATATAGCAACAACAACGTTATATAATCGGGTTCTCGCTTATCTAACAATATTTACAAACCGATTTTATTTCAATTACATTCGGGTAATTAATTAACCAGTAATGATTCTCCTGCGTTTATTAATTAATGCGTCGCTCGTTTAACATTACAATGCTAATTTGCAGCTAGGCAACCGCACCTCTAACTCGAAAATACCTCCTTAAATCATGCCCTAACTCCATAGACCTATTAACTATATGGACGCGGTTTAGACAAAGAGGTTGTGTTGTCGATGAATGAGAGAGATGCAGCTAGTTTGGGCATATGGCAATGAGAGATTGGACAATGCATTAGCCAATGGTAAGAAAGCAAAAGACCACGTGAGTTACGTTTTCGGTAATGCAAGGTAGCTGGGGTAGAGAAGGGTAGCTTATTGTTGAATAGGGTTGAGGATTTATTATTTTTTTACCGAGCAAAATGCATTTTTCAGCTGAGCCTAAATTCCCACGCATTTGCAAATACAGTTCTTATTTTGTATTGTTAATTGGAACCTCCTAGCTATTAACCAGTACAGATTTCGCAATTTAAGACCTAGCTGCTTTCTCTTGTAAAAAATATGTTTCTTCCAGGTCATTCTTCTGTCCAAGTGGATACCAAGATAAAAACAATATTTAAATATTAAGCGTATAAATAATTTAACAAATTAATCGCCTTTTTCCTCACACCCTGTATATATTTTATATTTTTTTTGGTCCCGCCTACTTTTAGCCCAAACTAGCTCCATCTCTCACGGACCTCTCTCTCTATCATTGGGAACGCTGAATAACCTCAAAATAACGATTGTGCCGCGTCCATACTTAATAGGTCTATGCCTAACTCTGTTTTTACGCCCTTACAGTGCAATTAACCGTTCGAAAATGAAACCGCTTCCGTTGAATATCAAACAGTATTTATTAGGAACGAAAACTTATAATGACAAGTTTAACTTTATTTACAATTGAATCCGCCGGGATTAAAGTTGCAGTAGTTCTTGTTGGAAGCACCTTGTAGATTGATACCGCTCCAACTCCAGTCGCTGCATCCTCCACTTCCGCAGAGGACGTACACGTCTTGAGAATGGGGTCCGTGCAATGTTCCATAAACGTTTTCTATTCTGAGTCGCTTAATTTTGATGTTGCCCATGGGATGGCCTGTGTCCCCATCGTTAGTGTAATCTTGTTGAACGTTAATACCGTAATAAGCTATACCTGTAATAATGATTAAGTGTAATCAAGAGTAACTTCATTCGAGTTGATATTTACCAGAGAGCTTGATGTTTTTGTATGTTACATCGGAGATTTCTCCAGTCTGAGATCCGGCGATTGTTTTTACATGAATACCGAGTCTGGATGCTTGCACAACCGAATTTGAGAAAGTGACGTTGTTCACGGTGTTCAGAGCGTACGTGTTCCAGATACCAACGGCAATACTCAATCCATGACTGCCCGTACATTGCATGTTATCGATAGTGAGGTCCTGGCCTTGGTTGATGCAAACGCAGTCGTCCTGGTTGTGAACGACCGAGTTCTTGAGAGTGATTTTGTACGATTTGGCTATGTCGAAACCATCTGTGTTGGCTCCCCCTTTCTGCAAAACGATCGCATTTTAAACACTCATCTACGGCTCAATTTCGAACGTTCTTACGGTATCACCATCCGCGCAATTGATGTTCCAGTGGTCGAGGGTGACATCGTGCGAGTCCGAAATGCCGATGCAAGTGTGAGGGCAATTCCTGACGTTGATGTTCTTGAAAACCGACCCGCCGGTGGATTGGATCAGCATCGTTTGGGGCTTCTTCCTGTTGCTGTGGTCGCCCTTGCCGTCCCACCACAACTCGCCGCGACCGTTAATCAAGTGATTGCCTGTTCCTTGTACTGTAATGCTGTTACCAGTGATCCAGACCAGAGGACCGTCCCATTGGGCAAAGGCGAAAGACAATTCGCCTGCGAAGGTTAAGGTCGAGCCGGACTGAAGGGCTAGCTTGAGGGTTTGTCCCGCGGGCACGGCGAAACTGCCTACTTGAATGTTCTTACATTGGGAGCAGACCGAAGCGGCTTGATCGAATCTGGTGATGGTGCAATCTTCCAGGCCTAAATACATACAAAACTTTTTGTGCAAAACTGCTACATTGGTGGTTAAGTGTAGAAAGAAAATAGAAAATTAAAGTAGTAATAACAAAAATCTTTACTTGAATTTAAAGCCGGAGAAGCAGCGGAGAGAGCCACGGAGGCTAAAACCAAAGTTAGACACAAACTGTTCATGATTATATGAATTCTGGTCTAATTTAGTCGTATTTATATCGATTTATTATTTTATTGAGATGTTATCTTTAAATATGTTAGATATATTCATTTAGATGATGACAATCTCTTTAAGTATATTGTTTGTTACACGTACTTGAACGATATGTTGATGAGTTACATTTTTAACTCGATGCATTAAAATGTACTTCTATATAACCCAAGTCAAAATATATTTTATCTTTGCAAATTATAGATAGGTACGTTTATACGAATATATCGGAGAAAGTGGTCATTTATAAATTAATTAACGTTGAATATACCCTATAAATTTTAAATTGCTTTAAATTTTTTTATGAATGCATTTACCTAATTGGAGTGTTTATGATGCAAACTTATTGAAAATTGCGTTGCGCTATTTTCGAATTTCAAACTTTATGTTCGCCAATTTAGCAGCATTTTAGCAAAATTTCATTATAATGACATTTGACACACGTCAAAATAGTGTTACGTTATTTTTACGTATATATACGTTCATTATATCTACCTGCCATAAATCATCGAGATAATTCGCTCACTATCGAATTGTTCGCAACGTAATTTCCTGCACTAGATATTATGCGCTATTGTAATGGAAGAAAAAATTCCGTTCGATAATTAGAAAAAGAATCCTGGCGGTTTCATCGCAAAAATCCGCACATATAATCGCTAATAATACGCTTCTCATCGCGCTGGAATCCATCGCAATCAATTTGGTTCTGTTATCAAGTTTATGAAGCAAGAAAATGAAGAGATTACAACAAAGTGTAACGGATATAACCGTTTACGGCGCTAATTACGTTAACAAAGAGAAAACTGTAGGTACAATTCGCAATCGTCGAAATGAAATGGCACTAATGGCGTATAGCGAGCCGGAGTAACGCAGAAAATGGAAACAATAGATTGAATATCTGTAATTTGGTTAAATTAATGTTACGAATTCATTGATTTCTACATGTGCCGTTATTGTATTGAATTTCGTAAATTACAACTCTCATTACTAAAACTCGCGCTCGATTATACATATGTAGGTAATGTTTGGAATATTTAGTTAATAAGAGAATCGGAAATGCACCTATTGAGGCGGATTAATTCTGGAAATGTCCTGATGTCCTGGAAAAATTGATATGAAAAGTTTACTGCTGGAAATGTACACAACAGTAAAGATGGCTATAGGAACATGAAAATTGAGGAATAAAACCACTTTCACAATTTAGTTAATAAAAGTTACCCTTTTACCTCGATTTTACGCGAAATCGATATCTCATCCCGTTAAAAAAATAAAATAAAAGGAGTCTTTCGATCTTGACTGTATACAAATGCTGTAAAAATATTTTGCTACACCAGTTACTATCCAGATTTTACAATATGAGTAGGTACTTGTAAATATACAGGTAGATGCAAATTGTTTGCAATATAGGCTATGCATATTTTAGTCCAGTAACTATAAAAATAGCATACATATTTAAAGAAAAATGAATAAATTAATGTACACACTCAAAAATGTTTTGCATAAAAGAATAAACATGTAATATAACGAAATACTTGTAAAATTACTTATCAAAATTAGTCTATCATTTACCAAAAGGCATAAATATCATTTAATATTATTATCAATAAAAATTTTACAATTTAACAAAATAATTTACAAATAATAAACTGCCAGTGGCATCTCAACCCATTAATATACCTATGCAAAACATTTTTGAGTAGGTACATACTTATGTGTAGATTGTAATCTTTATGGAATTTCTAACTTGATTTTTTAAGTAATTTCTGTTATCTTGAATAGGGTGCCAAGAACATAAGGGGACTAATTTGAATTGACGCATTTAAAGATTTTAATTTTATCCAACGATTAAAAATATCAATATTTACCTATTTATAATTATAAAATTAGCTACCTATATAGCTTATTCCACCAAAAATTCCTATCATTTGACATGCAAATTTCAGAATCCTCCAAAATTAGAAATTTAAGATTAGGTATTTGATATATTTAATTGCGGGAATTTTTTACTATACGGTACTCAAAATAAATGTCACCTACTATACATAAATGTGCATTATCTACTTCTCCTTTGTCTTATTTAATTCTCATTTTCCTAAAAAGTGTATCATTAATCTACTTTTTTGGTAATTTTTTAGTTCATAAACGTAAATTACGTCCTCTTCTTACACCTACATTATTTTAGTAGATAACATTATCTCCTTATTCTCCAAAAAATAAGTTTTGTAAATGTATAATAGTAAGATTATTCTTCTATTTCAGATAACGAATAAGCCCAAAAATGATCTAGTCTGAGATAACACCAAGTCATCACAATTTTTAAAAACAATGATGCTTTCCACGAACGTCCTATGCCTAAAAAAGAAGAAAAAAAGAACATACAGCCTAAATGGAGGAAAAGTCAATTGGAAAATCAGAAAAGCCGAGAAAAACGAGTAAGTTAATCAATTTAAACCAACGATACATAGGAAAAATATAGCACAATTCTCGCACTTTCCCCACATCTCATACAAGCGCAGGACAATTAATACACGGTGGAATTCCGAACAGATTTCCATTCGTTGTGCATTTTAAAATCCAACTGAACTGGTTCAAGGCGAAATGAACGACAATAATTGGCCCATGATCGAACAAAAACGATTTCATGATCAACAAGCGACGTCGATTTGAGGGAAAAATAAAAAGTCGCATTCCCGGCAAGGTGAGAGTTGAACGGTTGTCGAGCAATGTCTTTCGCAAAACGTACAACGCACACACGAACAGATCACGATATAGTCGTGTCGATTGACGAAGGAAATTAATTACAATCATAGCGATATTGCGGTAATATTAACATGTCATTGTTGCGGATAGGTTGAAGGTTGGAAGTAACGTAATTAAAGGGTGGCGTACCGGTAATTAGCACGTGGTAGAACCGAGGAAACCGAGGCGCAGGAATTTCTATTTTTCTCGACTTTAACCGGTTAATGAGACCTGTTGTATTCGAGTGATCTAGTTGCTTTACAGGGTGTAACAAAAAGGTGGGCCACAAATTATGTCATAATGTTCAGGGGTCAACTTTTAGTCGATTTTCCTATATTCAAAATGCCATACAAATCAAGTTATTGCCTGTCTAAAGTGCTAAATGAAAATCGATTTTTTTAATAACTCCAATAGTTTTCAATGAATCTTCATGAAATGAGACTCGTATTATTTTTATAAAAGTAGTATGTTAATAAAAAAATAACAAAATCGCACTCCCCATCATAAAGTTTTATCATATATGTACATGATCATGTATACATTTAATCCCCCTTGAAGATTCAGTGAATACTTTTGGAGTTATAAAAAAAAGATTTTCAGTTAGCGCTTTAAACAGGCAATAACTTGTTTTATAACAAGTTCTGTTATACCCTGTAAATCAATTTTTTGTCACCTTTTAACTAGATATTTTTTGTATAGGTATCCCTGCATTCATTTATTCTCCTAATGTAGAAGTCTATTGCTAGAAAAGTCCTCACAATATCAAGGAATATATTTTTTCCATGTATCGCTCATAACAAAATCGCCGCACATTAGCGTCATTAATAAAAGAAAATCTTTATCGTAGAATAAAATCGACTTCTATTATACAAAACAATACTTTCTATTTCTAAGTAGACGTGTGTATGTGTGTGTAGGAGAACTAGTATGAATGCAAACGGAATCGTCGAACCTGGCTGTTTGTTTTATTTACATTCCTACGATCATAATACAAAAAACTAGATGGTGTGAGCGTTGGGTTTGCGTTTGCGATAATCCTCGTTGGTTTTAACGGTTGAAGGAAGCACGAGCTTACGTACGTTATTCTATACACGTTAATGGCGTGTGTAAGGTGTTGCATATATACTAGGTTTTATAACGTTCTCGAAGTTTAAGAGGTGTTATTTTGGTAGCAGTGTTTTACTTTTACCTACTTTTACTTAAACTAATCAGGATTCAGGACTCAACCGAATGTTATTTAATAGGTATTGAATAGGGTATAAAGAGATAGGCAGGATTTTTAATGGATGCTTTATTGGATAATGGACAAATTGAATTAAATTAATACAAACTTGGTTTTACAATATTATCCTGAAAATATATATTTTGGGGTATTTTTATTATTTTTGGAAATTTTTGAGGCTTTTTTGTATTCTAATTGATTTTTTCGCAATTTTTTTTAATTGTGAATTTTTAATGAATTTTTTCACGATAATTAATGGTGAATTTTCAAAGGGATTTCAACTATTTTAAACCACAATTCTAATTGAATCTTTGAAATTTTTCTATTCTTTTAATACGAAGTTTTAAGCAATTTTTTTTAATTGTGAATTTTTAATGAATTTTTTCACGATAATTAATGGTGAATTTTCAAATGGATTTCAACTATTTTAAACCACAATTCTAATTGAATCTTTGAAATTTTTCTATTCTTTTAATACTTTATCAAATTTTATAATAGTTTTCAGATATTTTAACAATTTAATGCATAATTTATAGTGAATTTTTAAATATTTTTCGACTATAGGTGATACTACCGATTTCTATCATTTAAAAAAAAAATTTATTACATTTATACATCCACTGATGTAAATTTAATACGCATATTTTAATGATTTTTTTTCATTCCTCGAATGGTGCTAGTTATTACTGTTATTATACATATATGTAATATTTATCAAATAATATAATTTTAGAAAATCGGAACTCTCCTGCTAATGTGTATGCAAAAAAATCATCAGTTTCCTGCAATTATATCCAAAACGCACGGATATTTATTTCCCTATTGCACAACGACACCCGCAATTTCATGTGCCTAAATGCCTCAATTAAGTGAAATCCAAACGGCAGTAAGTCGAGTCTATGCTATAGGGGCAAAAAATATTAATGGAATTGCGTAAAAGTAGAAAAGTGAAATTCCGTAATTTATTTATTAATGCGTAATAACTAATAACTCAATTTAAATATCAATTTCAGTTTATAATCAAACGAATTTAATATACATATGGAAACGTCTATTGGATCGTTTTGTAATTGTAATAATAATAATGTTTCTTTGTTATATTGGATTTACTCCTACGTTACATTAGAACGTTGCACAAACTTATTTCGAGGAATATTTAAGGGATTGCGCCGAGTTGCGGGAAAATTTTAAGTGAAATCAATGCGGAACGAAATTGTATGGTAATGCATAATGAGTAGACGTAATTGCTTTTAAAATTACTTTCTACAATTTTCGTTAGAACAATTGTTTGCTATTAGAAACAATAAACACCGCCGTAAAACACACACAGCTTCATCGGAAATTCTCCAGACGAAATTTTACACGTAATTAGGTGGAAAAACTCAACAATGCACGCTTGTTAATTACATTAAATTTATTCTCCAATTTCCAGCGGCGTTTAAATGCACATATATCGTATATCTGCAATAGTTGTCAAGACAAGTGTTTTGACATCTGGTACAAGAGAAACTGCACTTAGTATTGTGTTTTCCTCGTTGAAATTTTATACCTACATTATCACAATACACCTTGTCGAAATAATTTATCACGTAATTCATTCGAGTGTTAATAATATAATCGTTCCCTTCCACTTTCTCCGTTAATGGTAAAAAAATTCAAAATTTAACCGAAGTACAACGCTAATAGGCACCTACAGTAATTTCTTACTTCCTTCGAGGTAAGTAACGAAAATAACAATGATTAAAAAATCCTGCATCGGTAGTTTCGCGTTAATAAAACTCTCTCTGGTCAGCGCAGTAAGAATAAGAAGGAATAAAGACCAGCACCTGATATAAAGTACTGATGAAAAAATGCATTTCCGGTGGTTTTTTGTCAAATTTTCACTTTCGGTCGTAAAATCTTTACGACTATAATGTAATAAAAGAGTTATGAAATATTTTTTGTATGCGTTTGTTCCATTTATTAAATGATAATGTTTAATTGCAAATTTACCTACGTATGTATGTATAATTCTAATTGAGTTTTATTATTATAGTATTTACTATAAGTCAATTCACGCCTATGCATACATAAACATAACGCAGTAATATGACCGCTATCCTTATACCTGTAAAATTAGAAACGCAATTACTAGAAAATTTACTAGTTAACATACGGAAGAATTTTTTCTCACATATTGATAGAATTACAAAAAAAAGGAAAATAATAAAAAACGAACGCGCACGGTCATTAGAAAATTATGGGTGTAGAACTGCTATAAATTCAATTCTCATCAAACAGATGTTTTCTAACAAAGCGGATATCTAATTAACATGAAAAAAGTGCTACAGATTTTTTCGCATAATGGGATTCATTAATTTTAGTCACCTGGGTATTAGCCACATTTTCTAGAAATAGAATTAATGTACTATCATTAATTTTCTGGATAACAGCACACGTAGCAGTACATGTTTCTCACACTAGTAGAGAATTATCCTGTCACGTTATTCCTTTAGGAATTGAATCGGAAAACAAAACAGAAATGCTTCAGCGGGTTTCCTCTGATGGCGAGTATCTTTTCCACTATATTTCATCCAATTTAATTAATGTATAGTTGTGCCAATCTCAGTCACCGATCATCCATTCAAAGGTGTAAATTGTGCATGACAGTGTTAAGATATTCCAGTGAAAGCACCTATTTACAGGCGTTGTTTATACTAGAACTGAATTATGAATAACAGGTGTTTCTTCGACTGATTAGATTTTTAACTATTAAAGCTCGTTGATAAACAAATTCTTTTGGTATAGAACAATATAACTTTCCACAATTCGGTTTCTGTTACATTATTAAGTATGCTAGCAGAAGTTTGAATAATTTTTTAAGTAAAAAAGACTTCGTGTTTTTATTTTGGTTGATATTCCAACAGTTGGTTAATGCCAGCAAATTAACCACTAATTAAACAAACAGAATAAACCAAATAACTAGAGTAGAACTTTCATTAATCCTCGCAAATGACCAAAGAGTTCACAGTAGGTACGTATGATATAACAGTTAACTTCATTCTAAGACTTGTTGATTATAAAAGCTGTTGATTAATTTTGTTAAATTAGATAGATATACAGTTGTAATTTTGTAGGTTACATATACTATTCGAATAGCTAATAATCTGTATAATGATTTATACAGATTATACTATGATATAATGATTATACCTGTATTTATTACACGCACTTTACTAATTTATTTATACCAAGAAACTTGTTTTATGCAGAAATTGTAACATAATTATCTTCATCATAGATATAACTACGTCCTTTTTATTAGTTATTTTAACAAGTTTCAAGAATGTTTAAACCTGAATACATCACCGAATGAGGATATTAACCGTGTAAAAATACCTTATTGATGATGAGCTAGTGTGTAATTAAATTAAGGTCGTAAAAATATATGTTAATTTAACAAGTTTGTTAAGGTCGCAGTTAAATGATAGT